CTGTAATTGAATAAATTTAAGTTAGAGCTGTTTAAAGTCATACTGTGGAACATTCCAGGCAAAACAATAACATCTCTATGGAGAAAAGCCGGAAAAGTTACACAATGCACCTTTAACTTGATGTGGATAGATTTGATTTAAATGTTTCTTTCTTGATTCAAACAACATAACGTTTAATTTCTTATTTTAATAGTTTGTTATTATATGTTATTATTATAATTTTTTAAACCTTTCTATCTCCATGGAGACCAAACCAGACCAAGTTACAGGTCAGATCTGTGGAAAGGCAACCCCACTCACAGTCAGAATGTCTGTTTTTCTAGGTGTTTTTGAGCTATAAATCCACCTGTAATTGAATAAATTTAAGTTAGAGCTGTTTAAAGTCATACTGCGGAACATTCCAGACAAAACGATCACATCTAAACATAATAATATCTATGGAGAAAAGCCAGAAAAGTTACACAGTGCACCTTTAACTTGATGTGGATTTAAATCTTTCTTTCTTGATTCAAACAACATACGTTTTCATTTCGTTTCTTATTTTAATAGAATGTTTCACAGTATGACATTAGACCTTTCTATCTCCATGGAGACCAAACCAGACCAAGTTACAGGTCAGATCTGTGGAAAGGCGACCAGACTCACAGTCAGAATGAATGTTTTTTTTTTTTTTTTAGGCATTTCTGAGCTATAAAACCACCTGTAATTGAATTTACTGTCATACTGTGGAACATCTCCATAGAAACAAGAAGGTTACATAGTGCAGCTTTATTAGAAATACAGAGCTTTTCCTTTTTTGTTGCTCTCGCCCGGCTCTGTTACCTAATGCAGAGTGCGTGAGTGTGCGGTGTGTGTGTGGAGCCTGTGCATGTGTGAGCTGTGGGGCAGTGGGCGGGGCTTAGCGATGGAGTGGGCGTGTCCCTCGGCTCAGTGGGCGGGCCTTCGCTTTATTTAAATCCCGTGAATGGCCCCCGGGTCACATGTTTCCACGGAGACATGTGTACCGGAGCACGCTGCGGGGTCACGTGACTGTTTACTCGGCGCCGGGGCCAATGGGACGCGGGCTCGGGGATTATGTAACGGTGTTGGGGGGGCAGGTCCATCTGACTGGGGGGACTGTGTGTGCGTGTCTGCCGCTGATAATAAAGCGGCTGATTTACGGCGTCTGCACACGTCACGCTGGGGCTGCAGACAGAGGAATGTGCTGGTGTTTACAGCTTTAAAGAGACACAGAGACAAGATAATAAAAAAAATACTACAGCTTCATTTGTCTGACGTTTTTATAACTCAAAATACACAAGAATAAACGGACTGATGTCTGCATGCGTGATTAAAAATAAAAGTAAAATTCTGTTGCATTTTCTGTCCTCAAATCCAAATTTAAAGGTGCAAAGATGTAAATTTTTTTTTTTTTTTTTTTAATGGTAATGTTTCAGTAAAAAGCCTAGTAAAAAGATAATTTTTCTTGCTTTGGGCCATAAAATTTAAAACACTATTAAAAAAAAAAAAAAAAAGAAAGATATATAGAGGAAAAAAAGTTTGTATTTCTGTTCGAGGGGTTAGTTTACGGAACAATCTGAATGATTATTTTAAAAAAAAAATAGTATAAAGCGTTTCGAAAGATTTCGAGCTCTGGAATGAATGAATTATGCATCAAATTTAGTTTGTTTTAATTTATATTTTGTCTCTCATATTTACAGTAAGTCATAAATGAAATTGTAAATGCAAACTTGCTGTTCATACGCTGCTTTTTTTTTTTTTTGAATTTTGTCATTGTTTCATAGAGTTTGCACTAGGGATGGACATTCGATTAAATTTTCTTAATCAATTGTCAGGAGAATTAATGATAGATTTTTGATTAATCAGTAACATTTTTATATTAAAATTATCATCATTATTACTAATCTACATAAATAAACTCATCTTTACAACTAGGGGTGGCAAAATATCAAAATATCGATGTATTGTGTCATTAAATGTGACGATATCGTATCAGTATCGTAGGCTGCTTTATCGATATATCGTTTATTTTACTGCATTATTTTGTTGCTACAGTTTTGTTGGAGGAAGGAAACTTGTTTATGTGACACATTTGACATTTTCACTGTTTTGATGATTAAAATGTTTGTTTCATATGAACTTTGCACAAGAAGTGGATTAACAAAGACTTTTAGTATCACAACAATGATTGAGCTTTTATTTTTTATTGAACTGTATCGAACCGAAATATTTGGTGTTGAATCGTAAGCTCACTGTATCGAGGTATTTATTGTATCGGCAACTTCTTAATGATACCCAGCCCTGTTTACAACTTATAAACTAAAACCACTCTAGAGCCACGTCAGCCCGTTTGACATTATAATGTGTTTAATGCAACTTTGCCGCATTTGTTTATGTTTTACAGAAATGAAACTTAAAACTGCACGTCTAATTTGCATAAACTAAAAGTGCTGCTCTTTACTCTTAGCACAGCTTTTTATTCAACATCATTTCATTCCCTTTATTTATGTTGGTCACTTTATTTATTTTGCCTCTGTTGTGAGGAAAAGACTGAAAAGTGTTTGTCTTTTGGACGCGTGACACACTCAACGAGATACTGTCTATATTTACATGCACCATGACGAAACCGAGAGACTCAAAAAACCTGATCATACCGGGACACTGATGAGCTGTAAACACACACACTGAGCCTGAGAGCCCAAACGTGGAACTGTGAGGCACAAGTCCAGTGTTCGTGTCAGACGCAGCCTCATCTCTTTTACACTACACACAGCGGCCTACATTTCAGTTTGTCGATTTAAAATGAACGTGATCTGCGAAATTCTAAATGATCAATTATCGCTTAGTCGACTAATCATGCTCATCCTTAGTTTGGCGTTAGAAGTACTTTTTTTACTTCAGCTTAAACCTTTTCGGTCATGATCTATGGAGCTGTAGTCTGTTTGTTTTGTTTTGTAGTGCTGCAAAATTATTGAATAAAAAACTATTACTAAAAATAAAACATCAATAAAACATCTGAGTGTGCTGTGCATTTTTTCACTTTTAAATTGCTCTTTCTTGCATTTGCACCTCTACAAGAACCAGAGGTGGGGACTTGCAAGTCGTGACTTGGACTCGGGTCAGACTTGAGTCACTATTTTTAGGACTTGAGACTTGACTTGGTAAAATGGACTAAGACTTTGGGACTTGACTTGGACTTGAAGCTCAATGACTGAATCAAATCATCTGAATTCTTTCTGTTTTGACCATAATGATTCACACTAAGATCTTGTCAAGACATTTAAAAAGGAAAAGTTTACATTTCTACAACTCTTATAAACTCTATAAATACTCATATATAAATATACTATGATTTTTTTAAAGTACAATGTAGTTTTAAAAAAATGAGAACTTTGCACATCATTTACTTGAGACGTGTGCGTTGGAGGAGATGGAGCAGCTCAAGAACATCGAGAAAAATCCCACACACCGTCTTACTTGGAAATTGTAAGATTTATTAGAACAAACTGTGAAACGTTTCGGCACTCGGCCTTCGTCAGGCAAACAGAATGAGAGCTCAGGTGTCCGTCTTAACTAGGGCGTGGCGAGCACCCAAGGGTGACAGGTGGTAAAGAAACAGTGTACCAAAACACCATAATTCAAAAACCAAAGACAAGCAATATAAAGTGTAATGATAATAATGATGAAATATTAATCATAGTAGAAAAATCATTGAATAATAATAGAAAATAAGAAGTAAATTTAAAAGTTAAAATTCATATAAATTGCAAAAATCAAAGCTATATTTGGTATTTTGGTTTAAAGACTTGAAATGACTTGAAGCTCAAAGCAGACGACTTGGACTTGACTTGGACTTATGGGCCAGTGACTCGAGACTCGACTTGGACTTGCCTGTATTTGACTTGGGACTTGACTGGGACTTGAGGTCAAAGACTTGAAACTTACTTGAGACTTGGTCCCACCTCTGACAAGAATTTTGTTGTGCGTTTTCTGTTTCATTTGTTTCTATGGAGACGTCGTTGCTCTGTCTGGAATGTCCCACAGTGTGACTTTAAACAGCTCTGGTTTACAACAAACAAAACCCAGAGCCGCTGTGGAGTGAAAGTGAAAGTGAAAGTGAAAATGCAAATAACTCTTTTAGGTGTCCAGAAATGCTTTATAAATCTAATGTATTATTATTTTTCTGCATGGCTGGACTATTTGCCGTAGACTCGCATGTAGTGAACTCACTCAGGACACTGTTTTACACTGAATTATATTTAATGCAAAACGAGATTAAATGCAGAGTAATTGTCCAGTTTTATAACTAATAAAATTCTATTGGACGTGAAGTTTTATGACATGTAAAAAATGTAATTATTATTTTCTTTTAAGTGTCTATTAAACTCTAGAATCTAATGTGTCTCTCTCTTCTCCTCCCCTTCTTCTCTTTCTCTTCTCTGTCCCCTTTCTCTCTCTTCCCCTATCTCTTTTTTCTCTTCTTCCCTTCTCTTTCTCTCTCCCCTCACTCTCTTTTCCTCCTTCTCCTGATCTTTCACTCGCTTCTCTCTCTCTGCTCCTCGTCTTTCACCCCTCCTTACCTCGTCTCCTCCTCCTTCTGCTCTCTCTTTCCTCCTCCTCTCCTCTTTCCTTCCTTCTCTCTCCTCACTCTCCCTCTATACCTCCTCTTCCTCCTCTCCACTCACTCTTTGTCTTCCTCTCTTTTCTTCCTCGCTCTCATCTCCTCCCCCTCCTCTCGCTTTCTTTTCCTCCTCTCTCTCCTCTCTCATCCTCCTCTTTCCCTCTCTCTCTGCTCTATCACCCCCCTCTCTTCTTCTCCCCCTTCTTTTCTCTTTCTTCTCTGCTCCCCTTCTCTCTCATCTCCATCTCGCCTCTCTTCTGCTTGCTCTTTCCTCTTTCTCCTCTCCTCGTTCCCTCCCTCTCTCTCCTCACTCTCCTTCCTCTTCTTCTCCTCTCCTCTCTCCTCCCTCCCTCTCTCTCTCTCTTTCTTTCTCCTGTAGGGGGCGCTTCCTGAGCACGGTGCTGAAGATCGAGGAGATGCTGCAGAGTTGGTTTCCTCACATCAGAGACCCGAGCGTCTGTAAAACTCAGAAGGTAAAATCTCCTCTCTCTCTCCTCTCCTCTGCCTTCTCTCTTCTCCTCTCTCTTTTCTCCTGTATCCTGTCTCCTCTCTTCTTCCCTCTCTCCTCTCCTCTCTTCTCTCCCCTCTTCTCTCTCTTCCCTCCTCTCCTGTCTCTCCTCTCCTGTATCCTCCCCTCTCTCTTCTCCCTCTCTTCTCTCCTCTCTTCTCTCCTCTTTCCTCTCTTCTCTCCTCTCCTCTCGTCTCCTTTCTTCTCTCCTCTCTCTCCTCTCTCTCCCCCCTCTCTCTCTCTTCTCCCTCCTCTCTCTCTTCTCTGTCTATTTCTTCTCTCTCCCTCCTCTCTCTCTTCTCTGTCTATTTCTTCTCTCTCCCCTCTCTCTCTCTCTTCTCTCCTCTCTTTTCTCTCCTCTCTCACTTCTCTCTCCTCTCTGTTTTCTCCACTCCTCTCTCCCCTCTCTTTCCTCTCCTCTCTCTCCTCTCTCTCCTCTCCTCTCTCTCCTCTCTCCCCTCTCTTCTCTTCTCTCCTCTTCTCTCTCTCTCTCTCTCTCTCTCTCTCTCTCTCTCTCCTCTCCTCTCTCCTCTCTCCCCTCTCTCTCTCTCTCTCTCTCTCTCCTCTCCTCTCCTCTTCTCTCTCCTCTCTCCTCTCTCGTTTCTCCTCTCTCCTCTCTCTCCCCTCTCCTCTCTCTCTCCTCTCTCTTCTCTCTCTCTCTTCTCTCCTCTCTCCCCTCTCTTTCCTCTCCCTCTCTCTCTCTCTCCTCTCTCTCTCTCTTCTCTCTCCTCTTCTCTTCTCTCCTCCTCTCTCCTCTCTCTCTCTCTTCTCTCTCTCTCTCTCTCTCCTCTCCTCTCTCTTCTCTCCTCTTCTCTCCTCTCTCCTCTCTCTCTCTCCTCTCTCTCCTCTTTCCTCTCTCTTCTCTTTCTTCTCTCCCTCCCTCTCTCTCTTCTCTCCTCTCTCTTCTCCTCTCTCTCCTCTCTTCTCTCCTCTCTCCTTTCCTCTCTCCTCTCTCTCTCTCCTCTTTCTCCTCTCTCTTCTCTCTCTCCCCTCCCTTCTCTTTTCTCTCCTCTCTCTTCTTTCTTCTCTCTTCTTTCCTCTCACATGTCTCACTGGAGTAAATCAGATCTAAAAATCAGATAAACCATCATTAGATCAGAGTTTTGTTGTGGACGTGCAGGAGGTAAACTCTCCTCTCACGTGTCACTGTCCCTGATGTAACAGGAGAAGGACGGAAATACAGAGTCAACTTCATTATTTCAGTATCTCGTTATTTTTAATCCAGGAAAAAACTCTCCTTTTTCACACAAACTACCATAAAAGAAAATATTAAGTCTTCTGAATGTCACCACAGCTAAACCAGGTCTAAAGTAGGACTAAACCAGGTCTAAAACAGGACTAAACCAGGTCTAAAACAGGACTAAACCAGGTCTAATCTAGGACTAAACCAGGTCTAAAACAGGACTAAACCAGGTCTAAAACAGGACTAAACCAGGTCTCAAACAGGACTAAACAGGACTAAAAGGTCCAGGTCCAGGTAAAAACCAGGACTAAAACCAGGACTAAACCAGGTCTAAAACAGGACTAAACCAGGTCTAAAACTAAACCAGGTCTAAACCAGGACTATTCCAGGTCTAAACCAGGACTAAACCAGGTCTAATCTAGGACTAAACCAGGTCTAAAACAGGACTAAACCAGGTCTAAAACAGGTCTAAACCAGGACTAAACCAGGTCTATAACAGGACTAAACCAGGTCTAAAACAGGTCTAAAACAGGACTAAACCAGGTCTAAAACAGGACTAAACCAGGTCTAAAAAACAGGACTAAACCAGGTCTAAAACAGGACTAGGACTAAACCAGGTCTAAACCAGGACTAAACCAGGTCTAAAACCAGGACTAAACCAGGTCTAAAACTAGGACTAAACCAGGTCTAAAACCAGGACTATTCCAGGTCTAAACCAGGACTAAACCAGGTCTAAAACAGGACTAAACCAGGTCTATAACAGGACTAAACCAGGTCTAATCTAGGACTAAACCAGGTCTATAACAGGACTAAACCAGGTCTAATCTAGGACTAAACCAGGTCTATAACAGGACTAAACCAGGTCTGTAACAGGACTATTCCAGGTCCAAACTAACAGGACTACTCCAGGTCTAAACTTGGACCAAACAAGGTCTATAACAATAGGACTGTTCCAGGTCTTATCTAGGTGTAAACCAGGACTATTCCAGGTCTAAACTGGGACTAAACCAGGACTATTCTAGGTCTAAAAATTGGCTAAAGCAGGCCCATAACAGGACTATTACCGGTCTATAACAGGACTACTCCAGGTCTAAACTAACAGGACTACTCCAGGTCTATAACAACAGGACTACCCCAGGTCTAAACTGGGACTAAACCAGGTCTATAATTAGGTCTAAATCGGGGCTGAACCAGGTCTATAAAAGGACTATTCCAGGACTAAACTGGGGCTAAATCAAGTCTATAACTGGACTATTTCAGGTCTAAACTTGGACCAAACAAGACTATCCCAGGTTTTATCTAGGACTAAATCAGGTCTATTACAGGATTATACCAGGTCTAAACTGGGGCTAAACCAAGTCTTTAACAGGACTATTCCAGGTCTAAAATAACAGGACTATTCCAGGTCTTATCTAGGACTAAATCAGGTCTAAAACAGGACTATTCCAGGTCTAAACTGGGGCTAAACCAGGTCTATAACAGGATTTTTTCAGGTCCAGGTTTATTCCACTATTCCAGGTCTTATTTAGGACTAAACCAGGTCTATAACAGGACTATTCAAGGTCTAATTTGGGGCTAAACTGGGACTAAACCAGGTCTAAAACAGTAAAAAAAAAAAACAGTACGAGCACAGGAATACGTACAGTTCCTTTAAAAGTTCCATAATAAAAATGTATAACTTGAATTCAAACACCGTTGCTTTTGTTTTTGTACCTCACAGTTGTGTCCAGTTGACCCCGAGTGGCTCTACAAATCCCACGATGCGCCTCTGCACTGGCTCCGCCCCCCTCCGCCCGTACGCCCCGCCCCCTCGGCGACGCAGGACAACGCCGTCTCGTCCAGCACCGACTTCCGCACGGCGCCCCCCAGAGACAGAGACAGAGACAGTACCCCCCCGTCGTTCAGCATCAGGAGCCCGTGTCTGGAGAGACTTCTGCAGGCGAAAGAAAGCATCATCCAAACCAGGACTGAGGCAAGACCGGACGAAGGAAACCCGGACTAGAACCACGACCAAAAACCCAGGCCTTATTTAAACAGTTCTGAGACTTCAGTATAATGTTTTCTACTCTAAAAGTTAACACGAGACGCTGTATCTGCAAAGAAAGAGGATTCCAATAACTGAAGTAAATTGCAAACTTGTTATCTGTGCGAAAAGTTTAAAGGTTTTATATTTCATAAAATTGACTCGTGAGGTTTAAAGCCATTTTATCAAAAAACAGACCTGGAGTTGTGTTTTGTTTTTAGGAACGTGCTTTGCCATGATTCTGCACAGCAAAAACTGGAGGGTTAAAATTTTAGGGTAAAATATTTCAGAGTTGTTTTTAACACCAAAAGTGTTATTTTAACTATTTGAAAGTTAAATGGGTTGATGTGGTTGAGGTTAATTCAACTTCCCTTAGTGTTAATTCAACTTTCCTTAGTGTTAATTCAACTTCCCTTAGTGTTAATTTGGCTCCTCCCATTCACCACTTCAAACTCTTGTAAGAGGAGACCAGTATGAACCAGTTTTGTACATAATTTCATTTTAAATTAACAAAGTAAAAATAAAATAAAACACCGCAATGTGTTGTTTAGCTCAATCAGAATAACCCTACAAAGTGTTATCTGTTTACTCTCAAAACGTTAATATAACTCTTGATTATATTACAGGAACTTTTGGTCCAGTGTTACTTAATTAACATTTCCAAAAATGTTAAATTAACTCTAGAACAGATTGAACTCAAATTAACTCTGAGAAAACGTTAAAAGTTGATTCTGTGAGAGTCAATTTTAACACTCCACTTTTTGCTGTGTGATGATACGATAAACATCACGATACGGCTGTCACAAGTCGATATATCACGATACATAAACAAAGGACCATATTGTCCAACGAGGTTTATTTGGTTTCCTGATAATTTATGTTATTACCGTTTTTTTCGGACTAAAAGTCGCTCTGGACTATAAGTCGCACCAGCCAAAAAATGCGTAATGAAGAAGAAAAAAACATCTATAAGTCGCACTTTTGGGAGAAAATAATTTTATAAAATCAGAGACCAGGAACTGACATTTGATCTTGAAAGTCAAGTTCTAGTAAAAACAATAGAAGAGAGAACAACAGACTGTTAACATCACATATGAACAGTTCTTCAGATAAACTATAACATAAACAACAGAACAGAACAAGTTTAACAAACTCTCCATCTCACTCCAAATCACTAAATCCATTCAATTCTTCATCCTCGGTGTCACTTCTGAACAACTCAGCCTCGACCTCCGGAGGTAAACAGAGCGACGCTTCCTCTTCTGTGTCGCTGTCGTCAGACTCAGCATCAGTTCCAGTTAGAATTATTTGGGTCTTTCTGAATCCCGACAGGATGGTTTCGGTGTCACTGAAGTCCAGGCTTTGTCCATCCATCCAGTGACTTCAGGAAAGTTTCATGGTGCATCCTCCACAAGTCACAAGTTTCTCACTCACTCCAAACTTTCTTTCTGCTGCTCGATTATCGTTTTGAGCTGCAGATTTCACGACTTGCAGTTTGTAATCTGCAAAATCTGATTTTGTTTTTGGGGGCATTTGTGTTCAGTCTTCTCAGTGTCTTTATAAGTTTGTATAAATTTAGTGGTGCAGAAGTAATATTATAATGGCTCTTTCTGCAGGAGACATGCGCAGTAGAGCCAAGTGACAGTGGTACAGGAGGAACAGGAGCAGCAGATACTGACACACAAGACTAGAACCTCTCACCGCTGTCAGTGTAAAAATTTTATATATAAGTCACAGGAAACACCCAAACCATGAAAAAAGTGCGACTTATAGTCTGAAAAATACGATTTATATACGGTTATTTTTTCAGACCAAGAATTTCAGACCTGACAGTTTCGACTGCTCCCTGCGGTCTTCCTCAGAGTCACGTCCTGCCTCCACCAGTAGAGACACCTTCATGAGAAAAAAAAAAAATGAAATACAGTTTATTTACTTTTTAAATTCCAAGAACAGTGAATGGAATTTATCGATTTTTCAGGAAAAACAGGACCTTAAAAAAATCGATCCAGACACATTTTGAATCGATACAAGAGTCACGCACTGAAGTTTCACAATAAATCACTGCATCAGTTTTTTTCAACCCTCTATTATTAGTCTGTCTACGTTTCCAAAGTTTAAAACGCCCTGTTCCACCTTGTGATGTCACGAAGCTGTAGTTTTTAAGTTAACAGCTCCTTTTTACGTTTAGTTCAGTAGAGATTGGAATTTCTAGCGCTGAAATGATCCAAATGATTCTAGTGAAGGTGTACGGAGTTTAAAAACACAGTGGAGCTCTTCCCGCATTACCACATGACATCACAAGGTGGAACTGAGTGTATTCCGCTTGAAAGAAGAGCCTAAATCTGCAGAAACAAAACACAACTCCAGGTCTGTTTGTGATGAAGATGATCAGAAAAAAGCATAATATGGGCCCTTTAAATTGTTTTTAAAAAATAAATAATTCTTTATTTTCTTCCACTTGATGGGAATTTAACCCACAACCTCCTTCTACTGAGAGGAGGAGACAGGCTAACCACTCTGCCACAGTCACACAGAATGTACCTATGAGAAAAACATGAAGTAGTAGCAAAAAAATAAATAAAAAAAGTACCCACTCTTTTACTCGGGAATGAGCAGCTTTGCGTAACGGGAACGGAAGGGCATCTGACGTAAAAATGAAGCTTAATTTATACAAAGATACACCACGTTTACAGCGAACACGATCCGCTGAAAGGACCTGTTTATGTAAATGAATTGTCACCTTTGCCTTGGTTCATATTTTGTATTTTCTCTGATGAATAAATGTCTTTTTAAAAGTATCATCGGTTTGACTCGTGTTGGTTTTCGCTCGTGTCGTTTCAGACTCAGAAAAGAATCAGATGTAGATTTTGGTAATTATAATAGAAAATATCAAGCAATGGTGTTTTAAGTTATAAGGAAAATAATTTGTTTAATCAGATTTTGAATTTTAAATGCTGTTGAATTTCTCACTTTGAATTTTTTATCTCTGAAAAAACATTTTTTATTCCTAATGTCAATTGATGAAATTAAATGCGTAAATTTTCAAAGTGTTCCAGCCAATGTAAAAGAAAAAAAAAAAAAATCACCTTTTATATTATATTATATATTTATTTAGCACAAATATTTTCAAGTCCTAAAATTCAACAATCGAAATTCAGTGTATAATTCACAATGGAAAAAATTTACAACAAAGATCCAAGATGAGGTAAGTATGGAAGATAATTTGTTAGATTAGATTTTGAATTTTAAATACCGCTGAATTTGTCACATTAAATAAAAAATAAAATAAAAAAAAAGATGTTTCAATTATTTTTATTCTGAATTTTGGTTGCTGAAATTTTAAGTTTACTTTTTCAATATGTTTCAAATTCAAAATAAAAATGTTCACCTTTTAAATGTTTGCACAAGTATTTTCAAGTCCATCCAACCATTTTGATGATGGTGTGTGTGTGTGTGTGTGTGTGTGTGTGTGTGTGTGTGTGTGTGTGTGAATGATTGACCATTGTAAATCTAAATCATTTAGGTGTCTAATTTTGTGCACTAATAAATGGATAATGGTTTATGTTTTATAGACATTTAACTGTTCTCATCTGAGGCAGTTCAGACGACATCACAACATCCTACAGGGGCAATTACATTTAATACAGATGGACGCAGCTAAAATTCAATTAAAATGAAGATTTTTGTTATAATATAGTGAGTTCTTGGGTCTAGTCACTAATAGAATTTTGACAGAACATTTGTGAATTTACCTTTTGGATATTTCATGGCAAAGTTCAATGTAATCAATAGGAAAAACTGGCCCTTGCCCCATCTGAGAGTTTGATATCTTCACATTTTAGAATCCGAAAACCAACTATATTTACTGCTAAAACTAGAAGCTCTCTGGCATTTTCGTTTCGTAAAGGCGTTCACTGGAGGAAAAAGGTTGGAGACTCCTGGTGTAGAAGATCAGAGACATCGACAAGCCTGTAAAAAGTGCATTACAAGTGTAAAGAATCGTTATTATTGATTACTGAATGAATCTTCCCTGGTGCAACATCATTAATACAGAACTCTCTGCTCTCTACTTATCCCAGAGTCAATTCAAATCAATATATTGTTTTATTTTTATATCTGACGTTTGTCCCAGTTTGAAATCACTAAACTCTGAGGGAGACTTTTGATTTTCTTCAAGATGCAGTGTCTACAAAGAAAGAGGATTCCAATAACTAAAGTAAATTCCTAACTTGTTATCTGTGAAAAATGTTTCAAGGTCCAATATTATATAAAACTGACTCTATGTGACCTTTTGTAGAATGATAATTTATTGTTTTGTTTTATTTTTTTTATATTTGACATTTTTCCCAGTTTGAAGTCACCAAAAACCAGAGTTGGGACCAAGTCGTCGGTTTGCAAGTCTCACGTCTTTGACCTCAAGTCTGAGTCAAGTCCAAGTCGAGTCTCGAGTCACTGGCCCGTAAGTCCAAGTCAAGTCCAAGTCGTCTGCTTTGAGCTTCAAGTCATTTCAAGTCTTTAAACCAAAAAAGTACCAAATATAGCTTCAATTTTTTGCAATTTATATACATTTTAAACTAAATTGTACTTAAAAAATCATAGTATATTTATATATGAGTATTTATAGAGTACATAAGAGTTGTAGAAAGATGTAACCAGATGAAAAATGGGGTACATATGAAAAATTGTAGATTGTAATGTAAATCCTGTTCATTTTTTGTTTGTTTGTTTGTTCATTGTAACACCTGTGCTGTGTAACTTCACGCGAACATTGAAAGATAAGTCTCGTGCACTTGCGGTTGAAAAAGCATCAGAAAAGTTGTACATTTAGGCCATCAAAAGTTCATACTCGACCATATCAGTAAGGAAATTTATATACAATGAGATGGCGAGGATGTACCAACACAGGACCACAGTCTGCTGTACATCTCCACTTTAAAGCCACAGGCCGCTATTTTGAGGACAGCGAGGTACAGATTTTAGCCAGAGAGAAACACTGGTTTGAGAGGGGAGTGAAAGAAGCCATTTTTGTTAAGAAAGAGAATCCTTCTCTAAACAGAAATGGAGGCCTCAGACATAATATATCTTCTATTTACAAATCCATCCTCAAACCTACTTCAAAAACAAACAACAGGTGTATCAGGTCCAGAGGTGTGGAAGCTCCATTATGGCCCTGAATTGTTCTGCTAATTGGACCCCACACCCTGTGCAGGTCAATAGGCCGAACTCACAAACACAAACTGTAAACAAGTGTGTGTTAGTTTCAGAGTATGTGTGAAGAATCCCTCTGTGGTCCAGGTAGAATCCATGGCGAAAATCCAAGGAGAAAATTCAGTTTGTCGACTGGACAAAATTTAGTTTGGTTGAAGACGTTTCGCAGCTCATCCAAGCTGCTTCTTCAGTTCTGTTTCAGAGTAGTTAGTTAGCTCCTCCCTGCAGATATAAGGAAGTGTCCACCAGTGTCTGACCAGAACTGAAGCAGCAGCTTGAATGAGCTGCCAAACGTCTTCAACCAAACTAACTTTTGTCCATTCGACAAACTGAATTTTCTCCTTGCCATGTATTCTACCTGGACGATTCTTCACACATATACATGAGATATTGTTTATACATTCTTTTAATAGTGGAATGTGTTCATTTATCATCTTTCAGAGTTGCCACTGCTGTTCTGTGTGGCTGTTTCGTGTAGCTTTATTTTAGTGAAAACGCTGTAATAACGTCCGTTGGTTCTGTTTCTGAACTAATGAAGAGAAAGACAAATAAAAATTTGAAGTACGATGGGCTCTATAAGCCCGGCGTCAAAGAATTCAGATTTAAAAGTGCTTCTCAAGTCTTCTCAGGTGACAAGCCTCAAGTCCGAGTCGAGTCCCAAGAAGTCATTGACCTTCAAGTCCGAGTCAAGTCCCAAGAAGTCATTGACCTTCAAGTCTGAGTCAAGTCCCAAAAAGTCACTGACCTTCAAGTCCAAGTCAAGTCCCCAAGAAGTCACTGACCTTCAAGTCCAAGTCGAGTCCCAAGAAGTCATTGATCTTCAAGTCCAAGTCGAGTCCCAAGAAGTCATTGATCTTCAAGTCCAAGTCAAGTTCCAAGAAGTCACTGACCTTCAAGTCCAAGTCAGGTCCCAAGAAGTCATTGATCTTCAAGTCCATGTCAAGTCCCAAGAAGTCACTGACCTTCAAGTCCAAGTCAAGTCCCAAGAAGTCAGTGACCTTCAAGTCCAAGTCGAGTCCCAAGAAGTCATTGACCTTCAAGTCCAAGTCAAGTCCCAAGAAGTCATTGACCTTCAAGTCCAAGTCGAGTCCCAAGAAGTCACTTACCTTTAAGTCCAAGTCGAGTCCCAAGAAGTCAATAACCTTTAAGTCCAAGTCGAGTCCCAAGAAGTCATTGACCTTCAAGTCCAAGTTGAGTCCCAAGAAGTCACTGACATTTAAGTCCAAGTCAAGTCCCAAGTCTTTCCATTTTACCAAGTCAAGTCTCAAGTCCTAAAAGTCCGACTCGAGTCTGCACCTCTGCCAAAAACACACTGAGACTTTTCATTGTGCAGCATTTATTGTCGTTGCTCTGGGGACTTCCTCAAAAGGCAATGAAAACAATAAATATGGATTTTTATGTAAAACATCTTTTTTCTCAAATGAAGAATTTTACACAATGTACACTTAAGATCTCCCCTTTTTTCCTCACTCTTTCAACACGCTTTTTACATTTTCTTTTTGTCCAAAATGAATACCAGTCCATGCAAAAACCAAAACAGAACTCACTAATGCACTTTTCAAATGTGTCGTTAAAAAATGATAATTGATAATAAACAAGTGGGCGACGATGAACGCTGTGCTGTTTCGATGCAGGTAAAATGCCGCGTGATCGCAGCAGAGTTTGTGTCGGGATTTGTAGTCTTTGTGTAGTTCGTTTGTAGTTCTTTGGAGGGGTCAGTAGTCCGTGTCCGACCCCTCGGCGTTGTCCACGTTTCTGGATAACATGTAGTTGTCCATGTCGATTGATCTGCAGTTGTTGATGGCGTAGCGCAGTCTCTCCGCCATGACGCTCTGGCTCGTGTACGGAGGCAGACGCAGCTGGAAGAAGCACGTTTGGGAAGTGGGGAGACTGTCGTACGGCTGAAGAGACACAGAGAGAGACACAGAGGACAGTTTTTAATGCAAATGATGCTGCTTAAAGTTTTTACACGTCAATACACATTTGGTATTTCTAGGACTAGTTACAGCAGGGGTGTCATACGGCCCTCGGCTGATTTTCTACTAAAATATTTGAATTATATTTTAAAAACTGAAGACAGAATTTGCAATTTTTCGCACACAATTCACAGTCAAAACCTCTGATGTGCCCGCAGACCTGCAACTAGAAATAATAGATTTAAAGTTACTAATAGGGATGGGCATGATTAGTCGATTAATCGATAATTGATCATTAAGAATTTCATCGATTACGTTAATTTTAATCGACAAACCGAGTGTAGGTTTTTGTGTGTAGTGTGACCAAACAGGTGTGTACATGTGTCTCTGCATCAGAAGGAGCGAGACACAAACAGTGGGTCAGTCTGCAACGTACCGAAGCACAAATGTGTATTTAACGATGATTTGTACAAGAAATTCCACACTTTCTGTTCCGGTCGGAACAAGTGTGAGTCCATGTGCACAGTGTATAAAGCAGCAACATATGTTTATGTGTCCAGTGGGAAAAAGTTCACCAGGACACAGAAAACATGAAAAAGTTTTGCCAGGTGAGAGTCGCTCAATGTGGATGACGAGTCCCACCTCCCTCCCCCCGTACGTGTCCTGGTTTTGACAAACGCAAATATGGTCACACCTGTAACCTGTATTCACCTGAAAGCAGTTTTTTTTTTTTTCCCTTTGCTTAGTTTATGTAAATTAGCCATGAGGTTTTAACTTTCGTTTTTGTGAGACTTGCGCAAAGCTGCATTAAACACATTATAATGTCAGTGGTTATGGTTTATATGTCATAAAGTTGAATTTATTTATGCAGATTAGTAGTGCAGATAGTAATAATAATGATGATCATTTTAATATAAAAACGTTAACGATTAATCAATAATCGATCGTTAATTCTCCCGACGATCGATTAAGAAAATTTAATCAAATGCCCATCCCTAGTTACTACCTTTGTGAGCAGGTTTTCTCAGTAATGAACATTGATAAAACAAAACTGCGCTCAAAGCTGAACACACAAACACTTGAATGACGTTCTGAAGACAGCAGCGCCTCAGGACACGGTGCCTGATATTGATGCACTGATGAAAAATGCCAAATTTCAGGAGCAAAAAGAAAGCATGACTAAATTCTATGAAATGCATACAAGTTCATGTTAAAACATTGTGTTGAAATTGCATTTTTCTTAAAGTTTCAGGTTGTTCATAATATTATAATATTTTGTAAAAGAAAGAGTTAATCAATTAAAAAAGATTTCTGTAATAGATTTGTGTTTCTCTTTACTTGAACTTGAACTTATTGTTATTTTTGGGGTTTATATGACATGAGTTTTCTGATCCGGCCCCTTTGGGATCAAAGTAGGTTGGATACGGCCCCCGGACCAAAATGAGTTTGACACCCCTAAGTTACAGTGTTTTATAATTAGTACGGGTGTAACGGTAAACAAAAATCACGTTTCAGTGCGTACCTCGGTTCATTTTTGGTACAGTATGGGAAGAAAATACGAAACCATTTGCTTCTTGTGTATTTGTGTTTTTATTTGTAGTCTTTCTTGGTTTTTTTGTAGTTCTTTGGAGGGGTCAGTAGTCCGTGTCCGACCCCTCCGCGTTCTCGTTGTTTCTCTACGTTCTCTGCTTGGTAATACTAATAAGTTAAATAAAATATTCTCAAATAAGCAACAAATGTGTGAAATATTATAAAAATATGTTTCAAAAAGCACTAACAGTTCCAGCATGAACTTTTACTCAATCTTCATATTTTTGGCCAGAATAAACAATTGTCCACATTGTCTGCAGTAAGTTCAGAGCTGCTGCATTTACAACGTCCTCAGTGGCTGAAAATACACTTTTGCTAGAGACAGAGGTCGTTGGTGTGTGGGGGTGACCGTAGTTTTGCGAGAATTTACGTGGTTCGGAGGGACGTAGTCAAAGCGGGGAGCAATTTTTGTCAAGTTGGCTGCCCTAACTATAAAGCTCTGTGGGAAACACCGCCAGCCCAATCACGGACAACTTCCTTCATGAATATTAAAGAGTCGAGTCTTCCGTGTAGCTGCACATGTACAGGAGGAATGTAAACACACACAAATATGGTAATTAGTATGTGTGTGTGACGCTTTGGGGTGAGCACAGCTGCACTTTGGTGGTCCACCCTCCTTCACTTTTCTGCCGTAAAGCTGTGCAAGCGGCAAAAATTATACATACTGCTGTGCTAAAGGGTTTATGAGATCTACAAACAAAACAGATCTAAATATCTACTTCCTCCTGTCACTATTTGGAAATCAGGAACCGAGCTTTAAGACTATATCCTCACAAAACCAGCTTTGCCTAAACCTCAACTCAATCATGACTTAACTGTCCAGAAAGGTAAGACATACTACAGCACCAACATGGTTTTGTAATTCCGTAATATAAATCTGGAACAGGAATCGCTATCACTCCTCTTCCTCTGAATCAAGGGCATTGCTCTTACTTAAAATATCAAAGTCCAAATCCAAAATGTTATTCTAGGATTATACAAGGATTTCAGCTTTCTGTATATAGGTGCCATTAAAAAAATCTTTTGAATTGGAAATTGTTATAGCAAATGTTTCATCACTCCACAAGGGACAGCATAAATAAAACTGTCCAAACCACAGGTGTAAAACATAAGGCCCGGGGGCCAGATCCGGCCCTCCAAGTCCTTTAATCTGGCCCTCGGCTGATTTTCTACTGCAATATTTAAATTATATTTTCTATTAAAATATTGGTAATTTTCTGTGGTGTTTATCACAGCAGCGTCTCCAGCGTCTCTGTACGTGGCCCCTCCCACCAGAGCAGCACAAATGAAGACTTGTCTCTTTCCAAACGCTCTTAAAGAACGATCGTTTTGACTGTTGACCGTGACACCCTCATCAGAAAAATGTCCAACATGAGAAAAGTGGAGCCGAGACATTCCTATTTGCATACAAGTTCATGTTAAAACACTGTGTTGAAATTGTATTTTTCTTAAAGTTTCAGGTTGTTCATAATAATAATATTTTGTAAAAGAAAGAGTTCATCAATTAAAAAAGATTTCTGTAATAGATTTGTGTTTCTCTGCACAAATATTTGAACTTATTGTTATTTTTTTGGGTTTATATGCCATGAGTTTTCTGATCCGGCCCCTTTAGGATCAAAGTCGGTTGGATACGGCCCCCGGAACAAAATGAGTTTGACACCCCTGGTCTAAACTGAATTAAAACAATTACAAAAGTCCCAAATGTATCGAACTGATGCAATAATAAACATGTGGAGAGATCAGCAGCTGTGTGTGTGTGTGTGTGTGTGTGTGAGTGTAGTTTTGACACTGACCCTGTCCACCTTCATGATCTGAAACCTCTGGGAGATGTCCGCTGTATTCGCCGGGAGCCTGGAGCGTCCGGACACGAAGCGCATGAACAAAACTCTCTCCTCGTTTGAAAACTCCTCGAGCGTTTGCCAGAACCACTGGACCAGCGCGTGCTGCTCGTCCACCTCCCGGTAACGCACCACCTTCTTCAGAACATCGCAGCTGATCTCGGGGAGGCCACACACCATCTGCTCCAGCTGTTTGGAGGTGAGGAGGGAGAGGAGGGGCACGGGGATGATCCAGGACATGCCCTCTCGCACTGCTGCCACCTGCAGGACGAACGGGGGTTATAATAGTACATATTAAATACAGAGTTAATAATAATAACAGAACCAACATAATTGTGTAGTGATTTTAAAATAATACACTCTTCAATGTTATTAAAATGATTCTGTGTGGAGCTCTCCAGTCAATGGGCCAAAACCTCCACTTCATACAACGGCTGTAGCTGGACTCTTTTATGGATTCAGAGCTGATCTACTGCAGAAGATCGATTCTGAATCTCTCTCTCTTGCCTGAGATCTCACTAGAGTGATTGATTGATAATAAACTGCAGTGAGTAGACCCACAAAAATACTCAAAGTCCTGATCCAAAGAGTATGTAATGAAGAAAGCTGTGAGGTGTGAAGGGTTGAAGACGCAGGAGCTCAGGTGGGAGGTGTTTGTGTTAAACCAGAGCTTTGAGACGAAGGTGGGTGTTCTTTTGTACCTGTCTGTCAATCTCGTGCAGTCTGTACTCGATGGCTCTCTCCACGTACTCTTTCCTGTTGGAGAAGGTCAGAGGGATGCTGTTGCCTCCGGGGATTATGGGAACCATCTTTCCATCAGCGCTCTGCCCCACGAACGAGTCCAGAGTGATCATCTGAGACAGAGGGACAGAGAGGAGGTTAGACCGCTGTGTTTCTGTGAGCAAGTGAATACAGGAGGCTTCTTTAAACCCTCACATCGTTGAAGTTGTCCTCTGTGATGCCACTGTCTTCGATGTACAGAATACTCTTCAGCGTCTGAACATAGAGCAGGTCCACCTCCTCCAGGTCCTCCAGGCTCAGGGGGATACAGCACAGCTGCTTCCACACCAGAGGAGCCAAGTGCAGGTCCAGAGGTTTCTTCGTGCGGATGGCCACGCCCATCAGGATCCCCAGGAACTTAAACTGAAGCATGTGCTCGTCCAGGCAGGCCGAGGGGTTAAACAGGAACCTACACGAGAGAGGAGAAGGTCAGTTTAGGAGATTAAGTCCATAGTCCACCTAAAGATGGACTAAACCAGGGCTAAACCAGGACTAAAGAAGGACTAAAGGAGGACTAAAGAAGGACTAAAGGAGGACTAAAGGAGGACTAAACAAGGACTAAAGGAGGACTAAAGGAGGACTAAACAAGGACTAAAGAAGGACTAAAGGACCAAAGGAGGACCAAAGGAGGACTAAACCCTATTAGTAACATAAGTAGTTTTAGTAGCAGTAGCAGCAGTAGAGGTCATAGGAGTAGCAGTAGTAGTATTAATATTAGTAGTAGTAGTAGTTGCAGTAGTAGTAGCAGTAGCAGCAGTACTGTTTTATGTCTTATTCTGACTTAATTAAAAAATTAGACTCAGAGGTCTTGGCATTTTATTATTTTCAGTTAAAATATAAATATTGTAAAAGAGCAGTCCTTAGTTGTGATTATTTCTTTGTATATGAAGCCAATACCATAAACCATAAAGTCAAACACACACACAGTCTGTCTCACCTGTCTCTGTTGTAGCCGACCTCTGCTGTGGCGTTTGGTGAAGGGATGAGCAGGTCCACCACTCCAGTCTCCAGCTCCTACAACACACGATCAATACAGTCAATGCAACGCACAATCAACACAATCAATACAACACATGATCAATACAATAAATACCACACACCATCAGACTGTGACTACCAGTACTTCAGTCAAACCTTCATCATAATATTTAAGCCACTTTATATTACATTGAGTTTTAGTTTACGTTTATATGATGACGGTCCGAACAGAAGCCGCAAAAGTGGCGTCGCGTCTTCACTTTTTATTCCTCGTTTAGACGAGTGTTTATGGAGGAAATCTGCGTGTGCATACGGCGACGCAAAAGTGTGTGGAATTCGATTTGCAAGGTGGTGATGGATGTGACGTAAATGCATACGCGATGCGAACAGATCTGACCAGAGTTTTGCGTCTTGGGCAGACGGAAACGCTACGATGGAGCGTATTCAACTTTTCTACTGTGGAGGGTGGTTTCAGATTTTTGCGTTTTTAAACTCTCAAAACACCGCCATCGTCTAAACAAAAGGTCGTTTTTACCCGCGAGCGTTTTCGTGTAAACAGACCCTCAGCTTCCACTTTGTAACACGGCTGACACCAGGCAGAACGTCTTGACAAAATATCTGAAGCTGATTGGTCAAAGTGTCACAACAGTGGAACAAGTTGAAAAATTTTACTTTTCCAAAAGATAAACTATTGCTTTGGCAACCGTCCTAATATTCCACAATGCTGAAACCCACGAACACACACAAAAACAGTCCCACTACACTTCATCATTTACATCCTCTCACACACAGCATCTATCCATCTTTCGTTCCTTTTTAGTGTTTTTTTATTATTTTTTATTATTTTAACTGCATAACCTCACACACTGCATTCATACACAGGACAAACATGCGTCTTGCTCAAGGGCACACTGTCAGCCTGTACCTGGCACATCTCCGTGATGGTGTCGTCGAACACTCCTCCGGCGTCGTCCGCTCCCTCCCCGACCAGCTTCACCTTCCAGGCCCGAGACGGGAGCCTGAGGTCGGACGCGTTCAGCTTCACCACCTGCCGAGCGATCTGCACCAGGATGGGCTTACACTTACGACCGCTACAGAGACAAACACCAAGACCATATATACTGTTAAAACTGGATTAGAACAATTAGAATATTATTTATGAGAGCTATGGTTTGTTTTTAAGCATGTCTAAGCCAATTGTAAGCCAAAAGTCAAAAATAAGGTGATATTAAACTTATGATCACTACAGAGAAACAGGAAGAAGGTGGGATATTATATTAAACTGAATTAAAATAATATGTATAATCTGAGGTTACAGTTAATTATAAAAAAATTTAATACCTTGTTAAATTGAACCCCACATTTGTTTATTTAAAAGGGCTGTTCAGTTAATGATAATCATTTTGAAATCGCAATTTGAGTTAGAATAATTATCAGATCTCAAAGACTGCGATTATTGTGCTAATAAAATGTCCTGTTTTTATTTTTTTTTTATTAAAAAAGCATATACCGATACTTTTGACCTCTACAAACATTTTCGTAGAATTCTTGTATTAGTTTATCTGTTCATATTTCACTATAGGCAAGTTTCAGCTGACGTCATTGTTATTAAAAGCCCGAGTTGCATGCTGGGAAATATTTTGGTCGGAGGCAAGAAACACGATAGCGTCAAACACAGTGCGTAACCTCGCGTATTTATCCCCGATAATGGTAAATTCCTGCTGCATTATCGGATGCACAAATAGAAGCACGGAAGAAGGAAAATGTCTTTTTCGTATTCTGAGTGAAAAGAACCACTAACGGTGAATTAAACGACTTTCAAACATTCGCAGAGCAAACGTAGAAGATCCTAACAAACCGTGGACTCCAACAAGTTCAACAACACATCGAGACTCTTGGAGGTTTTCATCTTTTCTGCTGTGAATGGCCCAGGAGTTTCCACCAAGTCATTGTGGATATCGCCAAAGTGAATATTTGTCCAGGTAGTTGGTGATTCTGACCAGAAATTTGGTTTGGTCCACCTTTTGTCGGGGTTGAAAAGGGTGATTTGTCGTCCATCGATGCTTATGACCAATTTCTGGTCAAATGGTCTTGGTTCCTCTGCCGTTAGAGTGGATAAATAACCGGGATCAATACCCTTTACGTGCTTTCTCGCTCCGTCCGTCATGTTGAATTAGTGTTTATTGCCGCCGACCAAAATAATTCCCAGCATGCAACGCGCGCTTTTGTCAACAATGAAACTCGCCTATACTCTCAAATGTTGTTTAAATTGTGCACTGTGAGAAGAATCCTATTTTTTAAACAAAAATCACAAAATAATTTAAATAGTGTTCTTACTGCTTAAAAAAAAAAAATCACAGGAAGGAGGGAAAACACAGTTAGATGTTTATGGAATTTAAAATCTAAATCTTATATAGAGTTTTTTTTATTTGTGATTGTTGTAAATGTTCTTAAACCAGAAAGAGTGATTGATACACAACACTAAAACTAAACTGCACTAAACAGAGATTATTCCTGCAGTGTGCTGTACTGACCGTGTAGAGATGCGTTTGACGGTGATCTGGGGCCCGTAGTTCTTTCCTTGGACCATGGTTTTTCCGATGGAGCGGACCATGGGCAGAGTGTAGACGCGGGGGGCGAGGAGGGGTCTGAGCTGCCCCTGAACGATGCCCCACGTGCCGGCGTTATAATGAGACGTACAGCTCTGAGAAGGACAGGGGGAAACAGGGAGAGTATTGGGTTTAATGTTGATAATTGATTAATTGAATATATTAAAACTTTATATATTAACTAAAATAAAACTAAAACTATAAATTTTGTTGATGTGTCTTTGACATTTATTGTAACTTAACAACTTTCCATTAGCTGTGAGTATAAAAATGCATCTATAGCAGCAGCAGCAGGAATAGTAGTAGTAGTAGTAGTAGTAGTAGTAGTAGTAGTAGTAGTAGTAGTAGTAGTAGTAGTACAGTAGTAGTAGTAGTAGTAGTAGTAGTAGTAGTAGCAGTAGCAGTAGTAGTAGTAGTAGTAGTAGTAGCAGCAGTAGTAGTAGTAGTAGTAGTAGTAGTAGTAGTAGTAGCAGTAGTAGTAGTAGTAGAGCAGTCAGTCAGTAGTAGCAGTAGTACAGTAGTACAGTGAGTAGTCAGAGAAGTGGTAGAGCAGCCGGAGTCGAGCGCGAACAGACTCCATACTCACCTCCCTCAGAGCACTGAACTGAGGAGGCACAGACACAGGCAGACCCAGCTGCAGAGGAACAGACGAGCCTGGAGAGGAGGAGAGAGAGAGGAGACGAGGAGACGAGGAGACGAGGGTTACCATCAGAACATAATACTCAAACTAAACTCTGTCATACTAGAGCTAATTACATATAGCAGAGGTGTCAAACTCATTTTGGTCCGGGGGTCGTATCCAACCTACTTTGATCCCAAAGGGGCCGGATCAGAAAACTCATGACATATAAACCCCAAAAATAACAATAAGTTCAAATATTTGTGCAGAGAAACACAAATCTAGAAATCTTTTTTAATTGATGAACTCTTTCTTATTATAATATTATAATATTATGAACAATCTGAAACTTTAAGAAAAATACAATTTCAACACAATGTTTTAACATTAACTTGTATTCAAATAGGAATAAGTCAATTTTTCTTGGAAAATCCTGCACTCGGCTCCACTTTTCTCATTTTTGACATTTTGTTGATGAGGGTGTCACGGTCAACAGTCAAAACGATCGTCCTTTAAGAGCGTTTGGAAAGAGACAAGTCTTCATTTGTGCTGCTCTGGTGGGAGGGGCCACGTACAGAGACACTGGAGACGCTGCTATGCTGAGCACCACAGAAAATTACCAATATTTTAATAGAAAATATAATTAAAATATTTTAGTAGAAAATCACCCAAGGGCCACATTAAATCTCTTGGGGGGCCGGATCTGGCCCCCGGGCCTTATGTTTGACACCTGTGACATATAGTATTCTCCTGCATAATTTCCTGCCAGCATCATATATTTGGAAGTTTAAATAGTCAGCAAGTAGTAAGTAAAGTTTATTTCCTTAGTTTATTTAGTGTACCTATGAGACTAGAACAATAATAAAATCTGCAGATGATTCTGTCATTGTGAGCTTGCTTCACAAAAATGAAAACCAACATGGGCCAGTTGTTGAGGACTTTGTAAAATGATGTGAAGCGAATCGTTTTAAAAGGAGCTTCATTCCGGCTGCTATCGTACTTATGAATAAATTGTAATCTATTTATCTAAGATTGTGTGTTTTTAACATATTTAAGATTTATTTATTGTGTTTTTAGCCAAGCGTGATGGATGATTTTAATTGGTTGTTTATGGAACAAACTGTTCTGCACTGGAGCACTGTAACACTTTATTTTGTAATTGTGATTGTGGATGAATGAAGTGTGAAATGTGGAACCTGTCTCTCAAATCTGCAAAGCAAATTTACCTACGGGTACGAATAAAGCAACCTAACCCTAACAAAGTGCTTCACAGACAAAAAAAATCGTAAAAAATCTGCAGCGACAGCGTCTCTGGGAGACAAGCATCTGTGCTCGAGCAACATTTCTGTCTTTCTGTGTGTTTAATGTGATTCTGATGTCATGGTTTGAAGCTACATTTCCTGGTGTCTCCAGACTGTGTATAATGCACACACAAGTCCTAGCTGGAGCAGAATGTGTCAAAATTTATAAAAGAGGCAGATTTTTTTCATTGACAATTAATTGCTTCTTTCCCCACAGATCCACAGACCCACTGTATCTGTTTGTACACCTGTGTTTCTCACCTGGGGCTCTGGGGGGCACTGACGGGGCGCTCCAGGCTGCACTGTGGCATCGTCCGGCTGAAATCTGATGGATGTTTTTACCCTGAAGAGCAGCAACTAAAGTGGGCTCCCGGACGTGATTCGTGTGGCCCAGACCCAACTGTGGAGAGAGACAGAGTTTAAAGCATTTAAAGGTCTTTACTGCAATATTGAGGCTTTTAAAACTTCTTTGGACTCAGTGAATTCCTAATTCATCCAGAAGTGTTCATTGTAACTAATGAGGACAGGGATTTAAGCTCAAGATGTTTTGACTCTCAACTAAAAGTCTGAAACACTGTGGTCCTTCATATTTCCAATGGTCTTACTTAAAATTATGCATGAAGAAACATCAGGCCAATGCTGCCATAAAATCTGACAAGAGAATTCTGAAATCTGTCTTACATCTGATTAAACATAACATTAATGAAAACAAACATGATAAAAAAGCGCCCCCGTACCCCCCAGTCTCACCTGCCCCTCTGAGTTGCTGCCCCAGGTGTAGACTTCCCCGGTGGAGGAGAGCACCAGAGAGTGCTCCGCCCCCACAGCGATGTCCGTCACCTGGACCCCGGACAGAGCGGGCACCTGCTGAGGCCGGTTATGGTTCCTGGCTCTGCCCTCGGGGAGTCCGATCAGTCGGTCTGAGGGGGACCGGAAATACGAACCATTAAAGACAAGTCAGTACAGTTTAATTTATTATATGTTTTTATCTTTACTTATACTTTTTGGTAATTTTTTTGGCAATTTTCTCCTTGTGGGACAAATAATGGTTCTCAGATTGTGGAAAATTTGTTTTGTTTTGTATTTAGTTTTGTCCTTTTTGCTAATTTGTGTATGATCTTAAAGCACAGGTGTCAAACATACGGCCCGGGGGCTAGATCCGGCCCTCCAAGACCTTTAATCTGGCCCTCGGCTGATTTTCTACTAAAATATTTTAATTATATTTTCTATTAAAATCTTGTTAATTTTCTGTGGTGTTTATCACAGCAGCGTCTCCAGCGTCTCTGTACGTGGCCCCTCCCACCAGAGCTGCACAAATGAAGACTTGTCTCTTTCCAAACGCTCTTAAAGGACGATCGTTTTGACTGTTGACCGTGACACACTCATCAACAAAATGTAAAAAATGAGAAAAGTGGACACCAAGTGCAGGATTTTACAAGAAAAATGGACTTATTCCTATTTCCATACAAGTTATTTTTAAAATGTTGTGTTGAAATTGTATTTTTCTTAAAGTTTCAGGTTGTTCATGATATTATAATATTTTGTAAAAGAAAGAGTTCATCAATTAAAAAAGATTTCTGTAATAGATTTGTGTTTCTCTGCACAAATATTTGAACTTATTGGTTATTTTTGGGGTTTATATGTCATGAGTTTTCTGATTCGGCCCCTTTGGGATCAAAGTAGGTTGGATACGACCCCCGGACCAAAATGAGTTTGACACCCCTGTCTTAAAGCCTTTGGTCATTTGATCGGTCGGTGGTGTCTTAGTCCACCACATTTTTATTACTTAACTAATGGGATTATAAAAATGCTGCTTACCAGTACGCATTTATAAAAGAACATTTTGAGAGCTACCACCAATAACCCTAAATTTTATTGTTTGTTACTTACTATAAAGAATAAAGTAAATTAAAAAAAAGTTGTATAATATAAATGCAGATTAGAAACAAATCCGTACCTTGGCCAAATGTGTAAACTTTTCCATCTTTGGTTAAAGCCACAGAAAACTGAGTCCCACACGCCACTTTCTTTATCCCGATTCCACACAACACGTCCACTTTCTACAAAAACAAAAAAAAAGCAGAAGTTACGATTTGCTACTGTGAGTATAGTGTTTTAAATAACATCAAATTCTTTCCAATATTTCATAATTTCTCTTTCTCTCCGTCTGTACCTGAGGAGAGGACTTGGCCGTGGAGTTTCCGAGTCCCAGTTTCCCGTAGTCTCCGTCTCCAAACGCCCAAACCATCATCCCATCAGCGGACACGACCAAAGTGTGGTTCAGACCGCACGCCACCTGTAGAGGGCGCATAAGGTATTTACACTGGCAATAACTGTGCAATTAGACTTACAGAAAGTTTTAATATATGGTTGTAATGTGAGGCAAGTATCTTCACTTCACTACTACTTTAATACTTTTAAGTGGACGAGGTGATTGTTACATGAAGGTGGGAGAAAGTGTATATCGAAAATGGATAATATCACATTTGTTGTTGAAAATTAAGCTTATTGTCTATAATTAAAATTAAAATGACATTAAAACAAAACAGAAAAGTCTAGTGTAAGATCCCAAATAAGTGTTTTTTGGTAATTTGTGGTAATTTTCTGGTCCATTTACGTTTATGTAGCACATTCCTGATTAGGGCCTGATCGATATTAGCCTGATTCATCAGTTGGTTTCACTTTTTAGAAACCGTCTGACCTCGCAGCATTAGGATTCATTCGCTCGACAGTAGGTGGGTACTTTTTTTTAATTAAACCAATTGTTGCAGTTTGGTCATGACGTATGTAATGCAGCTCTAACGGGGTTAACTGGTATATTAAGCTTTAACAAAAGCAATAACGTCTTTCCCCTTGATAAAATTCACCAAACATTCTCTTTGTTCCGACTTTAAATCCTCGATCTCGGGAATCGTTACCAACACAGAATGTCTGACTCTTCGCTGATTGGCTGGTGCCCGAACTCGCACTTCCAGGGTTTTTACAAACCGTCTAGTGTATTCTGATTCCTGACCTAATCGCTGGAAAGAAATTAAATTGAGCAGAGACCCTAGGTGGCGCCAGCCTGGCTAAACAGATATATCAGTTGACTGATATTTGATTATTGGAGACATATTGGTCTAAATCTTGCTGATCTGGGCCAATAGTCCACATGGGCATGTTATACCTCGTTATAAAGCTTAGACTCTCTATATTGTGTCCCTTTAATCCAATTTACAGACAATAATATAATAAATGTCCTAATATGTGGCGCCGCATCAATGTTTATCTGCGGAGTAATTTGTCTGTGTTTGTGATGCCATACTGCCCCTGAACGCACCTCCAGAGTCACATCACTCACATGTGCGCAACAGTGAGGTGCCGATTTAAACGTTCTTGTCGTCTAATCCACGATACTGACTGTAAATACAAGTGAACTTCAGCGCAGTTTAGTCCAGCAACAAAACTGCTGCTTGTTTTTATCGAACTTATTAGTGAAGACTTGTGATCTGAGAGGAGCCTGTGCGAGTGGTGAGTGTTGCAAATGTGTCAGTTTTGAAGCTACTTTTATAAATATTTTATTCAAATTTATTCCTGTAGTTCTTCTACACAATACAAGGGATGAAAATTATACAGTTTTTTGAATCAGGAGTTTATCAGGACAGCTCATGTTGGTTGTTTAAAGGGACACTAAACACCAAAATCACTTTTTTCTAGTGACTATCTGTGTAAATGAGTCTAAAATATAAATGTATTTTGAAGCTACTTTTGGTTCTTTCTCATTCGTTAGTGATTAGTTGCTGTAGCTCCCACATAAACATCTTGTTTTCTAAGTGACTATAGTGGCTTTGCACACGTTACTGGACACACACTGATATGTAAATGAGCTGTGAAGAGGTGTGAATGATCAACATTTACCGCTAAAGGCTGATAGCGGTAGTTTTTACTTTCTTTACTGGCTAGGATGTGATGCAAAAATGCCATTAGGCCGACCTACTGTCTTTAAATATGACTGTAAAGAGGCAGAATAACAATAAATGTTGCCTAAACAAACCCAATTTAAAATCCAGTAGAGCCAATCCTAAGTTTTATAATCATCTGAAGATTTACCGTGAATTTTTAAGTCACTAAATATATCGGCTTTTAAAAAATCCATATAAGTAGAGTCCTGTTCCTGATGCATTCTAAAAAATACATAACATTCTAAAGAAATATTAAATGTATAAATTATCTCTGTCCTCACCTGTCCGACCTGGTACCCCTCCAGTGCTGTGACCTTTTCTGGAAGTTTCTTATTCGACGTGTTTCCGAGCCCGAGTCGTCCGTAATCTCCATTTCCAAAAGTGAAAAGTTTTCCATCGGCGGTGACCACAGCTGAATGTTTAAACCCACACGACATCTGAGAAAGGAAGGTAAAAACGAGATACTCAGAGATGCAGTGCAGGTAAATACAAGTTAGTGAATATTCGTCGCTTTCTTATTGATTCTTTTGTATCTCACACACCTGCACCACCTCCTCGCCCTGCAGAGCTTCGATCTGCCGCGGTCTCCTCTGTCGGTCCGAGTTTCCGTGTCCCAGTTTTCCGTAGTCTCCGTCTCCCCAGCTGAACACCTCCCCGCTCTCTGTGAGGGCCATGGAGTGTCCGTCACTGCCGCAAGACGTCACCAGCTGCGTCACCACGAAACCTAAACAAAATACACACAGATACAGTCAATGTGTCGTCTGCTGATCCACTGGTAAAGAAGGGGCACTGTTTTTTTACTTTGACTAATTTACAGTTAAGCAAGAGTATAGTGAGCCTGATTCACGTGGGTTGAGACCAGGACTGAACCAGGACTGAACCAGGACTGAACCAGGACTAAACTATGACTAAACCAGGACTAAACCAGGTCTAAACCAGGTCTAATCCAGAACTGACAGTGGCACAGAGCTCCACACCTCATGAGGCTAAGTGCAGTCGCCCGTCGCCCAATTGCCCTCTGTGGATTCCCTGCTCCGTGGGTTCGGGATTCTCCCTCTCGTTCTCAAGTCCAAGATTAGTCCTGGTTTAGACCTGGTTTAGAGCTTAGTTTAGTCTTGGTTTAGTCCTGGTTTAGTCCTAGTTTAGAGCTAGTTTAGAGTGAGTTTAGTCCTGTTTTAGTCCTGTTTTAATCCTGGTTCAGTGCTCGTTCAGTCCTGAAATTTTCGGGTTAGACTAACGGCCGCCAGTGAGTCAGATGCAGGTTTATTACGTGACGAGCGCAGACACCGGCGTCTACGGACGCAACATGAAGGAAAACGTTGTGATCCGAGCAAAAATGTCCGCTCTGTTTCAAAGTCTGGAGCGCACCAGTCCGTGTTGGATTGTGGTGGCTGTCGGACGGCTGTCAATCACCATCAAGTAATGAGACATATCCCGTAGGAAGAAGGACAATAACGTCTTTCCCCTTGATAAAATTCACCAAACATTCTCTTTGTTCTGGCTTTAAATACTCAATTTCGGTAATCGTTGCCAACACAGAATGTGTCTTCGTCTACATCCATCTCGATGCTTTGTTTACTGTTGTGCTGTTCCACAAAAGGGACTCAGTCATGGCTTCGCTGATTGGCCGGTGTGTGGTCTACAACTTCCGGGGTTCTTGCAAACCGTCTAGTCTAGTGTATTCCGATTCCTGACCTAGTAGCAAGCTAGTTTAATGGCTCTTTAAGAATTAAAATCAATATTGAAATGGTTTTGACGTGTTCAAACTTGGAACAGAACACACCATATATATTTTTTTACATCTATTATTTCTGTTACATAAAAAAAGACTTTCAAAAAGTCCTTCAAAATCAACAGCCCCACCTTGTAGGGCAGAGATGACAGTGAGCACGTGGAGGTCGTCAGAGTTTCCTTGTCCCAGTCGGCCGTAGCTTCCCTCTCCACAGGCCAACACCGTCCCATTGGGCTGAATGACAAAGGTGCAGTTCTGACCACACACCACCTGCAGGACAAAAGAGGGTATTACAATAAACACCAAAATGAGCGTTAAGAATGTAACTACGGTTCTATGAATTCTGAAATGAAATACAGTAGTTTTTACCTGCTGAGCCTGTGAGAAAGAGGGCGCTATAGTCGGCACCAGGATGTTTCTTCCGGCTTCGGCCAACTGCCCGTGTCGTCCTGCTCCCCACAGATACGCGTCACACTTCCCCCCAAGGTGCCAGTCCTAAAACCAACAAATAATAAAACGTTAAAGCTACTAAATATGTATAATGAAGTCAATCATCAATCCTCGCATTTGAAAATCTTGGTTGTTTCTGTCCATCTTTTCAGAAAAATCTAATAACTCATAAATAATGTTTTCATTAAATCTGGTTCGATTCAACAAAGAATGGCTTTTAAGTATTTCCTAAATGTGTAGATCTATTTTCCATTATAGGAGTGTTATTGCAACTACAGCTGTGCAATTAACCACATTTTAAAATAGATTAATTCATTTCAAAGTGTCAAGTGTTCAGTTTGGATCTTAATCAACATGTTTACAAGCTCCAAAAAAATAAAATTAAAATGAAAACTGTGGTCAATTAATTCTATGGGGAAAAAAATTTGATAACTTTTTTTTCTTACCAAAATAACTTTTTCAAAAATGCTAATCTGTTATTTTAAGGAATAAATGGAAACAGAAATTATGTTTTAATAGTTATTTTGTCCCTGATATGGTTTACTTTGCTTTACATTGTTTATTTCTGTTTAAGAGCAAATAAACAAACTCTAAACTCAAACTTTTCAAACCAAGCACCATCAAAGAAAAAAAATTGGCTTTCCGAGTACTACCAGATCTAAACCAGGTCTATAACAGGACTATTCCAGGTCTGATCAGGGTTAAACCAGGTCTAAAAGTGGACTGCATCATTTCCACTGTAGTTCTAAGCCAGGGGTATCCAGTCTTTTTCCTTTGGTGAGCTCCTTTACAAAACAAAAATGCCAGAGAGCTACACATTTTAGTGGCCACAAAAAAATAAGAGACGATTATAAGAAAGAGGGCGAGCTTTTGTTAGATGTACAGTTAGATGCCAATGAAACATAAACCACTGTCCATTTATTAGTGCAAAAAGTTAGACTTCAGAATGATACATTTACAATAGTAACAGGCATGCAATTAACAAAATTTTTGTTATTAAAAAAAAAAGTAAAAAAAAAAAAAAAAATCTCTATTTTCCTTATATTTATTTATTCTTTTTTAAAATATATTTAATTTTTATTATTGTTATATATTTTTATAATATTACTAATATTAGTATCATTATTATTATTATTATTACTATTATTATTTTTTTTTTTTTTTACAGTGGAGATTGGATATTACAGTGGAGGAGGATCATGGGAAGGGGAGTCTGGGAAATAAAAAAAATTGTCACATTATATTACTACTAATTGTTTTTCTCTGTGACATCCGCTTTAAGTGCACAAAGTTATTCATCAGCACAATGATACAATTTGGAATTTGGAATTTGGAAAGGGATGGCGAGCTGCAGGTAGTTGGAGACCCCTGTTCTAAGCTCCAAGTCTAAATTGGGCAAGTACATAAAATGAAAAACTGTCCACCTGAAGAAGCTCACGTCCCACAATTTGAGAAAGATTGATCTTCAAACTCACCTCTGGTCTGGAAGTCGCCCAAGACATGATCTGCTCGTCCATCCCTGAGCCCCATTTACTGTTATCCTGAAGAAAAAAACAATAAAAACATATAAAAAAACATATCCAACTCATATTACTCACACAATCACAGTTAACACACTCACCATGAGCAGAGCCATCTCCTCTTTGGCCACGGGCTCGAGGTCGGGGACAGTGAAGGATTCTGGGAAAGTGAGTCCTCGGGCCAGAGCCTCCGCTGCCTTCACCGTGGTGGAGAAGCAGTCGAGCCACGCCCACTCGCTGGCGGTCCACACGGCCAGCCCGGACTCCAGGGGGCAGTGTCTGAGGTGAGGGGGCACCGGGGGGCGACAGAGGAGCGTGTCCAGGTGAAGCCCCACGGCCAGAGAAGCCAAACACTGCATGTACGGACTGTGGACCAACTGCTCCCCACAAACCACGTGAGGCTGAGAAAGAGATTTAACAGTTAAAACACGTACAGGATGTATAGAAAAACAGAATTAGCACGTCACATTTGACACATTTAATTCAGCATAAAAATACATTTCACTTAATTCCTAATGAAAATGATTATTCTGAATTAAACTTAATTCCGAAGTAAGTGGGTGGTTGATTCCAATTTAAAGCCGAATTAATTCATTCCTCGATCATGTAAATCAGACATGTCCAAACTATGGCCCGTGGGTCAAATGCGGCCCTCAGACAAATCTTTCTTGGCCCTCAGGCGTCCAGGTGAATTGGCCCAAATAACCTTGCATCAGGAAACACCCAAACCATGAAAAAAGTGCGACTTATAGTTTAAAAAATACAGCATATAGCAGACACAAGCACTATATGTCTTCCTAAGGGCAAAAATATGTAACCAAATCACCAAATCATACTTGTTCTTGTAACCACCTTCATCTAAATACATTTTATTATTTTCAGGATGTGAAAATCCTGAAAATAAATGCTTGCAGTAAAAATTATTTTTTTTACTGCAAGCATTTTGAAAATCTACTTTGATAAAGCTCATATTTAATATTTAGTGTCTGGTTTTAAGGATCTTAGCATGAATAAAGTTTGATGGCTCATTCTAACATTTTAAACATTCACATATTTCAATTATTCACTGTACTGAGCACCAGTCTACGCCCGTCGATCGGCCCTCTGCTTCATCTGTGTTTAGATATGTGGCCCTTGATGAAAAAAGTTTGGACACCCCTGATGTAAATGTTTATTCTCCTTAAAAATAATTCTGATGCGATTCTGAGTGATCTGGCTCCACCAGTTCTGGGTTCGAACTTTCCTCCACGTCTCTTTGGATTTGTGAGCGGGATGTGGGAGTGGGCTGAGATAAAGCAGCTGTTGACTCAGTTTGTCTTCTTCCTCCCTTCTCCTCCTTAGCTGACAGACGTAAAGCCTGATGAGAGAATTCTCCAGCTGCTGCGCAATTATCATCGGAATGACGGCGGAAAAAGTTTGTGTCCGTGGCGTAGCGAAAAACCGAGATGATAAAAAAGTCGGTAGCAGCTGAACTGTGTGTTTTCTTCCAGTCGACGTAAATATGTTCGTGTCTCTGTCCGATCAGAACCTTCCCCACCCCCAGACATTGAGCGAAATTAAATAAAGGCGATATAACATGTTTTCAACCCCATTTCGGAATTATTATTTTCATGTTAACTCGAAGGAGAATATTTTAGTTCCCAACTATTTAATTCAGAATTAAAAACATCATGTAAACGTGGCCAGTGACTCTTTAACTCTTCCTCAGGATCTGGAGGATGACTAAAATAAAGGGAATAACTCCTCCTTCCCCTTTTTTGTAACCTTTCGTCTTTATGAGCTCCTTTCCTCCTTTCACATCCCTATTTCCTTTTTTAAAAATTAATTATTAATATTTATGTATTTTTTCCAATTAATTTACATCGTATATGTATTTAATTTATCTATTACTACAATCAATTTATTTACTTAATCATTATTATTTTCATAATTATTTTACTTATTATTTATTTTTTATTTTGGGTTGTTTGGCCAGTGGGTGGGGGATGTTTGATATTCAGAAGTGTCATTCTGTGTTACTGTCATACCTGTAACTGCACTGTGTTTGTCCTGTTAATGTTAAAAATTTTCAATAAACAAAGTTGGAAAAAAAAAGAAAAGAAAGAAAAACAGAATTAGCAGAATTAGAATTAAAAGTGCACTATGTAACTTCTGAGCTGGAGGATCGACTAAACAGTAAACATATCTTTGCATTTGTTCAATTACAGAATTTTTTTACAACTCAAAAATGCCTTTAAACATGATTTGCTACCATGTGCAGGCTTGCTTCTCCATAGATCTGACCATTAACTTGTCTGCGTTGTGCTTACCAAGTTTATTTGCGGAATAATGACGGCAAAACAGTAATATCTCACAGTGCTGTATCCGAATTTTCTCTCTATATTTAACCAAAGTGTGTCTTGCCCCAGTTCAGATGTATTATAAGAGCAGCTCATCAAAGTATGTCAGCTGTCTGCATCTAATGACAAAGCACTTTATCTTCTGAGAATCAGGAAGCGCGCTGCTGCTTAGTTTTTAGTAAAGATTGAGGCTCAAACCAGAACGAAGCAGAATTGTGTTATAAATAATGTGCTAAATTTAAAAATAGCGAACTGCAGAAGGCTCAACGTGGACCACAGTTTAAGAAGCACAACATAAAAAGTTAAACAGACTCAGAGGATGTGAGACTGACCTTCTCGTAGGCGTACTGTTCCTGGAGCATGACGGGGAGCCGCTCCAGAAAAGCTCTCATACACGGAGCCATGTTGAGCCCCACCACCCCCTGCCTCTTCAGCGCCGAGCGGCACGTGGCCAGGACGTGGTTCGAAGACATGAAATCTTTGGAGCAGTTCACCACCAACACATCCTGAAAATAACAAAAACGTATTTAGATGAAGGTGGTAACAAGAACAAGTACGATTTGGTGATTTGGTTACATTTTTTTGCCCTTAGTAGGACTTTAAGAAGACATATAGTGCTTGTGTCTGCTATTTACCGTAATACCGGACTATAAGGCACACCGGATTATAAGGAGCATTAAGCGAAACAAACAGGCGACACTTGAGACTGATCCCTTAGCCCAGACATTCAAGATCCATTGGCAGATTATGGTGTAATTCGCTCGGCGTTGCCTCCATGTCTTGATGAATGTGTATTCTGAATGTGAATGTGGGTGGACTGACATATACACTAGTAATTTGAGTAATAATGTGTTTAATGCAGCTTTGTGCACATTTGTTTACATTTTACAGAAGCTAAACTTAAAACCGCATGGCTAATTTGTATAAACTAAGCGCTCAAAAAACAGCTCGCTACTGTGCGCTGATGCGGTTCATCTTCTGTCAGACTAAAGGACAAGACTCAGTGGAATATGAGTGTTTTTTTTGTGACAGAGGGGTGTTCTGCTGATGGTGAGTCTGTTCTGTGATTCTATCTTTGGAGATGGTTCATGTGAAACTTTTCAGAGATGATAAATCTGAAGGTCATAGCACAGACCGTATATATCAAGAGGTGTGGCTTTGTATTTTAACAAAGTCGTACTAAAACATTTTGACAGATGTTTGAGCGACGTGTTCCACAAAAAACTTGGTTCAAGGTCAGTAAGTGCAAGCAGAATCAATACGTTAAAAGGCGCACTGGATTATAAGGCGATTATAAGGATTTTTGAGAAAAATTAAAGGAAGAAAATTTAAGAAAATTGAAAAAATTAAAGGATTTTATGTTATAAGTTATAACACCTTTTGATTATTATGTTCTAATAGATATTTGAAATGCCAATATTGATCTAAAACGACTTAATAAAAACTGAGTACTGCGTTTAAAAACTACAGTGCCCAATGGGAGCTGATGTTGGTGCAAATGTTATCAGAACAAATAGTTGTGTAGCTGTCGGCACCTCCAATGATAGCTGCAGATCAAGCTAACGAGTAGTGGATTTTTTTAGCACAGATTACAATTTTTGAAACGTATCACTTGCGATGCAGGGTTTACAGTTAAAACTTAAAAATACAGATTTTTTTCTACTTTTCTATTTTCTTCTCTTTCTCTACTGAGGACACTACGTAACCGACTTGTGATTTTCTAATTGTAGTTCAGTCTTGGCGTTTTACCTTGGACCTGTTGGAGCAGACGGCGACGCCCACATCGGGGACCCACACGATATTCTGGATGGCCCCCGACCCGGCCACTACAGTCTGCAGCACCGAGCCGTCCTGACCACCAGGGGGGGACACAGGAGACACGGGAGGAGAAACAGAAACAGATGAGTTAGAGTCAGTGAGCGGTGAAAGAATGTGGAGTCAAAACTAACAGAGCGAGAGCACAAGACCTGATCAAATATACATCACACTGTTGACTGAGAGAACAACGGTTTTTACACTCACTGTTCTCAAACTGGGTTCAATGTGTTTCCTTAATTCATTTTTTAACAGTCTATTCCTTCCATACATAAACTACTGTGTGGAAATATGGGGGAAAACACATAAATCAAATATTAATACATTTTATCTACTCCAAAAGAAGGATTATTAATCATGGAAATTACTATGCACCAACAAATCCTGATATAAGCTAAAAATACTTCACTTTTTTGTACAAGGCCTATACTCATCTGCTCCCTCCTTGTCGACAGGAGTTATTCGAGCAGGGAGTCAGTATAACCTTAAAAAAATGAAGATAAGAACTAAGAAAAAAAATAATAATAATAATGTATTGTATATAATGTTGAATAGAAGATGTGTTATTGTCTGACTTTTTAAATATATATTAACAACTATTTTCCTTCTAGCCTTCCTTTCATCACACCATCTAAAACTACTCTTAACAACAACTATTTATTTATTTCCCTTTGATTTTAATTTGACACAGTGAAACAATGGAGTGTTTTAAGTCTGAAGAGTTGTGTGGTCCTCTGTGTGATTTATTTATTTATTTTATTTATTTATTCATTTATTTATTTATTGTTTTTACCGGTTTTTAGGTATTTTTTTATTACTGCTTTTATGTATTGATTTGATTATTTTTGTTCATTGATTTTATTATTATTATTTTATTTATTGATTCTATTAATTTCCTTATGGTTGGAACATAATTCAGCTGCTTTTTTTTTTTAAAGTAAAATGGTTTACGTTGTGATATAAAGCACTTTGGAAACTGTGTTGTTTATAAAATGTTCTATACAAATAAAGTTGGACTGGATTGGATTAATTTGATCATAAAACTTTAGTCCAGTTGACAGAGTTTGAGTTTCCCCGTTGCTTTGGATCCCACCTGGACGACGAATTACACAAACATCTGCTTTTTTAACGTGTGCAGCGAGTTACTGGAAATCTTCAAACGGGTAGAATCACTTCACCACTTTACCATCCACCCTCCATATCTGAGTCACATGTGTCACGTCTTATTTTCATTTTCTTCATATTTGTCTCTGTGTCTGAAAGTTAAACCGTTAAAATCTCTCACCCGCAGAGACCAGATGTTCATGAGGCCTCCCAAACCTCCAGAGGCCAGAGCCAGACCATCAGGGCTGAAGGCCACTGTCCGGACCGGGGTGATGTGACCTTTGAGCTGGAACACGCACACGGCGCCCTCCTCTGACCACCCGGAGCACTGCAACATGACAACAAGAGGTAATGTAAAAGATCCAGCTTATTTTACCCACAAGGTTTTCACAAATATGTCAGTTTTGAACGTTAAAAGGCAGGACAGACGATAATCAGATGTGGGATAAGTAATGACTGTAATATTTAATAAACAATAATAATCAATAAAATAAAAAATGTCATTAAATGCATTTATTCTAAGGGAAAAAAATATTGGGAATTTCAATCCGTGTATCATTTGTTCATTAGTTTTTCAAAATAAAAACAAAAATAACGAAACGAAAGAAACAACTATTTTCTTCATTATTTGTCTCCAAACCCAAAATGAAAAAAATGGATAATGATTCATTTTTTCAGTTTTCGATTTTGTGTTTAAATAAATAATGGAAAAAACTGATAAAGGTCGTTTCCGTGACTTAAACTGCGATACCGGACTTTTGCGCTGCATACAGACTAAACCAGGACTAAACCAGGACTGAACCAGGACTAAACCAGGACTAAACCAGGACTGAACGAGGACTAAACCAGGACTAAACCAGGACTGAACCAGGACTAAACCAGGACTGATCCAGAACTGATCCAGGACTGAACGAGGACTAAACCAGGACTAAACCAGAACTAAACCAGAACTAAACCAGGACTGAACCTGGACTAAACCAGGACTAAACCAGAAATAAACCAGGACTAAACCAGGACTGAACGAGAACTAAAGCAGGACAAACCCAGGACAAACCCAGGACAAACCCAGGACTAAACCAGGACTAAACCAGGACTAAACCAGGACTAAACCAGTCTCAGTCCTGGTCTGTTCCCGATCTGAGTCCTGATCACCCGACAGTCTATGCGGGCGCACCTCCGGGCCTGTCCTGACACTCCTGGTTTAGTCCTGGTTTAGTCCTGGTTTAGTCCTGGTTTAGTCCTGGTTTAGTCCTGGCTTAAAACTGAGACCAACACCAGACAGAGACCAGGACCGAGACAGGGACTGAGATCAGGACCAGCACTGAAACCGGGACTGAGACTGGGACCAGACCTGAGACCGAGACTGAGACCAGGACTGAGACTGGTTTAATCCTAGTTTGATCCTGGATTAGTCCAGATTTAGGCCTAGTTTAGTACTGATTTAGTCCTGGTTTAGACCCGGGTTAGACCTGTTTTAGTCCTGGTTTAGTCCGCGGCATCACAGTTTAAGTCACGTAAACGCCAAACAGTTAACCGTTTTTTTCCATTATTCATTTGAACCCAAAACTGTACTGTATAAGTTTATATAATGGACACTAACTGTAGACAGGATTTAAGATTTTGGAAGTGAAATTAATTTGTGTATCATTCGTTCATTTGTTTTTTAAAATAAAACCAAACAATACTACAACTATTTTAAAACTCCAATATTATGACTTATTTAAGGATTTGTAAATAATCGGAATGTGAATCTTACCCTGAACTTTGGTTTGTTGTCGCTCTCCCACCATCCGTCCACTCCACAGGTGGATTCTGGGAAGTCTGAGATTTCCTGAGGCACAGTCCAGATGGAGACCAGACCGTTTTGGCAACATCTGAACAAGAGAAACATGTTCAAATTATTATGAAAATAAGAGTTAAGCATTTTGTAATATAGTTGTTAGAGCTCATTAGAAAGTGTAACGGACTTTGTCAATTGTAAAGTCCTTTCTATTGTTTTGCGTTCGTCATTTTGCCAATCTAAAATAAATTGTTATCAAGATTTTTGCTATTGCTTTAAGAATGGACTTTTTGTTTCCTTTTTGAGCTCTTTGTTCAGTTCATCATTTTAAGATCTTCCAGTTTAATATTTTTATCCCAGTGTGACTCACATGGCTAACATGGCGAGGGGTCTGGGGGCTCGTCCGGGCAGACCGCACCAGGCCACTCCGTTCACCACAGACGGGTTCCTGATGCTCTGCAGACAGCGCCACCCGGAGCCAGAGTTGTGATCTGCACCCCAAAGTTTCACAGTCTCCTCTTTGGCACAAGTCAGCAGCATCTGACCGTTCGGACTCCACTTCATACTCGTGATGGACTCCTGGAAGTGAATCATAAATTAGGAAACTAAATGTATGAATTTAATGTTTGTTGATAAATACAGGGACGTTATGTCATGAATACACCCGTAGGTGTTTTATATTATTGACAAAAATCTATATATTCTAAGAAGTAAGGGGACGATGTTGATTTCGTACACCGCTTAAAGGTGCAGTATGGAACTATTTCTAGCTTTGCCACCTGCTTGTCTCAATGATGTTGCTATTATTTTACCAAGAAGCAACTGCAACATGGTATTAAATTCAACTATCTCCACAGAGACAAACTATACCGAGTTACAGTAAGATCTGTGGAAAGGTGACGGTGCTCAGAGTGATAATGCACAGTCATTGTTTAAGGTATTTTTATAATAACTTCAACTGGATAAACAAAAGACAGACGTCATCATGCTGAATGCTGATAGTTATGTAACATTCCAGGTAGAGCCCTGCAACCAGTGGGACCCAACGCAACATAGTGTGGCACGGGACATATTTGAAAGCTCACTGCAGGCGCGGGCGGGAGGGATGATAAACTACAGTCCTGCAAACTAAATATGAGTGTAAAGTAAAATATACAAATGATGTTTTTAAGCCTATCATGCATAATTTGTGCTGGACATTTTATTTGGCATTAATAAAAACATTTTAAGCAGCAGACTGTCCCCCCTCCCGTACACCGCGCAGACTGTCCTCCTGTCCCGTACGCCATGCAACTAAAACAGGACTAAAACAGGATTTAGCCAGGGCTTAACCATGCCGCCGGATCGCCCACCGCGCCTCCTCTCATACGCAGCCCAATTCCTTTCGCTTCTCCGTGTTTGACAGAGTTTAAGAAAGCAAAGGTTCCCATCCCGTGGGACTTGCGGGTGGGCGTGGGACAAAATATCGCAGATGCGGGCAGGAGCGGGACTGGAAATTACAATTCTTTGGGGGAGCGGGACTGCACAGTGTGGGAGCGGAACTGAAAATTCTATCCTGTGCAGACCTCTAATTCCAGCAACAGCATCTCTATGGAGACAAACTACTAGAAAAATTACATAGTGCACTGTTAAATTTAATAAGAGAAGTGTAGAGGCTAAACTAGTTGTCGGTAGGTTTAGATGGATCTTGTTAGAAACATTTGGTCGATTGACTACATTAAATAAAAATAAAGCTCTTATAGATGATCCACTTTACCTTGTGAGCGTCGATGACCACGATGGCTCCTTTCTCCAGAGGCTCTTTGGTCCCGATCAGCAGTTTCCCGTCGGCGTATCCCACAGCGAAAGGTCTGTCCTCACTGAACCACGCGATCTGCATCACTGCCACTGAGACACAGGAGGACTGGGTTAAAAAACAACGCACCTGACTCATTTATCTATCGCATTTAAAGCAACAGCGACTCAGGTGGTATGAAAAGTGATCTTAGAACCTAAAGATCGCTGGTTCGATCTCAGCTCTGACTAATTATGTTGAAGGATTGACTGAAAAACAATCAAATAAATTTACAGATGGTAGTTTTAAAGCAACTCTGAGTGTCCAAAAAACCTTAAATCAGTCATCCAGGTAGGGTACATCGCAAAAGAACTCAGCTTTTGTTTTTTAAGGAGTGAAAAAAGTTAACAGAATTGAAATTTCTTTTGAGATGGTTATAAGAATGACTCATTAACATCTCTACAGGTTAAAATATATAATTCAAACTGGTATCACAGAGTGTGTTCTTACCGTCTTTCCTGTAGCAGTGCTCGAGCTCGGTGCGGTGCATAGAGGAGGAGTCCAGGACTTCGATCAGACCCAGGGTCCCGTCCATGCGTCCCACCAGCAGCAGGTCTTTGGGTTCTCCACACCACAGAGACTCCGCCTCCTCTCGGGGCCAGGCCAGAGCAGAGACCCAGTGAGGCTGCACGTCCAGCAGCCCCTTACCCCCTGGAACAAGAGGTGCAACAATCATGTCAACATTACTGTTTCAATTATGGTAATTACATAACAAAAAGTGCTTCTATAACATCCTTTACAAACCACGAAGTTACCATGTAGACTGAAAAAGAGTCCAGCTAACCCCAGGTTCCCACTCTTTTTCACTGACAAAATTTCAAAACTTTTCCAGGACTTTTTCCATGACCTAAAGTGAATTTTCTATGACTTTACTGCACCTACATATGTAGAATTCATCAAACTTTTTGGGCTAAATATGAAATGTCAATCCTTTCCACTCACTTTATGGTTTGGGATTATAGTTTTTTAACATTCGAAATACTGCCAGTGCATTTACGGTCGTCTCCGGGGTATCCTCAGGTTTGACTACCCCAAATTTAAGACTATTTTAAGACCTTTTTAAGACCACTTAAATGAAAATTAAGACCAACATCGCACTCACTATGCAAGCAAAAAACACTAGATTCAATTCTAATAATGACCATTACTCACTGCTTTAAATAACAAAAAATACTTTTATTATAAAATCTCATTTAGAACTCATTTATACTCATTTATATAAGTATGCATTGCTTGTAAAATACAAAAAAAATGTTTATAATATTCTAACAAGACAAACAAAGTATTGTTTACGCATACTCCAAATTAAACGTCCATTCATGTTATGTGATTTCATGTTGGTTTGTTTTTTTTTCTTTCCTCCCTCCATTTAACATTTCACTGCAGCTCAGTTGAGTACACAAAAAATAATAATAATAAGCAAATGAAATTTAAGACTTTTGTGATAAAAATAAGACTTGAACAACATAATTTAATTTTTAAGGCCTTAATTTAGGAACATGAAATTTAAGACCTTTTTAAGATTTTTAAGACCCCGCGGCTGCGGGAACACTAAAATTCCATGAATTCATTGAATTTACAAAATGCTATGACTTATCCCCTGTAATTTCGATCTAAAAACATGCATGCAATGAAATGATTCTCATATTATTAATTCATGTGGGCACTTTTGTTCCAAGTTTAGTTCTTGTCTAGTTTCGGGTTTAGTCCTAATTCTGATGTAGTGTGTGCAAGCGTAAACACAACCTTACCTTAACATTTCATATTTTTGTCTTTGTTCAAACTGTTAATACCTCTAGATGTGTTCAAATTGTGCGCTTTACTTGACATTTGCAGATTTGGTGACATAAAGCAATGTTTCAGTCGTGTGAAAAAGCCCATGAACAGTTTAACATTCAAATACGTATTATTAAAAAATATTAACTGTGAATTTTACCGTTGACTTGCCAGATGTTGACCATTTTCTCCATGGCAGAGGCGAGGTATTTCCCGGTGACGCTCCAGGCCAACGGGGAGAGAGACGGGTCACTGGGAGATCCAAGTCCAGACATCCCCTCCTCCGAAGAGCCGTCACTGACAAAACAATGGAAAACATCAACCATAATGGAACAAAACAACTGGACAGTGCATAAAGAAACAACCAAAGCAAATATATATATCAGTATTTGTCCTTTGTACAGATGCGCTGATTTTCTTACTTCTTGTTGAAGATGCAGGTCTGTTGTAGCGTGTACTGGTTTTTGGTCACAGTCCAGAGTCGAACAGTTCCGTCGTTTCCACTCGTCGCCAAAAGTCCTTTTTTACTGCACCAGCTGCAAGTGATCACCTGAGACCAGAGGGACACAGGAAATAAACTTATAAATAAAAACAATGCAAAGAAACAAAGGAAGATCTCACACCCACAGTTACAACATAATCACTGTTTTTGTTCTATCACAATTTTTTTAAACACATTTTTTTAAATTTCTATTAGGGTAAGTAGTAACTAAAGAAATAAAGCCATCTGCTTCTTCCGTGAGTTTAAAGTGATTAGGTTAGAGGTTAAGTTAAATCCATCTCACCCACTTAAAAGCAACTCTCATCATCTTATTGTCCAGGAAAGAAATAAAGTTTTATTTTAATGTACTGCACTTATGATTACATTGCTCCATTGTAGATTGTCATTTTTCTTTGTTATACGTTCATAATGCCGAGTAGAGCATTTTATAAACTCATTCACAGCTGTTTTGGATTCTAAAATATCTCGCATAAGCTTACACTGGTCCATCTATATTATTCATTATTACATGATGGAGTTTTTCTCTTATTAAAAATACAATGATTTCAGCCTTATCCCAATCTTCCTCCTTAAACTTAGAACAAACTTTCCTGTTGTGTGTCCAGACTCCACCTGGCTCCTCCTAGAGGCTGCTGTGAAGCTGCAGGATACAGAGGAGGGACACTTTTGTCCTGAGGGCTGTTGCTCACCTCAAACTGCCCTGACACTGGGTCTGATGACTCTGCCTCACTGTTGAGCTGCACTGAGACTTTTGTTTGAGCTTTCTATTATTATTGTATTTTTCTGGTCAATGTGCTTAAACGTGCACTGAGCAACTTTTTCTGGGAGAGTCTGCTACCTGCTTGTCTCCATGGAGATGTTATTGTTTTACCTGGAATGTTCCATGATATGACATTAAACACTTACAGGGTGTCCCAGAAAGTTTGACATCATTTTGCAGGCCAATAATTTTGGCAATTCTTGTAGAAATTGCCTCAAATTTTCACAGAATGTATAAAAACAGATCAAGATTTTATATTTAATGTTTTATTTTTGTTCTGTTTTGTTTCTGTTTGAGCCGTTCACTCCCAAAGAGAAGGTATTTTGTGCCTTGGATTACGCTCGCACACACTCACCCAAGACTGTGCAGCCTTCAGTGCAAAATTTGGAAAAACTTCCAACAACTGGCAAACAAATATGGACCTGGTACCAAAAATTTAAAGAGGAAGGCAAATTATGCAGGGCTAAAGTATCTGGTACCAACATCAACATCAGAAGAGAAGGTCGAGCAAGTTCATGAAAAACTCTTGCGAAGCAACACAGATGTCAAATGTTTCAGTCCCATAATAAACTTTTGATGTTCCACACTTAAACTGTTTAGTTTTATTGAGCTAGACTTAGTACTTTTTAAGATAATTGCTTTTAAAATTATGTCAAATTTTTGGGACACTGCACATCCAGCAGTTACTCATTACGGGTGTTTCTGTTGCTCAAAAATACAGTAACGCCTGTGAATAGGAGCATCTCTCCACAGATCTTAACTGTAATGTAGCGTGTTTGTCTCCCTTGTGATGACAGGTTTAATCTATACTGTGAAACATTCCAAACAAAGCAATAACATTTCCATGGACACAAGCAGGTATACAGCAGCCCCTCCACCAAAAAGTTCCGCAGTGCACCTTTAAACTGCCCTTCTGGGACAAATAAAGTGGCATTGATCGATTGTTCCTCCTCACCCTGCTCTGATGCGCCTCCAGCTTGATGAACGAGCACTTCCTCAGGTCTCCCGCCATGTCCGCGAAGGTCTGCGGCCGCGTCTGGTTGTTGTCCCTGTCGTGCGCCGCCAGCGTGCGCACGAGCTGCTGCGCCGCCCACTGCCGATGCTGCGAGGAGAGCCGCGAGGAGAGGCAGCACGCGGCCAGGGCGTTAGCCAGCTCCAGGGGGCCTACAGCGGAGGGGTTATGGGAAGGATGGGCATACAAGTGCGCAATTAGACCTGCTTGAACGAAAGAGTGACAAGACGCAGCGGTGAGTGAGAGAATGACAATGCAGAACACCAACCCAGTGACACATGAGAACAGAAAAAAGCAAAAATAAGTGAATGTACAGTACTGTGGTTTAAAAGAGGTGATTTAAAATGTGCTACATTACATAAAATGGATTCTAGTGAGTTTTAAGACATGTTATAATGCTGTTACCTCCTCAAAAACAAATCTGAAGTTGTGTTTTGTTTCATTCATACATCTTTGAGTAAGCCTTATTCATGGCATCATTAGGTTTGACTATCCCAAATTTAAGACTTTTTAAAGACCTTTTGAAGACCACTTAAATGAAAATTAAGACCAACATCGCACCCATTATGTGAGCGAAAAACACCAGATCCAGTTCAAATAATGACCATTACTCACTACTTTAAACAACAAAAAATACTTTAAGTATAAAATCTCATTCAGAACTCATTTATAGTAGTATGCATCGCTTGTAAAATGGCCAAAAAATCATTTATAATGTTAAAATACATTTATGTTTTTTTCCTCCCTCTGTTTAACGTTGCACTGCAGCCCGGTTGAGTTTACAAAAAAATAGGCTAATGAAATGTAAGACCTTTGTGAAAAAGAATAAGACTTTACAACATAATTTACAACTTTTAAGGCCTTAATTTAGTAACATGAAATTTAAGACCTTTATAAGACTTTTAAGACTCCGCGGCTGCCCGGTTATTATTAGGCTACGTCCACACGACAACGCTCCTCGATTTTTTTTACAGGCTGAAAAACAATGTTTTTTTAAACTTTGAGGTAATTTAACTGATTTTAGATTTATCCCAGAAATATAGCCATTTTGTTTTGCAAAAGTTAAACAAAAATTTTCATTTTTAGCCATAAGATCTGAATGAGAATTATTGGAATAACTTGGTCTTAGTCTGTTTACATCTCCAAAGCTCAAAACGCTCTGTTCCACCTTGTGATGTCATGCAGTGGTAGTTTTCAAGTTAACAGCTCCTTTTACGTTTTGCTCAGTAGAGATCGGCAATTCCAGAGCTGAAATCGTCCAAATGATTCTAGTCTTCTTTGTGTAAATTAGGGACTGTGGAAGGAAACTAACTATTTATAATCTAGTGCAGAACATCTCTGTTTTTTATGAGCTTAATGTCTCTGTACTTTGTCCCTTCAAACAAAAACTAAACTAAACTAGTGAAGGTGTATGGCGTTAACAAACACAGTGGAGACTTCCTGTTTTATCACAAAACATCCCAAGGTGGAGCAGAGTGTTTTCTGTTTGAGAGAAAGTATACAACAAAACACAACTCCAGGTCTGTTTGTGATGAGAAAACAACATTATAACATCGATCAGACACGTGTTAATTGGACTAAGAAATATCTACTGTAATCACATTTAAGTCTACTGAACAGTACTGTAGGTGATAAAACAGAAAAACATAAAAGTGGTTCATGTGAAATGAGAAACATGAGGACACTACAGTGACAGACCAGTGGCTCCCAAAAGGTGGATCAGAGGCAAAAACACTAATAAAAACACTAAGAGCTGCTTTTACAACACATCTGTACTGGCACAAAACATTTTTTAAACTGAATTACATTAAAGGATTGGAGTCTTGTCCTTTCAGTCATTACACAAAGCTCATGATCATAGGTGAGATAGATCTAAACCAAGACTAAACCAGGACTAAACCATCTGATATAGCGACCGAAAAACTGTCAATCTTACACCAACAATTTGAAATCTATTCAGCAAAATATTAACCAATAAAACAGTCACCCCGCGAGAACCACTGGTAAAAGGACAGATCATGTAAGAGCCTGAATCGTGTCTCTGATCCACACCTCTCTTCTCCACGTCGGTTTTATCGTAGGCCGGTCTGAGTCTGGCTCCTTTGTCCGCGAGCAGAGCCACCAGAGCCTGAGTCACCACAAAGTTTGGAGACGTGATGAGTTTGTTCTCCTCCGCGACTCCTCTCAGGAAACTGGGCAGGAACTTTCTCTGGATCGGATCATCCACAGTGGTCAGGTTCATCCCGGTCGCTGCAGAAATCAGGTTCTGGAGAAAAACAACAAAGAAATTACAATTATCCTGACTGACATTTATAGCTATTAACCATGTTTTAACGGTGTTCTCTGCTTATTAGCTTAATCAAGTATTTTAATGGATTTCTGCATGTTTGAGTAATCCTGTATTGTCCTGCAACTCCTATCTTCCCTCCACTGCTCTGTACTTGACATTATTAAAATAAATAAATATAAAACAAAATAGGACTTTGGGTCAAACATGTAAGATCAAAGAATTTCACATAGCCATTTTTCAACAGTAAAAACATGTACTGTACTGAATGGTCTATTTTCGAACTTTTTTCACAAATAAACCGCTTTAAACAAAACACAACAGTGTGATGGGTGAGTGGTTTTGTTTGTTTGTTCGTTCACGGTGACTCTGGGCTTTGTTCAGTTGTGGCGTGTAGGGAGGGTGCTGTCTGGGACCAACGGATTGTCGGCGTGTTCGCAGTGACTCAGTTGTTCAGTCGTGTCTAGAAGTGGCACGTTGCGCTCGCTTTTTCGGTTCGTTCCTCCGTTCCGTTCCTCGTCGGCGTGGAGTGATGAGTGTGTCTGTGGGTGTGTTTCGTCGTGCGGTCGCTGTCTGCTCCGTGTGTGTTTGCGTGTTCTGCGGGTGGTGCGGCTTTGTAGTTTACTGGAGTCGTGCTGGGACACCTGAATGGATTCGTGTATAAGGCGCTCTGGATTGTGGCGCGCAGTCGCTTTTTAATGGGGTTGGAGGCTTGGAGCGCGTCTAATAGTGCGGAAAATACAGTAAGGAATGAATGTATTATCAGTTCTGCAGTTTGGAACAGAAACTCAGTGGACCAGTTGCTTTTAGATCAATTTAACATTTACAGTGTAACAAAATGTAAAATAGTGATATTTATGTTATAGTTTCATACTAATGCTATCAATTGATTAAAATATTTAATCGCGATTAATCTCATGAATGTCATAGTTAACTCGTGATTAATCACAATTTAATCACACATTCTTGTCCCTTGAATAATCATTTTAATCCTTTTATTAACATAGAAAAGTGGATAGGCTTTGCAATTTTTTTTTAATAGCAACTGTGTTTGTGACTGTGTTTGTCGAACCATCGCTGCTGTACTAAGAGCAAGGACGTCATCACATGGCGCTGTTTATTTACATGTGGTACAGAAGAGCTAACGCTTTTAGTGGAGAAAATAAGTCCAGCCGCAGAGGTGTCTATTAAATAATGAGACAGATATGAGTCCTGCTGCGATACACTATTCAGTGAGTTTATGGAGATAATAACAGCATTGAGAACAGCTGGAAGAGAGCCTGTAAAATTTTATCGAAGGTCAGTGCAGATTCACTGTATATTTTGGAGCAGTATTTCTTTTGTGTTTTCCTCGTACGAGTTACATCAGCGCATCTGACAGGGCTTCTCATTTTTGTACAAAATGTTTTGTTTCCTGTCTGCAGCCAGACCCTGTACTTTTTCTAACGTTACAGCAATGGAAAAAAAAAAAAGAAAAACTATGAAAAAACTAGTTAATGCGTTAATAACATGATATTTTGAGAGCACTATTTCATACTAAATAATTCTAGTACCTAAAGAGAAATTTGTCATCAGTATTTGAGCCTTTCTGCCTCGGTGAAGTGCTGTACCTGTGTGCAGAGTTGGACCAGCAGTTTGGCGGCGTTGGGGCTGTTGGAGGCGAGGCAGCCCACGGCGGTGCTGAGGTAGGCCAGGCAGGAGATGGGTTTGCTGGTCTTGGCTGCGCCGCGGGGCCTCTCGTGGGGCCCGGACCCGGACGGGGGGCTGGTGGAGAGACCTGCCCGTCCTGCAGCGGCTAAACACATGAGTCTGACCAGAGTCCTGATGTCAGTGAGACCCAGAGACTCCAGACCTGCAGCCAGACTACAACTGGAGCCACTGCAGAGGATGAGACGGAGAGAGGGGGTCAGAAGTTTCATAAAAGTCATAACAGTACTACTAACAACAACTAGAATGCTAACAATGCTCTTTCTGATTTGTTGACTATAACAATTACTTATAATTAGATGCAGACAGTACACCACAGTTTCATTTTGAGCTGCTTTTACAATAAATATGAGCTGGGGCAAAACTATTTTTACTTTATTACATCAGAAACAAAATTAGGTCCTAAAAAATAAGCCCCTTTAACTTCAAGACAAACAGGTAAACTTCAAGTGACAGTTAAATATTCAGTATGGGGTTCATGTTTTTGCTTTTATTTAATTTGGCTGATATCACCGTTTTAGATTAAACTGACAAATTATTATTTCTTTTGTTTATTTGCATATAATAAAATAGTAACAATAAAGTAGTAGCAGTATGTGGCCTGGATAAAAAAAAAAAAAAGAATTGTTAGGCTTAGACAAACTTTCTTGATCCACAAGTGAAATTATTTGATATTTGTTGTATAATTATTTGTTGTATAAATAGAACCGACCTGACAGAGAGCAGAGACAGGGCCCTCATGACCATAGTTCTCGCGAGCAGGACCTGAGCGGCGGCCGTCACTCTCCTCAGACCCATCACTCGGTCATGAGGCGTCTGCAGAGCGGCCGCCTGCTCCCCCAGAGTCACTCTGCCTGAAGAGCTCTTGTCCACAGACGTCTGACAGCCTGCACACACACAGAGGACAGAAGACACGCTGTTAGAAAAAACACAGGACTCACAGGTAGTCTGGTTTAGTCACAATCATCTCAGCTCAGTGTGGAAACCATAATCTTTCAATCAATCAATCAATCGAACATATTAAAGACACAATTAGAGGAGGAGAGAAACTGAAAAAAACTACTTCAGAGAGAGTCCTGCTGGATCTACTTGCTCAATATATTATACAAATTCTACATGCTGTATCTGTAGCACTTAAGTATTTTTTGCACTTATACTATGTATTTTTCTATATGTTGATTGATTAGGAATTGTACTATTTATATCTTGCAGTTTAAATAGCTTGTAACTAAAATCGGTTCAGCCTACACGTCCCATCATGCACCAGGGGACTGTGGACCAGCCCACTCTGAACATGTGACCTACACCTATTAAGGTTTTGCGTCTATGTCACAAAACCACGTGACCTGGTGTTGATGCCGCCATATTGGAGGTCAAACTATCCATCTGTAATATGAACGTGTAGTATTTGTGTGCGATAAAATTTGAATTGAATAACAATGGTTTTGACCTGTGTGGCTACTGGATGTTCTGGCCAGAGTCAATCTGCTAAAGAAGGAGGCCAAAGTATCTATCAGATCCCGGCTGATAAAGATCGCAGACAGAGGTGGAGAGTGGCCATAAAAAGAGAGGGATGGAGCTCACTGAGTCCAGTCGTCTGTGCAGTCAACATTTCATTTCTGGTGAGGGACCAGCTCCACACAAACAAACAAGGGATTTACAGTAAATTAAATTATATATACCAAAAGTATTTTTCTCGCCGGTGTGCCGGCACGGAGTGTACCAGTAAATATCTACAGACTAATGGTTGGGCACAGAGCGAGCGTTGATTAGACTGACAAAGTGCTCCATCGGAATTAGATCGGGATCTGTTCCACAGGAGGACGACTTTAGCTTTATATCTTTCTAATGACGGCTGATCTAACAAGCTGGCGATTTTGGACACTTCTATGTAGTTTGCACAGTTTAAAGTCACCATGATTATATTGAAATAAACGGAATAATCCCAGTTTTTACCTCCAGTATGACCGCCAAAACATTAAACCACGTGACATGCAAATCCTTAACTACTTTTAATCTGCACTGCGATAGCCATCTCGAAATGCGCTGGTAAGATTTTAACTTTATCTGCCATGTGGGATTAAAGGCTTTTAATTATTTTGTACTTTTTGAGTGCCTCAGCTTTTTCAACTTTGTACCATAATCTTTCAGCTGGCAAGCCAAAAGTGTCACTTCATCCCTTAAAGCAACTCCATGCAATTTACTGGAGGCTCACAGCAACAATGCATGTTTTTCAGCAACAGAATTTATTCTCTTCATTCTCAGTTACAACCAGATTTATTTAAGAAAATCAAACAAGAAAATCAAACAAGCTTACATTTCTTTAGACTATAAATTCTAACAAAATGGCAATAATGGGGCAGTTGTTCTAAATATAAAAATAGTGCTTCAATAGTGCTTTTTATGGTGGTTAAAAATGTATTGCTGCATCACACTGCAAAGCATTATGGGATACCTCCTTAAACAGACTCTAAAGCAAAGCCGGTATGTCCTTCTCCGTCAAAACAACCCTCCTCCTCATTTCCACTTCAGACATTTCGTAACATGTTTCATAATGTTAAATGTATAACGACGCCATGTGCCAGACTATCGCTGTACTTAAAATAAAATCACATCCACGTCTCACCGATCTGCAGCAGCGTCTCCTCCATGCTGTTGGTGGCGGTCACCATGGCGACGGAGGCTCCGAGGGGGTCGCTGTCTGAAAACTGGACGGCTTCAGGGACGATCCTCCGCTCGCTCAGACCCAGAGGCCCCGCCAGCAGCTCGAACTCCTCCTCTCCTGTGAGCTTATCCTCCTCGTCCACGTCCAGCATGTCCCAGTCCTCTGCAGGGGGCACGAAACGGGATTTAAAAAAACAACTTTCATTAACTTTTTGGTTCTTCTGTTTGTCCTTGTTTGTCTCTTCATGTCTCTAAGTATCTATAAAAGTGTCACATATCATTAAAAGTTGGTATCGAGAATAATTTTTTAACATTTTCAGCTCTTGGCATCTCCTATTTTGTTGATCTTTTGTTCAGCATCATGCAACTCCTAATAATTTGGATCTTACCTTCGTAGACACTGTCCTGTTTGCCGAGCAGATCAGGAGCTTGGCCTTTGTACCTGAGGAAATAAAACAATCCACACATGAACGTACAGTGTGTAATGAAGTAAAAATATAAGAATCAACCATTTGTTTGCTGCCTCAAAAAATGCTGACATCTAGACTGTGAGGTCACGTCAAAAATATAAAAAATCTGATATTAACGGAGACTAAAATTGGCATCATATCTAAACTACTATTACATTCTATTGTCTAAAAAAGTGATGGTTTTTTATCATCATTTGCCACGTTTACATGAGAGCTTGTTTTAATTTAATTCTGAATAAAAAAAGCTTTAAAAAGGCCATGTAAACACGTAATTCCTAATGAAAATGATTACTCAGAATTAAACTGAATTCCGAAGTAAGTGGGTGGTTTAATCAGATTTTAAAGCCGAATTAATTTATTCCTCGATCATGTAAACGTTTATTCTTCTTAAACAATAATTCGGTTCGTTCAGCGCATGCTCGTTGGGTCGTCCTTCTGAAAGATCCGGCTCCACCAGTCGTGGCTTCGGACTTTCCTCCACGTCTCTTTGGATTTGTGAGCGGGATGTGGGAGTGGGCTGAGGTAGAGCAGCCTCAGACTCAGTTTGTCCTCTTCCTCCCTTCTCCGACACTCTTCCCTTCTCCTCCTCAGTTGGCAGAGGTAAAGCGTGATGAGAGAATTCTCCAGCTGCTGCGCAATTATCATTGAAACGACTGAGTAAACGTTTGGATCGTGTTTGTGTCCGTGGCGTAACGACAAACCGAGAAGACAGAAAAGCCGGTAGCAGCTGAAGTGTGTGTTTTCTTCCTGTCGATGTAAATACGATCGTGTTTCTGTCCAATCAGAACCCTTCCCCACCTCCAAACGAATTAAATAAAAGCGATTTAATGTGTTTCCATGTAAACCTCAATTCGTAATTATTATTTCCATGTGAACTCGAAGGAGAATATTTTAATTCCGAACTATTTAATTCAGAACAATTAATTTGGAATTAAAAAACATCATGTAAACGTGGCCATTGTGGTATCAAAATCAATATCAAAGAAGAAAACAACACAAGCAAGAATAAGAACAAGAAATTTCAAATCTAAAAAGTAAAAAAATTTACTAAATAAAGAAATACAGTTATTAAAACTCTCCAGTCTTGTACCTCTCCACTATGGGCACTTTGGCTTTGCTCTTGATGGCGAGGTACTTCTCTCTGCAGCTCCCGCAGAGCAGGTAGTACGGGTTCCCGCTGCCGCACTCGCCGCCGAACCAGCCGTCCACGTACGACCCGTTGCTACGGTAACCCTGCCTGTTGGCGCTGCGCCCACAGCCCGGGTGGCTCTTCTTCATGTGCGCGTTAAAGTTGGCGACGTTGGCTTCGCACAGCTCACACACCACCACCTCGTCGCGGTCGTCTGCCTCGCACACATGCTGCAAACGTGGACAGAAATGTGTTACAGTATCGACAAAGTCAAACAGAAATGTACTGTGGTTAGTGAAAGAGATTAGAAAAGCATTCATGCAGCGACAGGTGTTATAACGGCAGCAGAAGTTAGCACGAAGCAGAAACCACAGATGAGATTAAAAAGTGAGATGGTTCTGTTCAACACAGTGAAAATATGTGCCTGATTTAGATTTCAGAGCTGCACAATACAAAAAATACAAGATTCATACTTCCAGAACTGTTTTTATAGATAAATACTAAGCAATATGTCTGGGTGAAGTGTCTTGCCTAAGGACATAATTACAGTTTTTCCCTTTGGCGCCCCCATGTGGCTCCTGATGCCCAGCAGTCTCACATCCAAGAACTAACCAGACCCAGCCCTGCTCAGCTTCTGAAATCTGACAAGATTAACAAGACTTTGGCCAGGTAATTTATTGCTCTATTAAAAATAAACTCATGAAAAAAAAAAAAAAATGTCCCGAAATAAATGTACAATTTATTCATTTAACATGTTGTTTAATTATATTATGATTATGTAAGTTACACTTTACTTTTATCTTGGGGCTGATTCTCTGTGCATATATTTTTTTTATTTACTGTATTTTTCAAACAGTAAGTATCACTTTTTTCATGGTTTTGGTAGTGTATATTAACATATTCACACTGAAGCTGCGAGAGGCTCTAATCTTGTGTGTCAGTATCTGTTCCTCCTGTACCACTGTCACTTGGCTCTACTGCACATGTCTCCTGCAGAAAGAGCCTCTGTCCTGCTGCAAGTAGCAAAATCTGCAGCCAAAAATGGATGGATGGACAAAGCCTGGATGGTCAGTTCAATGACACCGAAACCATCCTGTCGAAAGAAAGGCCGGAATAATTCTGACGACAGCGACACAGAAGAGGAAGCGTCGCTCTGTTTACCTCCAGAGGTCGAGGCCGAGTTGTTCAGAAGTGACACCGAGGATGAAGACTTGAATGGATTTAGTGATTTGGAGTGAGATGGAGAGTTTGTTAAACTTGTTCTGTTCAGTTGTTTATCTTATAGTTTATCTGAAGAACTGTTCATATGTGACGTTAACAGTCTGTTCTTCTCTCTTCTATTGTTTTTACTAGAACTTGACTTTCAACAGGAAATGTCAGTTCCTGGTCTTTGATTTTATAAAATAAATTTCCCCCAAAAAGTGCAACTTAAATTAGTTTTTTTGGCTGATGTGACTCTGGAGCAACTTATAGAACAAAAAATACGGTATATTCAGTCAATCTGTTTCTACCCCATGTTTGGTTAAGGTAGAAGGGTTATGTTTGTCTTTATTGCAAACATTGGCAATAAAAAATATTTTCATCTAACTCATAGTTTCATCATCAAACTCCAGCAAACCCCAGACATATTTTGTCTTCGATCAAGACACTCCAACGAACGGAGAAGAAAATAGTGCCAAGCGATAATGAGGTCTGACTTTTTAGGCGACGATGGTTTTTGTGATGCAAATGTGTCACTCTTTTGAACACATATTGTTTTGTGAAGAAAAACGCTTTATTATACAGTCCCCAGCCAACTTGCCGGACTACTTTCGTCAGCACCGAAAACGGCCAGTGTCTCGGTTCACCGGACGCTGTCAGGGGTAAATCAGTGTGGATGACAAACAGATTTATGTCAAAAATCCTGAACTATCCCTTTAAGTTGAGCTGTATTTGTGTGTTTTTAATATTTAGTTTAATCTCTGTGTTATAATATTTAGTTTAATCTCTGTGTTATAATATTTAGTTTAATCTCTGTGTTATATTGTGCAGCCCTGTTGTAATAAAGCACATACGTATGAGCTGCAGAGTGTCAGAGCAAAGCAGAGCGCAGCTGCAGCCTGTGGGAGCTTAAAGTCACACACACCCAGGTTGGCCAGTCCAGTACCTCTGGGATCCACATTCCCAGAATATCGGAGTCGGAGCTGAGGTCCTGTCCGAACATGGCCTCCATGGTCTCCTCGTCCAGGTCCATCTCCAGCTCCTCGTCCAGGTTAAAGTCGTACAGAGCTCCGGGGTCCTGCTGCTGCAGAGGAGGGAGGGGGACGTCTCTGCGGCTCTGACTGTGGTGGGCCTGAACCGAGCGGTACAGACCAGCTGAGGGGAGAGAAGAGAGAGGAAAGAGACGAGAAAGAGGAGAGGGAGGAGAGGAGAGAGACGAGAAAGAGGAGACAGAGGAGAGAGAAGAGAGACGAAAGAGAAGTGGGAGGAGAGGAGAGAGACAAGAGAGACGAGAAAGAGAAGAGAGAAGAGAGAGACAAGGGACAAGAGAGAGGAGAGAGATGAGAGAAGACGAGAGAGAAGACGGAGGAGAGAGAGGAGAGAGAGAGGAGAGGAGAGAGGAGAGAGATGAGAGAGACGAGAGAGAAGACGGAGGAGAGAGAGAGAGAGAGAAGAGGGAGGAGAGAGAGGAGAGAGACGAGAGAGACAAGAGAGAGGGGAGAGATGAGAGAGGAGAGGGAGGAAAGAAGAGAGACAAGAGAGATGAGAAAGAGGAGAGAGACGAGAGAGACAAGACAGAGCAAAGAGAGGAGAGAGACAAGAGAGAACAGGGAAGAGAGAAGAGAGGAGAGAGACAATAGAGGAGAGAGATGAGAGAGAAGAGGGAGGAGAGAGAGGAGAGAGGAAAGAGGAGAGACAAAAGAGAGGAAAGAGAGAGTAGAGAGGAGAGAGAAGAAAGAAGAAAGAGAAAAATGAGAGAAGAGAGAGGAGAGAGATGAGAGAGAGCAAAGAGAGCAGAGAGAGGAGAGTTAGGGACTAATTCTACACAAATAATAAATAACAGTGCATGATGTATTCTCATGTATTGTTTTGAAACGCTAGACTTTAATTTGTAAAACTGCTAAAATTAAAGAAGTCGGGTCGCTACGCAAGATAAAAATAAGAATAACAAAGATCTCACCAGCTCGAGCGAGCAGAGTGCGCGCAGCCAGGTCGAATCTGTGTTTGCGTCCGGCCGCTCTGCCCCTGTGAGGAGCTCCACTGGAGGCAGAGGCGTTCTCCTGCTCCAGACCCTCAGGACTGAAACGAGCATTTAAGGGTTAGAACCGTTTTATCGCCAAAGAGAAAACATGAGTCATAGGTCACAGTTCTCCCAGTACCTCTCGCTGAACCCCTCCTCCAGCTCCGCGTCCGCGTTAGAGATGTCTCCGGGGCAGCAGAGGTAGGGGCTGCGGTCCTGAGACTTCCCCCCGGACGAGGCGGTGGCTCCCGGGCACGAGGGGTCCGACTCTCCCCCCACGCTGCTGGGTCTGGTCTCCTCGTGGTCGTCCTCTCCCGGGTGCTCGATCATCCACATGGCCAAAACGGTGATGTTCTGAGCGTCGGCTTCTCCGCGAGCTCCTAAAAAAACACAAGAAACAGAAAATTAAAGGCCACTGACATTATGCTACATACTTTTTCTAATACTGATATCATCTACATTCCCTTGGGGGTGTGATGATAACTGAAGGCTCTTACTAAAGTCAGTCTGAAAATAAAAGATCAGATTAAAGTCTCTGTCATGTGGATGTGATTTCTGCCTATGTTATATAATGTGATCTATATAAATACAGTATACTTTACAATTTTATCTGCGAACATTGAAAGTGAAATGTTTTTTAAAATGATAAAAACAACAGAGCTGCGTGTACCTGTGGCTTCTAAGGCTTTGGTGATTTGCCTCAGAGAGAATCCCATTTCCAGCAGAGGGACAGCGATGGCGGGAGGAGGAGGAGAGGTGGACAGACGACTCGTGGGGTCTGAAAGCGCTGAAGGAAGAGTTAACAAGTTAATTACAAACAGGATTCCCGGTCTTTTTCATTGACAAAATTTCTAAACTTTTCCAAGACTTTTTCATGACCTCAAGTGAATTTTCCATGACTTTACGACACCTACATGTGTAGAATTGATCAGACTTTTAGGGGTAAATATGAAATGTTAAGCCTTTCCACTGACCTTATGGTTTGGGATTATAGTTTTTTAACATTAAAAATCCTGTCAGTGCATTTATTGTCGTCTCTTTTAAACAAAAGGTGCAAACGTTCAGAAATAATCATAATAGCCTCATGAGAACTTAACAGAATGCTGGAGTTGTGTGAAAGAGATACTAAAATTCCACGACTTTTCCAAAACTATTATTAAAATGACAAAATGCCATGACCTTTTCAGGCCTGGAAAATTATACTTTCAATTTCCATGACGTTTCCAGGCTTTCCATGACTGTGGGAACCCTGAATGACTGAAAGTTCATGTGACAGATTTTCGTGTTTTTCTAATTTGACTTAATTTGGTGGAATAGTATCAGTTGCAAACTTTGATCATAGTTTACATCAGTTAAGTGGAAGTTTGTGGAAGAAAAAAAAGTACAGAAGAAAAGCACAAAAACACAGGAAGTAAAGCTGAGTTCTAAAACATGAACACTAAAAATCTAATCCAAAATACAGAGACAATTTAAATGCAAATAAGCCTTTTTCTGACACAGATTTAACAAAATAAAGTAGATTTTTATTGGTCTAATCAAAACTCGTGCGTAATTAATACAGGTTTTTGCCCTAGTTGACGTTATGGTTGCTTGGTAACAGCTAGGGAATTAAAAGGGAAAAAATGCATAACACATTCCGACGACCGATGTCCAAAAGCTTTTTTTATTTTTTAAAATAAAATCTTCCTCAGATCATTTTTCTCGCTTTGGATCACAGTAACATACAACAACATACTGTGGTCTAAAGCAAGAAAAATTATCTGATGATGGATTTTCTGAATAAATAAAAAAAACTTTTGAACATTGGCCCTCTGAAGCCCCATCTACACAAGTAATTATTCCAGTCGTTTTCCTTGTGGATGCAGTGTTCGTCCACACTAATCCGATGGAAAACGGCTCCAGAGACGGAACGATCTGGTGCTGTCAGCTCCCATGAATTCATCTGAGTACAGATCTGATCCGACACTGAGTGGACGCCTGAAAACATTGATACACTGACACAGGAGCTCTAGTTGTGTCCTTATTGGACCACGTCACTGTGATTTGCGTCTTTCTGATTCTCTGGGTTTGTGACATTGGTCATGTGACGCTATTGTGGAAAACAGTTTAAACAAACCAGAGACAAACGGGAAACAGCGGAGCTACAACTGCTTATACAGAACAGACTCACCATCAGCAGAACACCCGTCTGTCACAGAAAGAACACTCATACTCCACTGAGTCGTGTCCTTTTTTAGTCCGACAGAAGCAGAACCGCGTCAGGACACAAGGAGAGAGCTGTTTTTTTTGAGCACTTAGTTTATGCAAATTAGCCATGTGGCTTTAAGTTTTGTTTCTGTAAAACGTAAACAAATATGCTCAAAGCTGTGTGGATAGGGAAGGTTTACGGACACAGAAACGTGGACGTAAATCGTTTCCGATACGGTGATACATTTCAGAGTAAACATAACCTGAGTGTGCCATGCATTTTTCACTTTTATTTTTCTGTTCCTTGCATTTGCACCTCTACAAAAACTTCAGTGTGTGTTTTCAGTTTCTTTTGAACAGTTATGAAATTACCTAAAATTATAATCTTAGAAAAAACAAGTCACAATGTTTAGTAAAATCTTAAAATACTATTATATTGGCGTTTTTTGGTGAAACGCGTAGTCCAACCTGTCAAATACATTTTCATTTGAGGGGAACATACAGGTTTTGTACTCACAGGTGCCGGCTCGGTTCTGGGGTCTGGAGGGCTGGGAGTCGGGGGAGGTGAGACTCTGCCTGCGTCCCACTTCGTCAGAGGGCGACGTGGGCAGAGACGAGACCGGGGGAGTCTGAGCTCTGCGCGAAGGGCCCAGCGTGGTGGTGGGGTAACTCGAGAACATTTGTCTGAAGCGAGAAACAAAAGAACAAATTAGATAAATCACAAAGTGGAACAGAGAGATTTCAGTTTGAACATGTGTGAATGAAACAAAAAACAAATCTAGGTATGTTTTTGATGAGGAAATATTATAAAATACACCTGAAAATACTGTAATATGGGCTTTTTAACAGACATTGGATCATGAGGTCTGAATAATACATGTTAAGTGCCTCTGAATGTCCAAAAAAACCCTGCTTTTTAAATCAAATGCATTATTTATTACACATTTCAATGAGACTATATGACTCAAATTTGATTATTCCACTCTTATATATTTTTACAGTAGTCTTCAGGATGTTTTGTGAGGCTTTTGTGATTTTCATCCATCGTTTAAGGCAGTGTTTCCCAACCTTTTTTGTACTTTTTGCATTGTGTCATAGTCTAAAGTGCCCCCATATCGGCTAACAACTATTCTATTTACTTGTTTTTATGATATATATGTCGAAATTATTCTACAGAAACATCGTTCAACATCTAAAATACATCACTGAGAACATTTTAGACTCAAATACTGTTTCAATTCCCTCTTCTTTTAAATCTGAAATCATTCCAAGTGCCCCCTGATTGAGAAGCACTGTATTAGAGCTGTATTCTGACATAATATAGCCTACTTTTTGATACAATAAATTCCGTTAAAAATGTGAATCCCACTTCAAACTGCACAAAAAAATAAATAAATAAAAAATTAACAGAGACTAAACCAAGATATACCCGATGTCTAATGTAGAATCAATGAGGTAAAATATGAAGAAAATCTGCTTTTTGTGCATTGAAACAAAACAAAACAAAACAAAAAATTTAAATTCAGTTAAATTGAGAACTCTTTGTTGTCATTTTCTTGCAGTATTGATTATTGCATTGGCCAATATTGTGATGATCTCAATCTGGGTTAATAAACAGCACAATTGTATGTTTTCTACTCAGTAAAAATGACAATAATCTTCCTATTTTTCCTCTGAACCATTGTTTTGATGAGTATTTCCTCCCCGTTCTGACCTGAGGAGGCTGAGAGGCATGACCCCCGGAGACTCTGTGGCCGGGACAGTCTCTGTGTCGGTGACGGGGGTGGTGGCGGTGGTGGTATCCTCCAGAGACGAGCTCATGAAGGAGGTGGTGCTGGAGGCCGAGGGGCTCGTGGTGACCGGGGTCTGGGCCGTCTGCTCGCCCTCTGCGCCCTCCGCCTCTCCCTCTGGTTCACTGCGCACTACAGACAGACAGGGAGATGGGTCAGACACAATACAGATTCAACTTTTTTGGGATACATCTTATATTTGGGGCCAATTATTTATATAAATTAACAAAAAAGAACATTACAGATGCCTCAGGGTGGGGCTCAATTAAGTCTAATGATAGGAGAGCCTTGATTTTTATATATTTCACTTTTACAGTTTGTTTCTCTGAGCTCTGAAACCTGCTCCTGAGCCGCTCAATCCACTGTGGGCAGCGAGTGCAGAATCCCCAAACACAGGACAGCATTTGGAGACTCAGCCTTTTCAAGCGCGGCCGTGCGTCAGTGGAGCATGTTACCAACTGAGCTGATCACATGGACAAACTATGGCACATTTTCACACCTGGCGAAACAGCGGCTCCTCTCAAACCAAACCTGCGCCCATAATGTGGACTGATGAGTGTCTGATGAGTGAAGAGAGAGTGATGCTCTGGAGTGAAGGAAATGAATGATGCTTTTGATAAGGACGATGTTTTTAAGATGCTGAGAGAACCGGGAGTGACTCATAATACAGAATTGTTATGATGCTCTGGACATTATAAAGACTTTCTCTTTGTATGTTTGATTTTATGAACTATAACATCAACCTGCCCAGGGACGACAGGTAGAAATTAGCACTGGCGCTGTAACCTGGTACAGTGCATCTCTTCTGTTAAGGTTAATGTAGATTGTGCACTGTCCCCGTCTCAATAAATAAATAAACTAAACCAGACACCTTCATATTGTTTATAAGACTAAAAAACCCACACTGGAGTGACTGTGAATAAAGATAAATTAGAAAAACAAATTAAATCTTCAGTCAGAAGCCTTAGATCCATTTAAATACTTGTAACAGGTCTGCAAAATTGAAATTGCAATTTTGAATGGACAATGGAAATTCTGCTAAAAAACTTAAAAACTTTTGAAATGCAGACACTGTCTCTGTAGTGAACACATTGTCTCATGTTCCTCACCGGTTTTGGTTTTCCCTGTGCTCGGTTCTTCCAGGAGTCCACTGACCACCAGTTTGTAAATCATGGCCTGAGCTCGCTCCAGATCGGCCAGACCCAGGGCTCGTTTAATGGGGGGACCTCATCACAGCTCTCTTCACCATGTGTCTCATCAGGAACTGAAGAGCCGCTCTCATCTCCACCTCCTCCTGACACACAGGAGACGAAGCAGCAGGGGGTGCTCCTGCACTCGAGTTCAGGTCTGCGTTATGACCAGACGACGCTGGCTCTGGTAAAACCTGAGAAAAACAAACAAGAAAAAAACATCTGCATCTGCAAAAACATTTGTGTTTTCTTTTACAATAGAAATACATTTTAAGGGCAAACACTTTAAATTAGTAGAGAATAAGATCAATTTAAAAGGTACATTATATAACTTTTCTAATGGAGCTCCACTCTCTGCTTGTCTCCTTGGAGATGTCACAGCTTCCATCATATAGAACCTTTTTCACAACAGACGAAAGTGCCACTGTGTAGAGTAAACGTCGCTTACGGTTAAAGCTTTTCTATGAAATGTCTCGTTTGTTCTCTATCAACTTCATAAATCTGCCCCATCAACAAATCTTCATCCAACAAGGTCCACAAAGGACATGTTCTGTCCATGAAGAATTTCATGAATAAAACATAAGTAACTTGTTAAGTCTGATTCTAGAATTAAAATTAAAAATCTGTTTCATGATGTAAATATTAGCACAGAGAGATTTGAGTAGTTTAAATGTGAGACATGTCATCTGTGAACACCTGTAGTATTTAAACTGCACAAATATCTACAACATGAAAATGATTTTTAATGTTAATTCTAGAATCAGTCTGAGTGAACAAGTTACTTTTTATTCATGACCATAACATTAGTTTTGCTCAGGAGTAGTTCACTAATACGTCGTCGTTGTTCGCCTTTACTTTTTCATCTTTCTTACTTTGATAGTTGTGGATAAATTCTTCATGGACAGAATATGTCGACCTTATTGGATGAAGATTGTGGGGGCAGATTTATGAAGTTGGTGGAGAATACACGAAACATTTCCATAGATATTTTGCCTTAGAAAAGCATTAACATAAGTAACGTTTACCCGACATCGCGGCACTTCCAGACGTTGTGAAAAAGCTCTGTTGGATTAAATCATTCATCATCCATTGTGACTTTAAATGGGGGTGTTTTTACTGTTGCAAAATACAATAAACACCAAGCAGTCTTAATGTGAGGGGGTTTTGTCTCCACATTTCTGACCTGTTGCACTTGGCTTGATCATATAACATAAAGCTTTACTGTGGAATATTTGGGGCAAAGCTTAAACAACTTCATGGAGACAATCAGGGTAAAGTAAAGATTAAAAAAGTAAAGATCTCCAGCTCACCTTTGGGATGAGGAGCAGCTCTGCGTACTTGCTACAGCTGAGCAGAGCACTCAGCGCCTTCATCGCTCCCAGGTACAGATACGACAGCTGCACGGCGTGGATCTCCGACTGCGTCACCGCCGCACACGGAGACTCGTGACTCCTCCCGCCGCCGTGCTCATGCCCCGCCTTCTTCCTGCTCCCCTCCGCCGCCGCCGTCGTCGTCGTGTGAGAACTCGGGCTGAAAATACTGTCATTCGCTACGTAGGAAATCTCGCTTTCTGATTTCGAATTGGGAGCCGCGTGCGCTTTGACTTCGTCCAAGCTGTGCGAGACTCTCAGATCGGACGACGGAGCGTTATTTTGAGCGTCTTTGGTTTCGTTGTGGTCGCTGTCGGCTTTGTCGTCGGCGTTGCTCTGCTCTTGGCCACTCGACGCGGGGCTCCTGTGCTTTTTGTAATGTCTTTGGGCGCTCAGTTTGGCTGCGTTTTCCTCGTGAATGCTCGTCAGATACGTCAGATCCAGGAGCAAGGAGGCGGTCAGTCCTCGAAATCGCATGACGTCGAACGGAAGCGGCTCGCACGGCTCCAGGTTGTATAAGGGCGTATCACTAGGCGACCAGAAAGTTGGGAAGCTTTAGTTGGGTGGGATTTTTTTGGGGGCGGGAGGGGAGAAGGGAAGAGACAAAAGGGAGAGGAAACACAAGGTAAGGGAGAGGGCAGGCACGAGCAGGTCCACATGCATGATCCAACCAAATCATAATCACAAAATCACAATAATAATAATAATAATAATAATAATAGTAATAATAATAATAATAGAAGAGTAGACCCTTTAAAACCTTAAAAATTCTGGAATAGAGGCAGCTGGAGGCGAAATTAAACAAACTATAATATATTTTAAAGGTGCAACGTGTGTAACTTTTTGTTTGAGCGTCCGTCACCTGCATGTTTCTATGGAGATGTCATCGTTTAATGTCATAATGTTCCGCAGTATGACGTTAAACGGCTCTACTTTACGTCTTCAGGATGTTTTGTGAGCCTTTTGTGACTTTCATCCACCACTTTTTTGCACTTTTTTGCATTGTTATTGTTTTTTTTTACTATTAAAGCCAATAAAAACTGTTCAATTTACTTGTTTTAATGATTTTTATGTTGAAATTATTCTACAGAAATGCCATTAAACATCTAAAATACATCACTAAGAACATTTTTGACTCAAATACTGTTTCAATTCCATCTTCTTTTAAATCTGAAATGATTCCAAGTGGCCCCTGTTTGAGAAACACTGTATTAGAGCTGTATTTTGACATAATATAGGCTACTTTTTTGGCTCAAAAATACCTAGAAAAATGCATTCTGACTGTAAGCGGGGTCGCCTCTCCACAGATCTGACCTGTAACTTGGCTGGTTTGGCCTCCATGAAGACAGAAAGGTTTAATGCCAGATTGACATGCTCGTGGTTTTAAGTCTTCATAACCATTTTGATTTTCCTGGATAAAAATTTGTCTTTATTTATGTTTGTATTTGTTTAATTTTTGGTATTTTATTTAATGTATTGTGTAATTTTTCTGGAGGAGGGACCATCAAATGGCTTTGTCAAATCAAATGTAAAGTAGAGCTTTTTAATGTCACACTGTGGAACATTCCAGACAAAGCAATGACATGTAGGTGACGGACCCTCCACCACCTTTAAATTATTAATTGACGTCTGGTCAAAATTCTCTTGATTTTCCTGAATAAAAATGTGTATTTATGAAATTTTTTGTATTTTTTGTATTTTTTTTTTTTTGTATTTCATTTATTTTATTTTTTGTAATAGAAAAGAAAACTAACAATTTTCTCTCCTCATAACAATTTCGATTTTCCGGGATAAAAAAAATATTATTTATTTATTTTCTATCTTTTGTAATAGAAAAGCAAACTAACGATTTTCTCTTCTGAGAACTGTATTTAAAGGTGCATTGTGTAACTTTTCTGGTAGAGGCTCCATCAAGTGCTTTTCCCCACTGAAATGTTATTGCTTTGTCTGGAATGTTTCACAGTATGGCATTAAACCTTTCTATCTTCACAGAGACCAAACCAGATCAAGTTACAGGTCAGATCTGTGGAGAGGCGCCCGCGCTCACAGTCAGAACATCTGTTTTTTCTTGGTATTTTTGAGCGACAAAACCACCTGTAACTGAGTAAGTGTTTTTAATTATCTTATTTATTTTAAATGTATTTTTATTGGTTTTATTTATTTATTGCTTATTCTATGATTTTGCTGTTATTTTATTTTACCGTTTTTTTATTTTATATTATTATTTATGTATTTATATTTATATTATATATTTTTTTTTATTTTTATTATTTTTTATTTTAAGACTAGTATGATTATTTTAGTAGTTTATTTTATCATTTTATTATTGTTTTTATTATGTATTTGGGCAGCACTTTGGAAACTGTTTGTGAAATGTGCTATAGAAATAAACTGGATTGGAAATGTAAAGTAGAAGCTGTTTAATGTCACACTGTGGAACATTTTGGGCAGAGCAATGACATATCCATAGAAACAAGATGGTGACGGACGCCCAAACAAAAAGTTATGTCTTTAAATCTGGGCTCTTACATGTATTAGAATCATTTTCAGTTCACAGTTCTTCATATTTTGTGGTTAATCCTGTTTTCACCATTGAAGTTGCATTGCTCCAGTTCATTTTTCGCCTCCATTATAGAATACAGAAAGTTTTCGTTGACAGTTCTTTAAAGGGTCTGTATGATTAAGGAATTAGCTACACGCATGCAAGTTAAATCGAACATGGAAGAAGTACAATGAAATATTAATGTATGAGGTCACAGGTATGCCGGTTATAGTTGTATGAGTTAGGGAGGGACAGTAGCAGGTCGTGGGTAAGAGCTACTAGAGATACTCAATGTCACTGGAATATAAACACGTGAAAGAAGAAACTATGCAATGATAAAAATGTTACACAATTTAGACTAAAGATGAAAAAACTACATATATGCTTCTTAAAATACATGGTTTGCAAAAGTTAACATTTGGATATGCTTCTAAACATTGTAAATTCACATCACACCAGTTAGAACACTACATTTTTACACATTTCTGGTGCTGTTATTGCTTGTAGTTTTGTTATTGTTCGTTTTAAGTCCATAAATGTCCGTGCTAAATAACTACAATATGTGTAAAGGTGCGTTGTGTAACTTTTCTGGTAGAGGGTACGTCAAATGTTTTTCTTCATGGAGATGTTATTGCTTTGTCTGGAATGTTTCGCAGTATGGCTTTAAAGCTTTCTATCTACACGGAGAACAAACCAGGCCAAGTTACAGGTCAGATCTGTGGAGAGGCGACCCCGCTCAAAGTCAAAATGTCTGTTTTTCTAGGTATTTCTGAGCGACAAAACCACCTGTATTTTAATAAATGTAAAGTAGAGCTGTTTAATGTCACACTGTGGAACATTCCTGGCATCTCCATAGAAACGAGGAGGTGACCCTCAAGCAGAAGTTACACAATGCACCTTTACATAAAAAATATTTCTAGACTGGTTATTGCTGATGGTGATATGTGTAATTATTAGTGAATTAATGAATGCACAAGGTTTGTCTTTAGTCAACCACAGCCTGAGTAAAAGTTAAAGATGCACTGTGTAACTTTTCAGTTGAGGGTCTGTCACTTTCTTGTTTCTATGGATATGTCATTGCTGTGTCTAGAATGATCCACAGTATGACTTTAAACAGCTCTACTTTACATTTATTCAATTACAGGTGGTTTTATAGCTCAAAAATACCAAGAAAAACAGGCATTCTGACTGTGAGCGGGGTCGCCTCTCCACAGATCTGACCTGTAACTTGGTCTGGTTTGGTCTCCATGAAGATAGAAAGGTTTAAGGCCACACTGCGAAACCATCTATCCATCCATTTTCTTCCGCTTTATTTGGGGTCGGTTCATGGAGCCAGCAGGGAGGCCCAGACTTCCCTTTCCACGCACACTTCCTCCAGCTCTTCCTGGGGGATCCTGAGGTGTTCCCAGGCCAACCGAGAGTCTTTCCCGGGGCTTCCTCCTGGTGGAACGTGCCCAGAACACCTCCCCAGCCTGCTCCGCTCAATGTGGAGGAGCAGCGGCTCTACTCCGAGCTCCTCCCGTGTGACTGAGCTCCTCACCCTGCCTCTACGGGAGCGCTCAGAACTCTGCAGAGGAAACTCACTTCGACCGCTTGTAATAATAATAATAAATACATCGGACTTATATATAGCGTTTTTTTGGACACTCAAAGACGCTTTACAAACAAATAAGAAGTGGCACAGTCGAAAACAAACGGGGGAATCATGGAGGGAATGCAAGTTTGAACAGGGGAGTTTTTAGAAGTGATTTAAAGTGATTTGTATCCGCGATCTTGTCCTTTCGGTAGACTGATCGAGAGACTTTCAGCTCAGCTCCTTCTGCATGAAATATTCCAGACAAAGCAATAACATCTCCATGGAAAAAAGCATTTGACAGATCCTCCACCAGAAGAGTTACACAATGCACCTTTAACATGTCCAGTTTTACTCATGTTTTTTACTACCACACATTTACCACATAAACATATTTTACATTTTTAGTACAGGTGTTTGTTGCCAGTACCTGATGGTGATCTCGGCTTCGTCCCATTGCACTTTGGCAGATGTACTTCCCTCTTTGACCACTCCGAGCAGCGTCGCGTGTCTCCCGGTTTGTTTGTGCACACACCTGCCTCCGACTCTCAAACCTGCGTCCGCTCCCCCGATCACCGCCAGAACGGGCCACACTTCGGTACACAGCGTTTTCAGATGATGCTCGGACAGATCTGCGAGCCCGTGCTGCCTCCCGTGTCTCCCCCGCTCCTCCTCGGGCCTCGGGGGCGTGTCCTGGATTTAAACATGTCACAATATTTAGTGTTCAGATTATTGTGAGGAAAAAAACACCACAATTTTATTTCAAGAGGCACTACATAACTTTTTTGATACTAGAATCTGCCACCTGCTTGTCTCCATGAATGTTCTACAATATGACATTAAATTTCTCTATCTTCATGGAGACAAGCATCAATTTCATCAAGTTATAGGTAAGATCTGCAGAGAGGCAACCCCGCTCACAACAATAATCCAAACACTTTATTATATTTAAGATTTTAGTTTTCTATTTTTGTAATTTTGTTAAAGGCTGTAATTTTACTTCTTAGTTGGACATAACTCTAAATTACACAATATTTATGATTAGACAAATAAAAATACCGTATTTTTCAGACTATAAGGCGCACTCAAAGTCCTTTAATTTTCTCAAAAATCTACAGTGCGCCTTTTAATCCGGTGCACCTTATGTATTCATTCTGTTTGTTTTTACTGACCTCAGACCGATTTTATGTGGTACAAGGCACTCAGAAATCTGTCAAAATGTTTTAATACGACTTTGGTAAACTACAAAGCCGCACCGCTTGATGGATTGTCAGAGCATTAAGGTTACCGTAGTTAGGAGCTTCGCTGGAGTCGTGTTCTTTAGTCCGACAGAAGCTGAACCACATCAGCACACAAAGAACGAGCTGTCTTTTCAGTGCTTACAGTTTATGCAAATTAGCCATGCGGTTTTAAGTTTTGCTTCTGTAAAATGTAAACAAATGTGTGCAAAGCTGCATTAAACACATTATTACTCAATGTATATTTGAGTCCACGTAGAAAATAATAAAATAAAACTTCAATTATCCACTAGGGGTGTAAAGATATCCAAGCATCGTCACGGTATGAACCTCACGGTACGATATTTATTGCGATATCGTGGGAAAGCTCATGATATGACAGAGAGGCTCACGATTAGGAATGTAAAAATATCCAAATCTCTCAGTACAATCTTTTCACAATATACATTCACGGTACGATATTTATTGCGATATTTTGTGGAGGCTAAACAGCTTTTCCTCTTAAAATGCCACAACAAGACTTAATCCAAAGAACTAAGACTTAAAATTGTTAGAACAGTTATTTGTTCTTGTAGTCTGCACTGAAATGGAGCAAAGGATCATAGTCTATGTAGTTCCCTCTGTCTTTTTTAGCTATTGCTGCACCATAACTCTTCATTTAAGCAAAGAGACTTGTAATTCAATTTATTGTGATGGGCCACAATATTATTGTGAGAACTTTGACGACACGATATCACAAAATTTCGGTCATTGTTACATCTCGATTATCCACCCACATTCACCAAGACAGGGAGGCAACGCCGGGCAAATTATACCACGATCTGCCAATAGATCGTGGACGCCTGAGCTAAGAATCAGTCTCAAGTGTCGTTCGTTTGTTTCGCTTAATGTTCCTTATAATCAGGTGCGACTTACCTATGAAAATAGACGAGAAAATTCAACATTATTGATACTGCGCCTTATAATCGGGTGCACCTTATAGTCTGAAAAATACGGTAGATGTCAACACTTTTATTTCGTTAAATAAACTGTCAGTGAAATGTCTTCCTTCAGCATTGTGGGGTATTGTTTTAAAACTCTCCGCTACATCCTTTTTTTGTACTTTTCTTCTCAACTTTTCACACAAACTGCGATAAATATCTACCACAGATATTATTCTACCAACTATCTCAGAATTAGAGAAACATAAAATCCCGTCATATGAGCTTTTACCAAATAATCTTAACATCGTCCGTACCTGAATCTCCTTTTGTGCGTCGTGTTCTTCTCTGCTTTGCACAGAGCGGCTTTTCTTCAGCCTTTGCCCCACGCTGCCCCCGGCGGCAGAGCTGGCACACTCCTTAAAGCACAGTTTGATCTTGTGGAGGCGTTCGATCATGATTTTGTTGATGCGGTGGGTCCAGTGGTCGGTGCGGTGGAGGATTCGGATCAGTTGAGTCGTGGCTTCGGCCAAAACAGTGGCCATGGGGCTACAGACGGGATCACCGGGGAGCAGGTCTCTAGGAGTGCCACGCATCTGCATGTCACAGATCTTCACCTGAAAAGAAAAAAATGTTCAAAGATACAGGGAAACCATCCAATAAATTTTTGGTTTCATTTTGGGTTTTCCACACATTTGGAGATGTAGAATTAGGCATTTTATACATTTCATAGATACTTAACCCAACAATTTCACACAAAGGGCTTAACAAACAGCTGGTTAAATCCTCCCTATTACAACTATGACTTGTCTGTATACATAAAAATACATGTTAGTTGTAACAGTATGACACTGTTAATTAATTTCATTGATATGAAACAGAGAATGCAGATGTATTTTACCTTCTCTCCAGGGTTACTGCTGTAGAACATCACACAGGGATAGAGTTCTGTGGCGTCCACATCTTCAAACGCCAACTTTGGCTCCTATAAATACACAAAATAACATCAACTGTGTTTGCCAACTTAGCCCAGAAACAAAAAATTAGTCATTAGTTATTTGATTACATTTTGGATATACAGGTTTTTTTTTGAAGCTGCACATCTCTTCCTCTAGTCTACGCCCTCTCCTCCTACTCCCTCTCTCACCCCATTTCACCTCTCCTCCTTCCTCTTCCTGTTCTCTGTCCCCATCTCCCCTCACCACTCTTCTCACTCCCTCTTTCCCCTCCTCCGCTCACCTCTCCAGGGTTCCCATTCTTTTCCACTGACAAAATTTCAAAACTTTTCCTTGACTTTTTCATGACCTAAAATTAATTTTACATGACTTTACAGCACCTACATGTGTAGAATTGATCAGACTTTTAGGCCTAAATATGAAATGTTAACCCTTTCCTCTCACCTGATGGTTTGGTATTATAGTTTTTAAGATTCAAAATCCTGTCAGTGCATTTATTGCCGTCTCTTTTAAACAAAATGTTTGGTAATAATCAAAATAGTCTAATGAGAACTTAACAGAACACTGTAGTTGCGTGAAAGAGATGCTAAAATTCCATGACTTTTCCAAAACTTTAATTGAATTTACAAAATGCCATGAATTTTTCAGGCCTGAAAAATGAGATTTTCAATTTCCATGACTTTTCCAGTATTTCCATGACCGTGAGAACCCTGCCTCTCCATTCTTACCAAATGAGATGGTCCGTGCCTCCATGTCTAGCACACAGTTGATGTAGTCCCCCTCTCCTCTCTCGCTCACCTCTCCTTCCTCCTCTTCCTCTTCTCTGTCTCCATCTACCCTCTCTTCCCTCTCTCTCTCCTCCTCCTCTCACCTCTCCGTTCTTTCCAAACGAGATGATCCATATCTCCATGTCTAACACACATGTGATGTAGTCCCCTCTACTCTCTCGCTCACCTCTCCTTCCTCCTCTTCCTCTTCTCTATCCCCATCTATCCTGTCTCCTCTTCTCCCTCTCTCTCTCTCCTCCTCTCACCTCTCCATTCTTTCCAAACGAGATGGTCCGTGCCTCCATGTCCAGCACACAGGTGATGTAGTCGCCCTGGGTGAAGCTGCTCAGCGTCAGTGTCTGTTCTCCGTTGTGGTAGAGGTTTCCGCTGTAGGCTCGGTACAGCCACATGTCTGAGGTGGTTCTGTGGTTGAAGTCGTGGACGGGCCATCGGGACACGCCCACACAGGTGCCCTCGTTCCCGCGGTTCTCCTTCACTATGTAGAACTACGGGGCAGACACAGAGCGAGTACAATGGAGAGAATATTACAGTATTTGCATTGCTCATGGTAACCCAATGTTTCAAAAGCCACACTGTAATCATTAGTCACAGCTGCCCTGGGGTAGACTGCCGGAAGCAAGGCTGCCAATCTGAACTACTGGCCTCTCAGACCAGCAGCAATCACTCACAAACACACAACATTCATACGAGGCAATGTGGGAGAAGTGTCTTGCCTAAGGACAGCAGAACCTGGTCCAGTTGGCAATCAAACTTACAACCTTCAATTTTAGTGGATGCTCTGATCACCTATACTATGATGCAACAACGCCTAAGAAATAAAAATTTTGTATAACGTTGTTTATACTAGGAATGGGGATTCGATTAAATTTTCTTAATCAATCGTCGGGAGAATTAACGATCGATTTCTCATCATTATTATTACTATCTGCACTACTAATCCGCATAAAAAAACTCAACTTTTCGACATATAAACCGTAACCACTGACATTATGTGTTTAATGCAGATTTGTGCAAGTCTCAGAAATGAAACTTAAAACCTCATGGCTAATTTGCATAAACTTAGCAAAGAAAAAACAGCTCTTGTGCGCTGATGAGGTTCAACTTCTGTCAGACTAAAGGACAAAACTCAGTGGAATACAGATTAGTGTGACCATATTTGCGTATGTCAAAACCAGGACACCATACGGGGGGTGGGAGGTGGGGCCTCGTCATCGACAATGAGCGACTCTCACCTGGCAAAGCTTTTTCATGTTTTTTCGGTATCCTCGTGCTTTCAAGTCCCTGGCACTCCCACTGGACACTGAAACATATGTGCTGCTTCGTACACTGTGTACACGGCCTCACACTTGTCTCGACCGGGACAGAAAGTGGGGAATTTCTTGTACAAGTCATCGTTAAATGTCAATTTGCACTTCGGCAGGTCTGCTCGCTCCTTCTGAGTGCAGAGAGCTACAAGAGCCGCTCAATTTAATGGCCCCAATGAACAGTGATGAAAACCCAGACATTTGCATCACTTTATAAAATCAAACCCAGACGACAAGGACAGGACGAGAAAAACTGACATGTCCGGGGAAAAAATGGACATTTGGTCACCCTATAGCCGCAAAGCACAGCAACCTACATTCGGTTTGTCTCTTAAAAATGAAGGTAATCGATGAAATTCTTAATGATTAATTATCGATTAATCAACTAATCATGCCTATCCCTAGTTTATACTATCACAATATAACAGTCAGAATAATCTCAGTTGGTCCACCCCAGGGCAGCTGAAGCCACAACATCTGGACCATATTTTATCAGAAGTAAACAACATAAACAGTCTGTACCTTCCACTGGTAACACCCAGAGGAGATCCCTGTGGAGGCGAGGCCGTAGCCCTTCCCTCCGCTGCCGTGGGTCAGGCCCTGCCCGTTCTCCACCACGCAGCACTGCGCCTTCTCCGGGTCGAAGGACACCTCCTGGATCGGCAGGTTCTCATCCTCCTCCTCAGCCTCACCCTGAGAGCAACAGAGACAAGAGTCAGTCTACAATCTGCATTATTCAACTGTTTTTGTCACACAATTAATCCAATCTCCAATTAGGTGACAAGATATTTTAGGTAAAGGTGATCAAATGTATTTCTTGTATATACTGTGTAATGTTCTGGTGCAGTGTAAGTTCAGCTGCTTCACCTGTAGTTTCAGTTCTTGAACTCTTTCTTTGATTTGCATTGAGTGTTTGGCCTGAGCGACTGGAGCCTCCCACATGCAGTCAGACAGAAGGGTGAAGAGTCGCTCCACAACCTGAAAAAAACATTAAAAGACTTAAATTCATACCTCATTTGCCATGAAATGTGTGTATGTTGGTGTTTTGCTTAAGAATAAGGATTGACAAACATATCATCTACTAGTATTTTTGTTGTACCTGTGTCATCTGGTCGTCCTCCATGTTGGCCTCACACGCCGGCAGAACAGCCTCCAGAACATGAAGAGCCAGAAGTCGAGTCCTCAGGTTCCCCACCAACGGGACGCCTGCAGAGTTCACAGGGAACAAATCAGGTCATGTTTCAAGTTATAAATAACAAACTACTAATATTATTTAATGTGAAAATTCAAACCTGAGCAGCATTTCTGAGCAGCGATGTTGAGCAAAACTTCTGTCCATTTGGGGGAGGCCATCTTGGACTGGATGGCTTTGGACGAAACAACTCTCCTCAAGAAAACCAAGAAGTCTCCCAGATGTAACTCAGCTGTGTGCTGTCTGCGAAGAACAGCTAAAAATAAAGAGAAAATAGATTATATGTCTACACTCTTGTAGTATGCTATTCTAGCTTTTATTTATATTAACTGATTTTCATTTTTTATTTTTATTTAAAAGACATACCGGTAAATATATTCATATAGACATGATTTGCACCAACCTGTCTAGTTCTGTCTTATGTCTCAAAAAGTTTGATATTGTATAATATATAATGTTAGAATTTTGTGTCAAACAAACTGTTCTTTATGCTGTGGTCTCTCACCTCTAAAGTCTTTCTTCTCAGAGTCTGTGCCGTCTTCATGCTTCTTCTCGTCCTGGTCCTTCCCTGAGGACAGTTGTCCCACTCCAGCCTGAGACAGCAGATTCTTGAGCTGACTGCAGAGGAGGTCCAACAGAGACTGGACCACTTTGGGACTCAGCTTGTCTGCATACGTCCTGCAACAGAAAATCACAAGTATATAAAGGTAACAACTTTCTAAAGCTCATATGAGTCAATTTTACGTAATATAGGGAATTTAAATTCCAAAATATAACTCAATTATATAGAGAGAGTTTTGTTGGAAGAATCTCACCAGTCAGGAAATTTAAACTGTTGGACAACTGCAAATCACTGCCATATTACATATTGTTCATTTTGAAAACTTCACAAATCATTAGAAACTGTGTATAGACATACTGTTTGACTTGAAACATGCATTGAGTTTCCTGATCGTATAAAGCAAATACCTGTTCCATTGATGCGGCTGTACCAGAAATTTATCCACAAGTCCAACATTGGATGAATGGTTTGAGATTGTTTATGATATTTTTAAGATGGAGAGAATTACTTTTAGCATAAGACTGCAACGAGACAAATTTGAAAGCAAATGGAAACGGTGGATTGAATATATAAATACTGTGAGATCGGACTTTGTTTGACCCATTACTTAGTTTTTCTTGCAATTGGCTGTAATAATTATTATTCATTATTATTATATATTTTTTCTTTTAATTAATCCATCCTTTGTAAACATCAAGCAACAACAACAAACACTGCATCCTTATGAATTTTGAAACACCATTTGAGTTTAAGGTCCATCCACATGATTCTTCCCTTCCCTCACCCTGTGCTGATGGCGAGTATCTGCAGGAGTCTGGTGGAGGCCACTTTGAGGGCCGTGCTGAGCTGAGACACTCCAGGTTTCTGCAGCAGTTGGAGAGGTTGTCCTAACATGGTCTCCGTCCCACACAACTGAGACAGAACGTTCAGGAGTCCACTGGAGATGGCCAGAGACACGTCCACAGGCTGGTACCGCACGCTCAGGGCAAACACAGTGACCAGCAGGAGGCGCTGCTGAGCTTCTGTGAGAGGAAAAGGAACACAGAAATGGTAAGAGTTGTGATTAGAGGGGCTTAAAATAAAAAAGGCAAATATATCAAATAAAATCAAATGTATAACCAAAATATATTTAAAAATCATAACAATTTCAGAGTTATTAATTTAAAAATGTGGTTTAAAAAGTTGGTGTCAAAAGGCAAAAGTTAAAATTTTTTGTATTAATAATTATAGTGGTGTTTTACAATCTTAGAGTAAATTTAGCTCTTTTGAGTGTTTTGTATGAAGAGTAAAATCCTGTAAAAATCTGTCTTCTTTTAATACTCCTGTAAAGTTACTGAAATATAAATATAATAAAAATCATTTTGTGTTTCTTGCTTTTTATTGCAAGATCTCAAATATTCAAAATATAACGCATACAGCAAAAAAAAAAACTAAGAAAGTGAAAATAAACAAGTAAAATGTAAAAATAGAATAAATATTGAGGAGGAGGAGGAGGACCTAAAGAGTAGTGTTGTGTATTTACCTATGTGGTGCTTGTTGGCCTGCAGAGCTCTCTCCAGAGTCACTGAGAGCTGTTGGTAAATCTTATGAACCGCAGTCTGGATCTCCATCTGAAGACTTCTTTTAGCTGCTTTTATCCCGTCCTAAACAAACAGAAGAAGGACACACGTGTAAGAATAACACAGAAAGACTGTAGAGAACTGGATAACAAATGAAAACAATGTCCAAATGTCATGTAACGGCAGTATACTGGTGATGCTGATATATTTATTGTGATTTTGTGAGTTTGTTTCAGTTCATAACTCACTGGATGCAGACTCAGAGTAAGCTCACCTCTCCACTAGGCGTGTAACGATATAAAAGTCTCATGGTACGATATGAACCTCACAGTACGATATTTATTGCGTTATCGTGGGAAAGCTCACGATATGATGGGGAGGCTCATGATTAGGGATGTGACAATATCCAAATCTCTCTGTACGTTATTTTCATGATATACATCTCACGGTACGATATTTATTGCGATATTTTGTGGAGCCTAATATGCTACTTTTTACTCTTAAAATGCTTTGACAAGATTTAATCCAAAGAACTAAGACTTAAAAGTGTTAGAACTGTTATTTCTTCTCGTAGTCTGCGCTGAAATGGAGCAAAGGATCATGGTCTATGTAGTTCCCTCTGTCTTTTTTTTAGGTTTTGCTGCACCATAACTCTTCATTTAAGTATAGAGACTTGTGATTCGATATATTGTGATGGTCCATGATACTATTGTGAGAACATTGACGATACGATATCACGATATTTCGGTTATTGTTACATCCCTACTCTCCACAGATCAGAACAGTAACATGGCCGGGTAGCGTACGCAAGATAAGATTAGTTTAATGCCACACTGCTACAAAGGGAAATAATCCACCATTAAAACAGGATTTTTTCATAGTTTCCTTTACTCTGCTTTTTAAGAATTGCAATAAAACAAAAACTTTCCAAGGTTAACATTTTATATCATACAATTTTAGGACAATATCTACAAAAACATGACATATCAAACCTAAAGATACTTGATTAGATGTTTTGACAGACCCGGTAGTGGAGAAATCTACATTATTGTATTAGTATTTTGCTGTTTCAGACCTGGTAGTGGTGTAGCTGCACGCTCTCTCTCTTCAGCCCCCCGGTGCCCACTGTGCCCAGACCGAAGCAGCCGGCCAGAAACTGCAGCCTGACGGAGGTGAGGAGGGAGGAGGAGTGGAAGGGGCCGGAGCGCTCGCTGTTCCCTGGAGCGGAGCCTTTCTCCTCCATCCCAGAGATCAACACTACGATCTGGTGCAGGGCCTCGAGACGCAGCTGCACGGGTAAAGCAGAGACAGAAGAGAGTTCAGTTTTAAAGTTACTGTATACGATTCGATTCATTAAATTTAAGCATTTATGTACTCATCATGGTGAATAATCAGAACGCCCAAGTTTAGTGAGGAATAAAGTAGTTGTGTCACATTTTAAAGACCATAAAACACAGGTGTCAAACATAAGGCCCGGGGGCCAGATCCAGCCCTCCAAGACCTTTAATGTGGCCCTTGGGTGATTTTCTACTAAAATATTTTAATTATATTTTCTATTAAAATATTGGTAATTTTCTGCGGTGCTTGGCATAGCAGCGTCTCCAGCGTCTCTGTACGTGGCCCCTCCCACCAGAGCAGCACAAATGAAGACTTGTCTCTTTCCAAACGCTCTTAAAGGACGATCGTTTTGACTGTTGACCGTGACACCCTCATCAGAAAAATGTCAAAAATGAGAAAAGTGGAGCAGAGTGCAGGATTTTCCAAGAAAAATTGACTTATTCCTGTTTACAAACAAGTTATTGTTAAAACATTGTGTTGAAATTGTATTTTTCTAAAGTTTCAGGTTGTTCATAATATTATAATATTATAATAAGAAAGAGTTCATCAATTAAAAAAGATTTCTGTAATAGATTTGTGTTTCTCTGCACAAATATTTGAACTTATTGTTATTTTTGGGGTTTATATGCCATGAGTTTTCTGATCCGGCCCCTTTGGGATCAAAGTAGGTTGGATACGGCCCCCGGACCAAAATGAGTTTGACACCCCTGCCATAAAAAACCTGGTAACGTGTTTATTATTGTTAATTACAATCAGAAATCAGAGAATATTTACACATAAAAAGTATTACTGATTAAAATGATCATCACATGACATTTTGATCTAAAAATCCATCCATTATAACATTTCTTTTGGCATGTATTTTAGTCAGAATGGTCCAGTTAGTAATTAAAATATCAAAATACGATTACAATAATGGAACAGTAGATTAGTCACGATTATTCTGATTACTTTTTACAGTTGCTCCCTCTGTATGAAATATTTTTGGCCTTAACTCTTTCCCCCATGAAGACGACATTTGATGACCCCCCTTGTTTCCTTAATGACGTTTTTTGACTCCTCCGCTGTATCACTAAAGACGTGATTTGAAGACCATTAGAAACAGTTCTGGTTTTTCACAAGTAAACAGAGGCTGCGATACGTGGGCCAGTACAACTCATACCAGGCTGACCAATAGGATTCAAGGATATGTTTTTGCCGATTTTTTCCAAAGTTACTCGAAGAAGTGAAGATTGTAGCTTCTGGAAAAAACACAACACGAAACACATGCAATAGAAAGGTTGTGGCGCAGTTTTAGAAATAATGAGTAGCAGGCGTATTTCATGTATAACTTAAGAAAGAAAGTGACGTTTATAGATTTCAAAGTGATGATGAAGTTGATAATAAAGTGAAAAACAGTAACAATGACGGAATTTCGGAGAGTGAAACTTACGAAGGTGAGAATGCCAGTGATGCATCTGTATGGAGTAAACTATTGGGGGACTTTTACTCAATTATGGATCAAAATTGGGTTTCCAGAGATACCAAATATGTCTGTTTCAATAACGTTCATGAGTGGAAGTCTGTTTTCTTTTATGCAATTATGCTCTATGGGTAGCCCTAGTAAAATATGTATGGGTTGTTCCTAGTAGGCGTCCAAGGGGGAAAGAGTTAAAAATGTGGTGTACTTTAAAAGCGTGTTATCTAAATACCACACATTTTTATCTTGTTAAACAGACTCTCTCGCTCCCCTCACCTCCGCCCTGCTCTGCTGCTGCTCCATGGCCAGGACCAGGGCCTGGGGGCTGGTGGACATGCTCTCCTCCGGCTCCCTGAAGGCCGGAGCCAAACCCACGTCTCCGCTGATGAAGCTCAGCATGTTGTCGATGAGAGCGTGGACCCCCAGGGACCGGTTCAGGTCCAGGTCCGACTCCTCGTACGAACAGGCCGAACTGTAGCTCCTCTGACGGCTCAGCTTGGCCCTAAACCAGGACTCGGCCAGAGAGTCCGGGGAGCTGTAGAGCAGGCCTGGAGGAGAGAGGACAGAGGTTAGAGGGTTATATGGAAATGAAAATGGAGTATGTTTAGGCCTGTCACGATAACAAACATGGAAGTACCGTATTTTCCAGGCTATTAGACGCGCTCTTAAACCTCCAACCCCATCAAAAAACGACCGCGCACCCCACAAACGGAACGGAACGGAGGAACGAACCGAAAAAGCGAGCGCAATGTGACACTTCTAGACACAACTGAACAACTGAGTCACTGCGAACACGCCGACAATCCAGTGTGTCCCAGACAGCACCTCCCTACACGCCACAACTGAACAAAGCCCAGAGTCACCGTGAACGCCACAAACAAACAAAACCACTCACCCATCACACTGTTGTGTTTCCTTTAAAATCCGGTGCGGTTTATTTGTGAAAAAAGTTCGAAAATAGACCATTTAATGACAGTGCGCCTTATAATCCAGAGCGCCTAATAGTGCAGAAAATACGGTATTGAATTTCTCCTTTTGCCATTATATAGTGAAATTTATAGAAGCCCATTTCCGCCACTAAACACAAAAAATAAAATCCTCACGGAAAGTCATAAAATTATGAGTTTAAAAGTCATAATTGTGAATTACTTTTAAACTTATAATGCTGACTTTAAAACTCATAATTATTGCTTTCTGTGAGGCTTTTATGTTTTATGTTTTACGTTTAAAGTCTGGTGCGGTTTATTTGTGAAAAAAGTTCGAAAATAGACCATTTAATGACATTTAATGACAGCGCACCTAATAGCCCGGAAAATACGGAAGGTTCAGGCCAAAGTATCGCAATCAAATCGAAATTGCAGTTGATATTGATAATCGCTGAGGCCCAAAATATACTGTTCCGTCTGTGATTTACTGAATGACACCTGATATAGAAATTATCGTGACAGGTCTAAAGTCTCTACTGGAAACTAGTCGACTAAATGGTAAATGGTGGAGGAGCAGTTTGCATGTCTTCTTTGTACTCCAAAGACATGTGTGTGTAAAACCAGAGGAGGTGATGGCGTCTGGTGCTTTCTGTCTTCTATAAGAATGAATGAATGAGGCTATGGGAGGAATGTACAGTTCTAAATTATAATTAAATTATTTATTTATTATAATTATCGATACAGCAGGTAAAGATGCTGTTGCAGGCAAAATGTGTGTGTGCAGCAGAAGCAAAGGTTCTTTAGCTTCTTATGTTTTTCCAATTTTTGCGTTGTCTGCTATATTTACAATAAAAAAATATCACAGTTGTATCAGCTTTCATTATTTTTAACCTTCTTATCTACAGGATATCCCCAGGTTTGAGTAGGCCAAATTTAAAACCTTTTTAAGACCACTTAAATGAAAATTAAGACCAACATCTCACCCATTATGCGGGCAAAAAAAACATCAGATCCAATTCTAATAAAGACCAACCAACTACCGTACTATATCTAGAATCTAAGAGCCACTGTGGATTAAACCTACACTTCCTCATGATCCATCCAACGTCTTCCTCCACTCTACTGGTTGTTTACTCACTGCCGCCGGCGCCAGAAACCAAAGTATTGTTTGTGCATACTCCAAATTAGACGTTCATTCATGTAACGTGATTTCACGTTGTTGTTTTTTCCCTCCCTCCGTTTAAAACTGCACTGCAGACCGGTTGAGAATACAAATAATAGGCTAATGAAATTTAAGACCTTTGTGAAAAAAATAAGACTTGGACAACAGAATTTAAGACTTTTTAAGGCCTTAATTTAGGAACATGAAATGTAAGACCCCGCGGCTGCCCCGTATCTAATGTTAAGGTCAATTTTACAACTGTCCTCTGCATTTGACCCAAACTTCATTGCTCTTGGGGCAGTGCAGAACGTTAAGATCCATCTCCAGATCTTGAGCTAGACTTGGCCAGGACTACTTCAGCTGGAGCCGGGACTCTAGAAGCTCAACTCAAACCTGGAACCTTCTTGCTGTGAGGCGAGAGCGTGAACCACTCAACCACCGTGGTGACTTTAAGACACAGGTGTCAAACATACGGCCTGGGGGCTGGATCCGGCCCTCCAAGACTTTTATTCTGGCCCTTGGCTGATTTTCTACTAAAATATTTTAATTATATTTTCTATTAAAATCTTGGTAATTGGTAATTTTCTGCGCCACTTAGCGTAGTAAGACTTGTTTCTTTCCAAACGCTCTTAAAGGACGATCGTTTTGACTGTTGATCATGACACCCTCATCAGAAAAAATTACAAAAATGAGAAAAGTGGACTCCAAGTGCAGGATTTCCCAAGAAAAATTTACTTATTCCTATTTGCAAATAAGTTCAAGTTAAAACATTGTGTTGAAATTGTATTTTTCTTAAAGTTTCAGGTTGTTCATAATATTATAATATTTTGTAAAAGAAAGAGTTCATCAATTAAAAAAATTTCTATAATAGATTTGTGTTTCTCTGCACAAATATTTGAACTTATTGTTATTTTTGGGGTTTATATGACATGAGTTTTCTGATCCAGACACTTTGGGATCAAAGTAGGTTGGATACGGCCCCCGGACCAAAATGAGTTTGACACCCCTGCTTTAAGACATTAAGGTACTTTTAGCCAAACATATTTAAAACACCTGCACATTTGTGGTCCTGTCAGACTAACACAGACGTTTTATTTTCTGATCTTACAATTATTACATTACGTTCATGTTTATAAATCCAAACTATAGATGAGTTTAAGCTTAACAAAGCCAGCCTCATGAAAGATGAATGGAGCTATGGGCTGAAACGGGAGAAAACGTGCCATCGTTTACGTGCTTGAAGCTCCTCTTGTGTCTTGGGCTCAACTGCCCCAAAAGAAGCAAATAAACTACCACAGTGTAAAAGTGCAAAAACAGAGGAAAACAGACACACAGGAGTTGAGCTGAGATAAATGACAAACAAAACTGCACTGTTCAGACATTTAATAAGCACTGAAAGTCTCTTACCTCTTTTCTTGTGCGAGAACGTTAAATCCAGGTCAACGTTTCTGCGGCCGCTCTAAAAGGAAATTATTCGTGAGTAGAATAATATTAATTTCAGTGAGTCCAGACTTATAACTGTTAGGATAAATAACTAGGCTTAGGTGGTGTATAACTACTGCTGTGATGTAACTGATGTGCTGCTATACTTTATTTTTGTATTATTAGAATTCACTATACAATGACCCAGAAACAGGGACCAGATTACAGATGAGGGATGCAGAGATAGAATATCTTGTACATGAACTAAACCTATTTTTATCTATATGTCTAATCAATTAACTAAATAGGGCAAGGATTTATTGATAGGGATATGCTGACTTCACAACTCATCACCTTGATCAGACCAGCAAGACGCTCCCGTAAGAGGAGGGAGATGAATCCGTGGGAATACTTGTCACAATAGACACATCAAGAATCTCAGACTTCCGGTCATTGCGCAATTCAGACTGGGAAGGATTTTCCGAAAAAGTGAGCATCAAACCTCCATGTTTGTTTTCCCAGTGGGATGTGTCTATTGTCAAAGTCGATCTTTTCAAGTCTTTTGAACCATATCACTTTTGTTTCTGGCTCTGATATTATCATATTTTAGTTTTGGGATTCGGACATCGTAATTATGTGGTTGTTGGATCCTAACAGCGGAAAACAGCTTGAGAAATTTGTTTGCAAACTCCATAAATGCAAAGGTGCATCAGATGTGTGTGACTGTAAACCTCTGTTCAAACTGTTAACCTCTTCCCAACGGAATTGAAAAATAGTGAAAGGTGAAGGCGATGGGCAGGATTGATCCACGGGAAGGACGAAAAAGGAAACATTTGTCTGACTAAATCATCCCAAGTTTGCAGTGAACATTTTGTATGTGGAGCGACATCAAAGTAAAATCCTGATCCCTCGCTCAACCTCAGTTACGGATTTAAAAAGTCAACACCAAAGCGAAAGGAACCAGCTGTTCACCAAGAAACACCTTCCACTGCAAAGAGACCAAGACGTGATGTTGCTGTAAAACCACAAGAACAAGAAAGTGCAGCTCAGTCTGTTTGTCTTCTGCACCTCTACATTAACAAACGGGATCCTGCTTTGTTGTCGCTCCACATACAAAATGTTCGCTGCAAACTCGGGATGATTTAGGCAGTCAGAGGTTTACTTTTTGGTTCTTCCTGTGGATCAATCCTGCCCATCACCTTCACCTTTCACTATTTTTCAATTCCGTTGGGAAGAGAAACAGTTTGAACAGAGGTTTACAGTCACACACATCTGATTCACTTTTGCATCTATGGAGTTTGCAAACAAATTTCTCGAGCCGTTTTCCGCTGTTTGGATCCAACAACCACACAATTAACGATGTCCGAATCCCAAAACTAAAATATGACAATACCAGAACCAGAAACAAAAGTGATATGGTTCAAAAGACTTGAAAAGATCAACTTTGTCAATAGACACATCCCACTGGGAAAACAAACATGGCGGTTTGATGTTCACTTTTTCGGAAAATCCTTCCCAGTATATACACTGCCGGAAGTCCGAGATTCTTGACGTGTCTATCGGATAAGATTGTGCAACGTGCCAAGAGGCCTGGCTGGACCGTGCAACAACAAAGAGGCACCAAGTCTAAACCAAGGTCGCCTCCCACTATAGTTTGCGTATAAAAATCATTGTTACGGCTCGCGGCCTGTCTCCGGCTCCGCATCGCCTGGCGCTCCCCGTTTGTATTACCGCTTGTGTCTTCCGTGTTTGCATGTCCTGTGTGGTGCCTGATGTCTGACTGGTGGGCCGTGGTTCCGATGCTGTGGGCTGGCTCCGACACCCCTTGTGCTGTGGTTGGAGGATTGACGTCCCGTTCCTCCAATCCCTTCCTTCCACATCCTTCCACATCAATCACCTCGACCAATAAAAGTGCTGTGCGCCTGTCCCTCCTGGCGGCTGGATGGCAGTTTCAGTTCGCCCCTCACATCTTTAGCCTTTCGCTCTTTGTTATTGTAAAGTGTGTTTGGTACTATAATTTTTAGTTTTGCCATTTTGGCTCGGCCCTTGGGCAGTGTTTTTTGTTGCTGTTAAATACCTTAGTTTATGAGTGGTTTAGTAAATTTGTGGAATTCTGAAATATCAAACGTGAACGTTTATTTTTTTTTGTTATTGTACTTACCTACACCACTTTATAAAACCCATTTACTTTACATCATATCTGGTTTGTGTTACTTTCCTTTGTCCCTAGCACTGGGTTGTAACAATCATTGTATAGGCGAAATATTCAGTCTCTGCGTGGGAATGTCAGCGCAGACAGACTTTTCTAATATTGGAATAAGTAAATTATCTGGACTTTATTTCTGTTTCAAGTGTAATTTTTTTTGTCTAAGCAGAAACTAACGAACACGTGAAGAAAAGGGTTATTTTCCTCAATATAACTAATACATAAAATAATCTTGCTGTGCCAGACTAGCAGTATTAAATATAAACAGTGTAAGTGTATGAAAAGGGTCCACGTCTCACCAGGCTGTACCCTTCCTCGTCAGACTCAGGCTGGGACAGGTCAGACTCGCTCCTGGACTTCATGAGTCTGTAACTGGGGCTGCTCTGGACCGAGCGGCTCTCTGCGCTCATGCTCTCACTCCTGCGGGGAACATATGAGGGGAAATATACTGTATGAATGTACTTTACTAATAGAAAATATGGCCAGAGAACAGAGGTGGGAGCAAGTCAACATTTTGCAAGTCTCAGGTACATCTCAAGTCTCTGACCTCAAGTCTGAGTCAAGTGCCAAGTCAAATACAGACAAGTCCAAGTCAAGTCTTGAGTCAATGGCTTATAAGTCCAAGTCAAGTCCAAGTCCAAGTCATCTGCTTTGAGCTTCAAGTCATTTCAAGTCTTTAAAACAAAGTACCAAATATAGCTTAGATTTTTGCAATTTATATGAATTTTAAGATAAACTGTACTCATAAAATAATAGTATATTTATATATGAGTATTTATAGAGTATGTAAGAGTTGTAGAAATACTTTTTTTTTTTTTTTTTAATGTCTTGACAAGATCTTAGTGTGAATCATTACGGTCAGAATAGAAAGAATTCAGATATAAAAGTGCTTCTAAAGTTCTCACGTCACAGGCCTCAAGTCCAAGTCAAGTCCCAAGTCTTAGTCCATTTTATCAAGTCAAGTCTCAAGTCCTAAAAATAGTGACTCAAGCTTTTTCCCACGTATCTGAGCAAAATTTATCTTTACTCGGTACAGATATATTATATAAGCAGCTTTTGAGGTCAAAATAAATGTAATTATAAGGCGTTTTTATTGTTTTAGAATCAGGAAGTGTGTGGTTATACTCATACTAGTTTTTGTTATTACTGTGATGGCAAAACTCTGCTCTGGTCTCTGAAATTTATGTAAAAGCAGGTATAAACTCTTCATAGTGAAAAATTAGGATGTGAGGAATAAATTTGGGCCACTGCGAACCATTTAAAATGAGTTTAGTTTTGTTTTTTATGTTTTTAAATTTAACAGCACATGACAAATATTTAGTATGGGTCAAGAGTAGTGCTTCCTATTCATTTTTCATAGCACTTTTCTCTTCAGTGATCGAATGTAATAATGATCAGTGTTATAAATGAGTGTATTAGCTCGTGTCCTCACCGTGTCATGTAGCTGAGGCAGTCCTGGGTCCCTGGGGCAGTCTGGTTCTGGTTCTCCTCCTGGTTCTGTTTGGTGAGTTCGCCCAGGACTGGACTGACGCCGAGGATGAGCAGAGCACAGCGGTGGACCACAGAGTTACAGGCCGCCGTGTACAAGTCCTGCCCCTCCACCAGAGACCCACTGCCCCGTCTGCCCTCCTGAGGAAAGAGACGTCACGATGTTTAACATGTGATTACTACAAGAAGGAATATTTTCATTTCAGGTCATAATAAATTAACCATGAAGAAGTTAGGTACAAGATTTTTTTGTTGAACTGTTTATCAAAATTTACAGCGATTACTACAGAAGCCCATTTCCGCCAGTAAATAAAACATAAAAGCCTCACAGAAAGTCAGAATTATGAATTTTAAAGTCAGAATTGTAAGTTTAAAAGTAATTCATAATTATGAATTTCGGTGAGGATTTTATTTTTTATTTACTGGTGGAAACGGGCTTCTATAGATTTCACTATACAAAGGCAAAAGAAGAAATTCAATATGTCAACTGGACAAGAGTTTTTTGGGTTTTTTTTTATAAACTTTTGCCCAGTTGACAAATTGAATTTCTCCTTTTGCTATGGATTCTATCTGGACGATTGAGGGATTTTACATACCGTATTTTCCGGGCTATTAGACGTGCTCTTAAGCCTCCAACCCCATCAAAAAACAGCTGCGCGCCCCATAATCCAAAGCACCCTATACACGAATCCACTCGGGTGTCCCAGCACGACTTCAGTAAACTACAAAGCCGCACCACCCGCAGAACACACAAACACACACGGAGCAGACAGCGACCGCACAGCGAAACACACCCACAGACACACTCATCACTCCACGCCGACGAGGAACGGAACGGAGGAACGAACCGAAAAAGCGAGCGCAATGTGCCACTTCTAGACACAACTGAACAACTGAGTCACTGCAAACACGCCGACAATCCGTTGGTCCCAGACAGCACCCTCCCTACACGCCACAACTGAACAAAGCCCAGAGTCACCGTGAACGAACAAACAAACAAAACCACTCACCATCACACTGTTGTGTTTCATTTAAAGTCCAGTGCGGTTTATTTGTGAAAAAAGTTTGAAAATAGACCATTTACTGACAGTGCGTCTTATAATCCAGAGCGCCTAATAGCCTGAAAAATACGGTACATTATACAATAAAAAAATATTGTAAGCAAATAGGTTAAAACAGAGTTTGAGAACAAGGTAATACTGGTAATAATTACAAGGAATCATTTGCTAATTAAGATTGACAACGTGCCAAAGCTGATTTGACCTGGTTTATGGTTAGTTTTAAGTATGGTCTGATATGGATTTTTTAATTTCTCTTACTGTTGTGGCCAAAACTGATTTTTGTTAATACATAAATATACTAGAAAAGCACTCAGAGAGCGCAGACCTCCGCCAAGGACTACCCCCATTTTTTATATAAATTGCGATAAAATCAGTCTTCTGGATCAGATCCGGATCAGCCTTTGGAATATGAAAGAGGATCCCATTGTCCATCCCTGAGTCAAATTTCATGGGGTTTGGTCAATAATTAACCGAGATATTGAGAAACAAAATTTTTGGCCCCATTTACCACAATGTTAACTAAAATTTCAAAGTGATCCAGAATCCAGGATTTCTTCCGGATCACCCCCAAAATGAAATCAGTTCTTCCTTTTCACATTTCCAACAAATCCTGAAAATTTCATAAAAATCGGTCCATAACTTTTTGAGTTATGTTGCTAACAGACAAACAAACAAACAGACAAACGCCGGCAAAAACATAACCTCCTTGGTGGAGGTAATAAAGATTATAAAATCCACATCCAAGGATCAAATTTAAACCAAACAAATGATCCTTTCTTCCAGAGCTTCATACCTGGTTGACACAGGCCTCCTCCTCCCTCCTCCCCCTCCTCCTCCTCCTCCTCCTCCTCCTGTTCCAGACCGGGACACTGTGGTGGAGCCGAGCCCGGTGCTGCTGGACGCCCTCTCTCTCCCTCGGCTCCGGGCCACTTCTCGAGCTGAGAGGAAACATTGGAAGATCTCTGTGTGGGTCAGACGCACAGGCGCACACCAAACCAGGGTTAGTCCAAGATATGAGCACACTGTTCAAGCAAGTCAATGAAACACAAACAAAACGGTCAAGCGAAATAGTTTTCTATAAACATCTGCAGGATTTTAATTATTAAAAGGTGCACTGCGCAGCTTGTCTAGGAGTGAGCTTGGCTGTGCGATTTAGATGAGGCAAAAATGCTATGGCTTTGTTAAGATGAACAAACATGATACAAATCTATGTGTTTGTATCAAATAAATGCAACGCTTTTCAGAAAGAAAACTCTCATAATACTGACTTCAATAAAAAGATATTATGACTTTTATTATAACATGGGGTGTGCATTGCCATGAGTCTGATGATAAAATACCTATCATGATGCATGTCACGATTCAATATATCCCGATATATCCCGATACTAAAACATTGGACATTAAATTGCGATTTATCAATAATTATTTCTATTAATACAGTCAATTACACCTTCACGAGAACACAATTGTATGAAATATAATTTATAAAACTGTTTAAATCATCAGAACAGTGAATGCAACTAATGATTTTTGTAAAAAATATTATTTAAAAAAAAGATTCGGATGCATTTTGAATCTATTTGAGAATTGTGCAATGAAGTATCACGATATATCACTGAATCGTTTTGTTCTTACACCCCTATTATAACATATTATGATTTTTTTCTGTTCTGAATCACAAATGGGCTGCCACAATACCTGGAGCATTTAAATTGGTATCCACACAGTATCTGAACTCACTTCCAGCCGTCATGACCTCGTGCTCTCGGTCCTCCTCCTCTTCCTCCTGCTCCTGATGCCCTTCCTCTCTCTCTCTGTCCGCTCGCTCCTCAAGCTCCGCCTCCTCGTCGATCGTCCGAGTGAACGAGTGCTCCTGAGGGTCCATGTCCAGCGAGTCCTGGTTCTCTGAGATCTGTGGAACCACAAAAACACAATTACTATCCATTTCATCTTTCAGCGCTTTTCATTTGGTACAGACAGACTTAACTGACCCTTCTCTCTCGTGATGAAGACCTTGTCTGGATGAAGTCCATGTTCTTACAGGCCAACAGGCGGTTTCGGACTTTGTAAACACTACGGTACACCTCGGCCAACAGTTTAGACGGCTGGTATCTGCACAATTTAAAAAGCAAACGTCAGCATTTCAGTCAAGATTCGGTATGGAGAAACAATCATTCTATAAACATATTTACAGATACATAGCTATACAGGGTTTTAAATAATCCCACTATATCACATACATCTGATAACAAGTATATCATCAATCATAATTATAATATTTCTTATTTTATAGATACTAGGGGTGTATCGATATCCAAGTCTCGCGATACGATATCGTCACAGTATGAACCCCACGGTACGATATTTGTTGCGATATCGTGGGAAAGCTCACGATATGATGGGGAGGCTCATGATTACAGATGTAACAATATCCAAATCTCTCAGTACGATATTTTCATGATATACATCTCACCGTACAATAATTAATGAGATAATTTGTGGACAAAACTGTTAATATGCGACTATTTTCTCTTAAAATGCCTCAACAAGACTTAATCCAAAGAACTAAGATTTAAAAGTGTTAGAACTGTTATTTCTTCATGTAGTCTGCACTGAAATGGCGCAAAGGATCATGGTCTATGTAGTTCCCTCTGTCTTTTTTGTACCTATTGCTGCACCATAACTCTTAATTTAAACAAAAAGAGTTGTAATTCGATATACTGTGATGGTCCACAATATTATTGTGAGAACTTATCACAATTAAATATCACGATATTTCTGTTATTGTTACATCTCTAAAAGACACAGATAATGAAAATCTTAATTCAGAAAGACAATTAAATAGTCTTTGTGGGGGAAAGAATTAATGCAAAACTGTACAACAAAGAGCAATTTATTCAAACACTATTCAATTCACTTTTTTCCCCCCTTTTCTTTTAAATCTGAAATAATTCCAAGTACAAGTATTTACGTTCTTAACATTTTAGGGGGGATTTTGAACATTATATGAGATTGTGTACATCTAATCAAAGTCAGCAAGTTGTGTAGTACCTCCCCTCTCCTCGGGCTTGTGCCAAGAGTCCAGTGTGTTTCAGTAAAGCCGCCAATACAAATCTGGAGACGGTGTCCAGGAGAGACTCATTACTCAGAGACGCGTTGTCCCAGTCTGAAACAAAACACGGGGAAATCAGCACAACACAAGTCTTTACAGCCACTGGTATTTTAAAATCCAAAGCCCACGACCCAGCCCCAGATAAGCGGAAGAAATCTGATTGATGGATGGTATTTTAAAATCACTTCATATGTAATCTGTGCGTGTGTGAGGGACCTTTGCTGATGGCGTAGTCCTGCATGTTGATCCAGAGGGCGTTGGCTGGTTCTTTGGAGGAGCCCAGGGCCAGTTCCACCAGGACACTGAGGTCCGGGGCCAAAGTGAACTCAAACGGCTTCTGCTCCTCGTTCCCGGAGAGAGCCACCTCCAACAGGGAGCTGATACACGAGTCTGAGGAGACACGAGAATAATCAGCGGTGTTTGTGATCAGAATATAAATTAATTGCTATAAATGCCTAAATAAGTTGAAATAAAGGATGCAAAAAACAACAACAACTGAACTGCAAATCAGATTTTTTAAAATTGTGATTAATACAATTTTTTTTATGTGATTTTTTAATCGTGAGGAGGCAGATACAGACACAAAACACACACAAACAGGAGCGAGGGTTAAATAAATAGATGTGTTAACAGACTAATTTGCCCAGCTCTAGTAAAACTAAGGCTGCGCAATTAATTGAATTTTGATCGGGATTTCAATTTGTGTGTCAAACGATCTCCAAACTCTTATAATTGAGTTGAAACAATAAAGCTTAACAAAGTTTATTTTATTTTTTATATAAATAAGTATATTTATTTCATTTTTAAATACAGAGATTGTAGAACAGCTGGATATATAGTTTATTTTGGATACATTTATGGTTTTTTATACCTTATTTCATGTTCAAAGTACATTTTATTCATTTTATGTTTTATACATTGTAAAACTGCTCTAAGGTTCATATTTGGAGCCTGAATTTATTTTAAATTTGAAAGTTTTGCGTAAATTATCAATAAAAAAGTGTTTCTTTTTCTTTTTTGAGAGAGAAAAATGCTGAATTAATGCATCGTGAAACTAAAAATTAATCGTCTGAATAATTTGATTCAATATTGACCAAAATAATCGTGATAATAATTTTTTCCATAATCAAGCAGCCCTACAAAAACTAAATTAAATTATTGTGCTGCAAGAAATTTAAAAAGTTAAGGGCAAATAAACATTAGAAGACATATTATGCATTATGTATTACAGTCATTTAAGCATTATGGTCGGCATGCCAATGGTTGAAATTAACATAATTTGACAGCAGAAACACTCAATAAGTCTGGCAGTGATTTATGGACTTAAAAACTGTTCTGGATTTCTACCCGTGACACAATAACTCGGGCGTATTTGAAACACACCTAGCTGTGGTATGTCCATCTCGAGCCCGTTGCTGAAGATGGGCGTTTTGAGCCAGTACGCCGTGTCCTGCTCCTCCAGAGACGTGGGGGCGCCCTGGAGCATCCCCCCCAGACACCGACCCACGAGCAAGGCCACGGTCCGCTCCAGGTCCACCAACCACACCCAGGACAACGTCGTCTGAGACATGCCAGAAGAAGGCTCTGCAAAGTCCGATGTGCCTGGAGGAAGAAGAAAAGCTCTATTTAGTTCCATTGTTAAAAAAAAAAAAGAAATACACTGGCCACGTTTATGTTACGTTTGGGCACTTTTGGTTTTTTTCCCTGCTTTCTTTTTATTGTTTATATTTTTTGTAGCATTTCTGCGTAGTTTTGTTTTTGTAGGTTAATTATGTTTTTGTAGTTTTTTGTGCTCATTTCCGGCAGGAGGCCTTAAATGCGCGAGCCCAGCGCCGCCTCGCTCGCTCTCCCGCTCTCTCCTCTTCCTCGTCCGCCGCCGCCGCAGGTACCGGAGCGCACACGCCTCGCGCTGGGAGACGCCCTGCTGGCTCTCCTGCTCCATCGTTTTGGTAGCTTGTGTTAGCCGTTAGCCTTTTGTTTGACCTGGTGGGACCGACTGTCCTGTTTTCCCTTTTCTGTTGGGTTTAGGTTGTTGGGTTTTTTTGTTGGCCCGGTGTCGCACCCTTTTGTTCTTTTTGGCCAGCTCACCAGGTCCACCTTTCCGTTGCTACTTTTGGTTTGGGCACGGGTAGGGTTTCTTTTTTTGGGTTTAAACATCTCTGCACAAACAAAAATAAAAACTCTAAAATTCTATTTTGATTTCCGTGTCCTTTCCTAAATATGTTGGGACTCAAATCGTTTGGGTCGTAACAGTTTACATGATGTTTTTTAATTCTGAATTAAATAGTTGGGAATTCAAATATTCTTGTTCGAGATTAAAGTTTAAGGTTTACATGGAAAACACGTAAAATCTCCTTTATTTAATTCCGCTCAAGGTCTGGGGGTCGGGAAGGGTTTTGATAGAGCAGGAGCGCACAAACTTATTTACATCGACCTGAAGAAAACACACACTTCAGCTGCTACCGGCTTTTCTGTCATCTCGGTTTTTCGTTACGCCACAGAAACAAACATGATCCAAACTTTTTTTTTTTTTTTGCAGTCTTTCCGATGATAATTGCGCAGCAGCTGGAGAATTCACGCTTTACGTCTGTCGGCTGAGGAGGAGAAGGGAAGAGTGTCGGAGAAGAGAGGAAGAAGACAAACTGAGTCAGCGGCTGCTCTACCTCAGCCCACTCCCGCATCCCGCTCACAAATCCAAAGAGACGTGTTTGAAAGTCCGAAGAGAGGACTGGTGGAGCTGGATCGTCTGGATCGTGTCAGAAGGGCGACACAACGAACATGCACTGAACGACCGGAATTATTTTTAAGAAGAATAAACATTTACATGACCGAAGAATAAATGAATTTCACTTTAAAATGGGAATAAACCACCCACTTACTTCGGGATCAAGTTTAATTCCGAATAATACTTTTCATTAGGTCTTTCTAAAGCAGAATACATTTTTATCTAGAATTAAATTATTTTTATTTGGAATTAAAGCGCTCATGTAAACGTGGCAAACTAAAACAGTGACAATCAGTTGGCTGGACAAATGTATTTCTTAAATGCAATTCCTATCTAAAGACCACAATAAATACATTAGACAGGACGGAAAATGGAAATGGTTGTTCAAAATAGCTACTAATATAAGAAAAAGTACATAATTAAGATGTATACTGACAAATTAAGAATAGGACAGGTTGATAAGATGGTTGTTGTGTTTCTGGGCAAGACACTTCACCCACCAGTATAAGAAAAAGTACATAATTATATACTGCTGAATTAAGAATAGGATAGGGGGATAGATTCACCCACCTTGTCTTTCACGTTAAAGTACACTGACCAAATCAACCATAAATAAACCAACTAAATAAATAAACCAACAATAATGATGTGAAATTTCGTGTTAAGATGTTTGAAATACACGGATGTTGCAGTACCGTGCAGAGGCCACTGTAGCTCCTGATCCTCGAGTGGAGCCGCGGCCGGGAGGAGCCTGTTCAGTTTGTCCAGAGGGGGCAGCAGATCGAGCAGGTGGGACAGCAGAGGTTTGGCCACGGACACCGGCAGCAGAAGAAGAGAGTTTATGATTTGGCACAGCATGCTCCCGGCGGCCGACACGAAGATCACGTCTGCACAGGAGAAACACATGAAGAACAACATCACACTGGGATCAAACGGACAATTTAAGCCTGGAACAAAGCAGTCGAGGGGGTGTGACGTCGCACATATCTTGATTTATGGACGAAATAGAAAAATAAAAACACCAGGATCATGTAGAGTGGGTTAATAGAAAAATTTTAAGACCAAATTGACAGGCCTGACAGCAGCAGTTACAGAGAGAGGGGCAACGGTTTTTCAACAGAAAGTGAATTGAAACCAGAGTTGATGGAGCCAGAAACACCCCTATGCACACTTCCTATTTGTAACGCTTCTGCTAGCAGTTTAGCTGTTTATTTATATATACATACATGAAATGAGCGCAGGTTCACAAGGTTTCACGCAATAACCCTCAGCCCGGAACCATGCCCACAGTACTCAGGCACGCACTGGTTGACTCTCTTGAAATTAGAGTAGTTTCATTATGATTTATTATTTATTCATTAAAACTTATGTAGATTTTACAGTTTAATTCCATATCGTCACACCACCCATCTCTTTCCAATCGCACATGACACTGTTCATAGTTTATGAGAATTACAACAGTTCACAAAGCTGTAATAATTATTTTGGACGCAGACAAAGCGTTTAACTCTGTTCGCTGGCCATATTTAATTCAAGCGCTGAATACATTTCAAACTGATGACCTAATAATAAAAAATGTTGAGTAGGGATGGGCACGATTAGTCGATTAATCGATAATTGATCATTAAGAATTTCCTTACATTCATTTTAATCGACAAACCGAATGTAGGTTGTTGTGCGTAGCGTAGTGTGACCAAACAGGTCTGTACATGTGTCTCTCTGCACTCAGAAGGAGCAGGAGTCAGTCTGCAACGTGCCGAAGCGTAAATGCGTATTTAACGATGACTTATACAAGAAATTCCACGCTTTCCGTTCTGGTCGGGACAAGTGTGAGTCCATGTGCACAGTGTACAAAGCAGCACATATGTTTCAGTGTCCAGTGGGAAAAAGTTCACCAGGACACAGAAAACATGAAAAAGTTTTGCCAGATGAGAGTCGCTCAATGTCGATGACGAGGCCCCACCTCCCACCCCCGTACGGTGTCCTGGTTTTGACAAACGCAAATATGGTCACACTAACCTGTATTCCACTGAGTCGTACCACATCAGCACAAGAGCGTTTTTTTTTTTCTTAGTTTATGCAAATTAGCCGTGAGGTTTTAAGTTTCGTTTCTGTGAGAGTTGAACAAATCTGCATTAAACACATTATAATGTCAAACGGGCTGATGTGGCTCTAGAGTCGTTACGGTTTATATGTCGTAAAGTTGAATTTATTTATGCAGATTAGTAGTGCAGATAGTAATAATAATGATGACAAATTTAATATAAAAACGTTAATGACTAATTGATAATCGATCGTTAATTCTCCCGACGATCGATTAAGAAAATTTTATCGAATGCCCATCCCTAATGTTGAGGCTCTCTACGATGGTCACATGACAGACCCACTCGCCCTGAAAAGAGGAGTCAGACAGGGTTGTGCCTGGTCTCCCCTTTGCTTTGTACTTAGAACCATCGGCCAAAGATATTAGAAACCAAAAACAACTGATGGGACGAAACATAAAATTGCCTCCTATGCAGATGATCTTCTATTATTCTTAACCAAACCAGAAACTTCTATACCTAATGTGATGTATTTTCTTCACAATATTGGTCCAATGTCCAAATACAAATTGAATTTACAGGAAACCGAAATTCGTTCATACTGGGAGAATTACAACGGTTGATTTGATATGTTGTTATATTCACCTTGCAGTTTTTCCCGTATGCTGCCGTTCCAGGAGCTCTCTTTGATCAGAGTGGCCGAGCGAGAGAAGATATCGGTGGCGTGAGGCAACAGCAGCTGGAGGTGTTTGTGGAGAAGAGCCACACTGCTGGACGTCTGGAACCACAGGAACAAAATGTATAAAGACTAGTGCTGCTGTAGTCGACTAAAGACATGCTCTGTGCATAGATTCACTGACTAAAAGGAGACAAGATGTAGTTCTAGAAATTATTAGGATCACCCAAAACACACTACAGGTCTCCAGGAAGAACAGTTGATCGATAAGGTCAATTAAAATACAATCAATCAATGAACCGGCCCAGGGACGACAGGTGGAAATTAGCACTGGTGATACAACTTGGTACAAAGAATCTCTCGTGTTAAAGCTGATGTATATTGTGCACTGTCCCTGTCTCATTAAAAACAAAAAAACAAAAAAAAAGTAAATATAATTATGTACTATGCAGGGAAGTGCTGGTAAACTCTTAAAACTTGTAAAATCTTCTGAAGAGACACATTAAAGGTCCTAAATTACGCAAAACTGACACTTGTGAGCTTCAGGTCGTGTTAGAATGTTGTTACCTCATCAAAAATAAACCCGGAGTTGTGTTTTGTTTCATTCACACATGTTTGAGTAACACTTTATTATTAGTCTGTACTACAAAACTACTGGTCCATGACATCACAAGGTGGAACAGGGCATTTTGAGTGTGGGAGATGTAGATAGAAACAGAACAGTGACAGATTTTTACTTTTTTGCTCAGTATAGGCGAGTTTCATTGTTGACAAAAGCACGCGTTGCATGCTGGGAATTATTTTGGTCGGCGGCAAGAAACACTAATTCAACATGACGGACGGAGCGAGAAAGCACGTAAAGGGTATTGATCCCGGTTATTTATCCACTCTAACGGCAGAGGACCCCAGACCATTTGACCAGAAATTGGTCATAAGCATCGATGGAGCCAAATCACCCTTTTCAACCCCGACAAAAGGTGGACCAAACCAAATTTCTGGTCTGAATCTCCAACTACCTGGACAAATATTCACTTGGGCGATATCCACAATGACTTGGTGGAAACTCCTGGGCCATTCACAGCAGAAAAGATGAAAACCTCCAAGAGTCTCGATGTGTTGTTGAACTTGTTGGAGACCACGGTTTGTTAGGATCTTCTACGTTTGCTCTGCGAATGTTTGAAAGCCGTTTAATTCACCGTTAGCGGTTCTTTTCACTCAGAATACGAAAAAGACATTTTCCTTCTTTCGTGCTTCTATTTGTGCATCTGATAATGCAGCAGGAATTTACCATTATCGGGGATAAATACGCGAGGTTACGCACTGTGTTTGACGCTATCCTGTTTCTTGCCTCCGACCAAAATATTTCCCAGCATGCAACGCGGGCTTTTAATAACAATGATATCAGCTGAAACTCACCTATAGATTGACAATTCCTGGGCTGAAATCATCCAAAATGATTCTTGTGAAGGTGTGTGGAGTTTAAAAACACAGTGGAGCACTTTGTGTATTACCGCATGACATCACAAGGTGTTTTCCGTTTGAGAACTCAGGAAACTCAGTCTAAATACGCAGTGTTTGTGTGTAAAAACATGTGACTGACACAAAACAACTCCAGGTTTGTTTGCGATGAGGAAACAACATTATAACACAGATCAGAAAATAGCGTAATATGGGCTGGTCTTTAAAAACACATCTAAATAAACGTAAATAAATAAACGTAGATACCTCGGTGACGGCGTTGATGTGGCAGTACGCTAAGAGCTGTTTCTGTAGCGAGCAGAGGAGCTGGTGCAGGTGAGCGGGCTGGCTGCTGTCCGAGGACGACGTGCCCTGGAGAACTTTATCACTGTTCTTCTCCAGTTCTCCAAACGCCTGGTCCTGCACAGAGGAGACACACAAACATCAGACACACGTGACCAGCCGTCTGTGGTGATTGTTACTATTACGGATCGAATATCAATGCCGATCCATGAAAATTTGCTGGATCGAGTATTGGCTCCAAAATATCTGTTCTAAGACAATTTACAGGTTGTAGTTGGTCCAGAAAGTCTCATCATGTTTGAGCTTTTAATGCAAATTTGTTCTGTGGTTACATAAGAGATACACAACAGCTACACGACACATTTCGTCATCCAACTAGTTTTGTTTGTAGGAAAATAAAGTGTATTTTTAGTCTCTTCACTGGTATCAGTAGATATCGGGTACGGGCAGATTCTAAAAGTCATAACATCAGAAAAAACAAAAATGTGCCTGTTTGCTGCAGGTTTTTAATTTGTTTTGTTGATGTGTGTGGAGTATCACCGCAGATTAGTTTGTCACAGAGACTGAATAAAATAAAAAAAAATAAAAAATATATATCAGGATGGTGTAAGGAGCCTTATGGCAGGTGTTGGAGCCTAAAACCAGTTTCATAATTTTTCCATTACTGAGATAATTATTCTTATTTTGTTTGATTTAATATTTATTTAAAATGCATTAACGTGATTATTTTTTGATTATTTGCTTAAAAATAATTTGAACTATTTACTTTTTTTTCCCTTTCAGTTAATTATTCATAATGTTAATCATAAGTTTACCTATGTAATGTTTACTTTTTGTATTATTTTGTGGTCTGTGCCTCCTTATTTAAGACAAGTGCAGGTTCACCATGGAAGTTGTGTATGTTAAAGTTCCCCTTTTTGCATGTTTTGTGTGTCTGAATTATGTGAATACTCAGTAAAGTGTTCTGAACTGCACTTCTTTCACTTTTGAGGCATTTTTAAAGGTGGAACAAGGTGCACAAAGCGTCAACTATGGCTTCACAAATGTTTGAACCTCACAGCAGGTGGTCCCCAAACTTTTAAACAGGCAACAGACCCGGAACCCCAACTGCAAAATTAAAATAACTTCTGTAATAATTCATTTGTGTTTATTTGAATGGTGAAAGTTAGGACTCTCCACTCCAAGTAAGAACCGACATAAAAGGTCTGGTAAGTTCTGGCACCAAAAAAATAGCCAGTGTCTTGGTTTTAAATGCCAACACTGACACAGCTCCGATTTAACAGCAGCAGCTCGGGTCAGGACTGTGCCCTGAAAAAGTGAACGGCACAAACAGCTCTCACAGTGTCATAATGTTAAAATATCTTCCGAGTCTCTGGCATTGGAAACAACACAGGAAACCACCGCTTTACAGGAATTTCTAAGATAACACTATCAGACAGTTTAATTTATTATTATCAAGACAAACACAAAAAATTAGATATAGTTTCTATTGTTCATATCCTCAACGAGTGACCACTGTAGAACAACAAGACCATCAAGCTCTTTGAAATCTCTTTGAAATATGAAATTTGTTGTAATTTAAACAAAAATATGTATTATTAGTCCATGGCGAGGAGAAAATTCAGTTTGTCGACTGGACAAAAGTTAGTTTTGGTTGAAACGTCTTCAACCAAACTAACTTTTGTCCAGTCGACAAACTGAATTTTCTACTCGGCATGGATTCTACACACATTATTAGTCCATCACAAAAAGTTAGAATGTCAAGAAAAAGTTCTATATTTTTTCTCACTCATTTCAGAAATGAGGCCCTGGGGAAGACCCAGGACACGCTGGAGGGACTATGTCTCTGGGCTGGCCTGGGAACGCCTTGGGGTCCCCCCCGGAGGAGCTGGAGGACGTGTCTGGGGTGAAGGAAGTCTGGGAGTCCCTGCTTAGGCTGCTGCCCCCGCGACCCGACCCCGGATAAGCGGCCGAAAATGGATGGATGGATTTCAGAAAGTATATTAAGATGTTATTATATTATTATTAAAGATATTATTGTTGTGTTGGGGCACTTTTTTTTCCCCTGTATATTTTATTGTGGTTGTTTTTTTTTTGTTGTTGTTTTTTTTCTGTTTTTTGTTTTTATAATTTATTCCTATTTTTGAATATTTAGTAAATTACTTTTTTCTTTTTTTTTAAAAAGTTTTCCTCCTGGTCTTGAACAAATTCATCTCTCAAATGTTTATTTCTTAAATTTTAATGACTGTGTTAATTATATTTTAATTATTTGTGGGACTAGTATTGCGATTAATCCAATCCAATCCAAGTTTATTTGTATAGCACATTTTGCCAACACAAAGTCTCCAAAGTGCAGCACAGGGTGGGCACAAAATAAATTAACACATTAAATAAAGTAAAGCATAAAAAATAAATCTGCAAATCAATAAAAACGCATGAACACCAAAAGTTTTAAAAATGCATTAAACAAGAGCTCTGACCATCACACGTTTTTTCCTCCAACACATCAACTCTGACAAAATGTTCTTTGCGCCTAAAAACTCCCCCACGAACAAAAACAAAACCATCTGTGTTCACTTCACCTGTGAATGGCTAAAATGTCTGACTAATTGCTGTAAATGCAACACACTCAAATATAATGACGGGACAGTGGTGTGTAATTATCATCATTAGTTGTTCCTTCCTCTGACTCAGAACAGTGAGACCTTTAGAGAAAGTGACAGGGACACGCTGCTGCTGCTGCTTGGGAAGATTAGACTCTATAAAACTAAACGTTTCTATTGGTGACACACGAGAGGAAGAAGAAATACGGACTTCACTCTAATAGACAGACATCTGCTCAGGGCACATGGAAACATATTTAGACTAACTTAAGAACTGCAGAAGGTGAAAAAATAAAAAATAAAAGTGAATTTAAGCTTTTAGTCTTGGGCTGTAGGGCTGTAAGTCTTTAGCTGTTTAGTTGATATTGTCTCGGTCGCCTAAAAACTGTATTTGTCAACTAATTATTCTACCGTATTTTATAGACTATAAGTCGAATTTTTTTCATGGTTTGGGGGTTTCCCGCGATTTACACTCTGGTGCGACTTATATATTAAAATTTTCACACTGACAGCCAACAGGGGGCGCTCTAGGCTTGTGTGTCAGTATCTGCTACTACTCTTACTACTTACTCCTGTACCTACTGCGCATGTCTCCTGCAGAAAGAGCCATTGTCCTGCTGCAGGTATTGATCTTCAGCCCAAAATGGTAACCGAGCAGCAGAAAGAAAGTTTGGAGTGAGAGAGAGACTTGTGAGGGACTGGTGGAAAGTGGGGATGGAGAACACAGCTTCACGGTAAATCGGAGGATGCACCATGAAACTTTCCTGAAGTCACTGGATGGATGGACAAAGCCTGGACTTCAGTGACACTGAAACCATCCTGCCGGGATTCAAAAAGGCCGGAATAATTCTAACTGGAACTGATGCTGAGTCTGACGACAGCGACACAGAAGAGGAAGCGACGCTCTGTTTACCTCCGGAGGCCGTGGAGTTGCTCAGAAGTGACACCGAGGATGAAGAATTGAATGGATTTAGTGATTTGGAGTGAGATGGAGAGTTTGGTAAACTTGTTCTGTTCTGTTGTTTATGTTATAGTTTATCTGAAGAACTGTTCATATGTGACGTTAACAGTCTGTTCTTCTCTCTTCTATTGTTTTTACTACAACTTGACTTTACACAGGAAATGTCAGTTCCTGGTCTCTGATTTTATAAAATAAATTTCCCCCAAAAACTGCGACTTATATATGTTTTTTTTCTTCATTACTCATTTTTGGCTGGTGTTACTTATACTCCAGAGCAACTTATAGTCTGAAAAATACGGTAATTATTTTACTTTGATTAAAAATTGAGACTTAAAACCAGAAGCGTTCCAGAGCTTAGGGCCGGCCACAGAGAAGGCCCTCCCCCCCCCCCGATTTTAAGTCTAGACTTAAAATCTAAGTAAAATAATTAGTAACAGCCCCCACAGTGAACAGTTTTAAAACTCGTCTTAAAACCCACTTTTATTCTGTGACTTTTAACATCACGTGACTTGTGTGGTCCTCTGTGTCTTTTATTATTTTATTTATTTGACTTATTTATTGCTATTTTATGATTTTTATGGTTTTACATTGATTTGATCTTTGCTGGTTTTATTGTTTTAAGGACTGGTATGACCAAAGTTTTAGCAATTTACCTTTTTGTTGTCTTCATTTTATGATCTCTGTATAGCACTTTGGAAACTGGTTTGTTTGTAAAATGTGCTCTAGAAATAAAGTGGATTTGGATTTGACAACAGTTAACAGATAACCCTATGTCCTGTCAATCATCACATCATCTTTACACTGTTTTTCCTTCCTTATTTTTACTTGTACTTATACATTTATATAATTAGACCTGAGTTGACATTAGTCTCTTAGTAATAAAGGCTTGTCTAAGTCTAAAGTCAATAGGGATTTATATGGAACAACAGCAGAAAAGAGAAGTGAGTGGGTGAGAATGCTTTTTTGTTTTTTTCTATGTAAAAAAGCAGATTAAACTGAGAGTAAATAGTTGTTTTGCGTGACCCGTGTGCAGGTGTATTCTTATTGCTGAGAGCAGTTTGGGTTATATAGTGTGATGTTAGGCATTAGCAGGTCTGATAGCCCCCGGGTTTTGAGTGTGTCTTTAATGGCCTTAATGCTCCTCGACAAATTATATAACAAAATAAATTAGACTGTAGGCAATGCATTAACTTACAGGCAGCAGAAACCCATTTTGTTTCTTATGAATATTTAATACGAATGCATTAGTCACATGTGGTGCTTTTAGTCTCTTTACAATGTGCTGCATTATTCATTCACTCCACAGTCTCTTTAACTGGAGCAGAGTGACACGACCGCCTCTGCCTACGAATGTGATGTGAGTGATTGACGGTTGTCAAAGTGTTGAAGTGTCTCGCCCAAAAGCACAACAAAAGCCTGAACTGGTCAGAACTGGAGACTTGTTGCAGACTTGTTGACCTGGTTAATTATGATTAATTACACATAATTATGTAAATTAATGAGGGCGTTTACATGCACATGAGTAGTCTGGTTTTTATGCATATCCCAGTTATGTTGGTGTTCGGGATACTGTGATAATTGATCATTAAGAATTTCATCGATTACGTTAATTTTAATCGACAAACCGAATGTAGGTTGTTGTGCGTAGTGTGACCAAACAGGTGTGTACATGTGTCTCTGCACTCAGAAGGAGCGAGACACAAACAGTGGGTCAGGCTGCAACGTACCGAAGCACAAATGTGTATTTAACGATGACTTGTACAAGAAATTCCACGCTTTCTGTTGCGTTCGGGACAAGTGTGAGTCCATGCTCACAGTGTATAAAGCAGCACATATGTTTCTGTGTCCAGTGGGAAAAAGTTTTACCAGCAATGTCGATGACGAGGCCCCACCTCCCAATATAGTCACACTAACCTGTATTCCACTGAGTCATGTCTTTTAATCCAACAGAAATTGACCACATCAGTGACACAAGAGCTGTAGTTTTATCTTCGCTGAGTTTATGCAAATTAGCGATGTGGTTTTAAGTTTTGTTTCTGTGAGAGTTGCGCAAAACTGAATTAAACACATTATAATGTCAAACGGGCTGATGTGGCTCTAGAGTGGTTACAGTTTATATGTCGTAAAGTTTAATTTATTTATGCAAATTAGTGCAGATAGTAATAATAATGATGATCATTTTAATATAAAAACGTTAATGATTAATTGATAATCGATTGTCAATTCTTCCGACGATCGATTAAGAAAATTTCATCAAATGCCCATCCCTAGTATATATGCACACAGATCAAACCCAACATTTCTAAACATTGTACAAGTTCAACAGTGCAGCAGATTCTTACCTTTATAACATATAAACCATAACCAGTATAGAGCCACATCAGCCGTTTAATAATATAATTCAGTTTTGTGTACATTTGTTAACATTTTACAGAAACAAAACTTAAAACCACATGGTTAATTTGCATAAACTGTTAGTGCTTGCTCCTTGTGTCCGGATGCAGTTCAGCTTCTGTCAGACTACAAGGACAAGACTCAGCGGAATATGAGTGTTCTCTCTGTGATAGAGGAGGCGCTGCTCATGGTGAGTCTGTTCTGTGTGTATATCGCATAAGAGATGGTTCATGTTGAACTTTTTTGCGATCATATGTCTGCAGGTCATACGAGTGCAGATTGTACGTGTGGAGGTTTAGAGCAGTCATCTCGCTCATGTATGGTCACTTTATTTATGTTGGTCAATTTATTTATGCTGGTCACTTTATTTATGTCGCTACAGTTGTGATGAAAAGACTGAAAAGTGTTTGTCTTTTGGACACATGCACACTCAACTTTATGCTGCAGTAACCGGGATACTGCGTTTACATGCCACAGTATCCCGCTTAATATCAGAATATACCAGCTACAGTATCCCAGTTTCTAATAACTGGGATATTGCCTTATTCAGGATACTGAAACTGGGATACTGCGTTTACATGCACCATGAAGAAACCGGGACTCTCAAAAAAACCCGATCATAACCAGGATACTGATGTGCATGTAAACACACTTAATATCTCTAATTATTGGTTCTACATTTGTTTGGGGACTGGACTGTACTCACAGTGTAGAATCCGAGGTTCCTGAGCAGTGTTTTCATGAGTATCTCTGCGAGGTGAGTGTCGGGGTGGCTGCCTGCGCTGCTGTAGTCCGGGTCAGGAGACTGAGTGAAGCCCGAGCTCGACAGCAGCTCCGGGCAGTCTGCAGGTGAACTGTACCCCAACAGAGACGCCACGTGGGTGTGGTCCTGCAGGCTCGTCAGGATGATGTCCAACTGCATCCTCTGCACAAACACAAACACAAACACAGACAAAACACTCAAGATTATGTGGAGATTATTATTAGAACTACTCGTTAGTAGATTAAGTCAATAAAGTAACACATTTTCACCATGTTACGCAAAGTGGGTTTTGAGAAAGTTAAACTAAATAATGTTTTATGTATAGTAAGACTAACCAAGGATTTTTACATTATTGATGATAAATGAGAAGCTAAAATTCCCAGAAATCTCTAAGCATAACATAGATAAATGAAATGTGAAATGTGGAACCTGTTTCTCAAATCTGCAAAACAAATTTACCTACGGGTACAAATAAAGCAACCTAACCTAACCTAATTTCAAGATTAAAATAGACATGCAACTTCATCCTCTGCACAAACAGGGACGAGTACAAACAGATAATGATTTTGATTATTTGGTGTTTTAAAACTACACGCTGTTAGCATTCTGTAAATGATTAAATAATATAGGTACTAGTTGTTGTTGTTGTTTTTTTTATGTTTTTTGTATGGTAAGACAGCCCAGGGATATTTGTTGAGAAAAAAAAATTGGTAAAACTAGAATTCCACAAATCTCTAAGCATGGATCAGTTAGGTTAAGCTTGAGTTCACTATTAAAATAAATGTGTATGTTGAAAAGCCTTTCAAAAAGTCATATAATTTAAATGTGTTTGTAGATTTTTTTTTTAACGATTGTAAATCTTAAAAGGTGTATGGTGTAACTTTTCTGTCTGTCAAATGCTTTTCTTCATGAAGATGTTATTGCTTTGTCTGGAATGTTTCACAGTGTGGCATTAAACCTTTTTATCATCATGGAGACCAAACCAGACCAAGATCTGTGGAGAGGCGACCCTGCTCACAGTCAGAATACCTGTTTTTCTTGGTATTTTTGAGCTATTAAACCACCTGTAATTTAATAAAAGTACGATGGAGCTGTTTAATGTCACACTGTGGAACATTCCAATCAAATTTTCGTGATTTTTGGTATTTCTCTCAGCCTGTGCAGCTCACTGTACCTGTCCCTTGGAGAGGCTCTCCCAGCGGTCGGGGCCCTGAGGCAGTAAAGTGTGGAGCAGCTCCATCCTCTCTCTGAGCGGAGGCAGCAGCATCGTGGCTCCAACCGACAGAGTCTCAATCACAGCCTGAGGACCGACAGAGAGAAAAGAGAGAGAAAATCAGATACTAAAAGTACTGTACACATTTGAGTGTCGAAACTAAAAAAGTCACATTCACAGGACAGAAATAAACCTTTCCTGAATAGTTTTAGAATGATCTTGAGCTGTATCAGAACAAGTAAGACAACTGTGGAACTGACCTGGACCACTGAGGGATTATACAGATATAAGACCACATGGTAAAAAAAAAAGTATTACGATTTTAACTGTGAAACTGTGAGCTTCTGTTGTCTAAATCATTATTTCCCAAAGACTGGGTTGCGACCTTCAGGTGGGTCGCCTTGTCATGATTTGCATGTAGGTCTGTGATATACATATACATACATCTCCATGCAAATCCCCGCTCTTTTCAGCAGCACCACCTGGCCTAACTAATTTTCTGTGGTTTTTCTGTGTTTTTCCTTGTTTAAAACTTGAGTAACATATTTTTCGGACTATAAGGCGCACTTAAAATCCCTTAATTTTCTGAAAAATCTTGCACTTTATAATCCGGTGCACCTTAGGTATTAATTCTAGTTGTGCTTACTTACTTGAACAGATTTTCACACATATTCCACTGAGTCATGTGCTTTAGTTCGAGAGAAGCTGACTGCTCCTTAGACAGCTGTTTTTTTTTAATCATTTATAGTTTATGCAAATTAGTCAAGTGGTTTTAAGTTCCGTTTCTGTAAAGTGTAAACAAATGTGCTCAAAGCTGCATTAAACACATTATTACTCAGTCTATATTTGAGTCATTCTCACAGGAAATAAGTGTCTCCTCAAGTGTCGTCCATTTGTTTCGCTTAATGTGCCTTATAATCCGGTGCACTTTATGTATGAAAATAGATGATTCAACATTATCTCAGTTCAACATTATCTTTATATAAGGTGCACCGCCTTACAATCCGATGCACCTTATAGTGCGAAAAATACGGTAATACTAATTGTTCCGAGAAACACAATCACTAATGTACAATAATGGTCACAAATTTATTTTGTGATTCATGAATAATGTCTATTGACTTGGGTCACGAAGATTTGTGACTTTTAAAATAGTTTGGGAAACACTGGTATAAATAATGAGTGTGTCGTGGTATCGGAATCAGTATTGAGTATCGAGTCTATTCCTTAGTATCGACATCAAGTTTGAAGTGAACGTTGTTGCTCTGTCTTCACAACTAATTAAAAGGACTTTTTATAATACTTAAACAAGTCAATACACATTTTTTCTGATCATGTTATTACACTGCTCTGTAATTACACCAACGGCACTTTATGAATCTGGCAGAAAGAAATCAGGTCAGGTCGAATGCAGTGTCAGCACAGAGACATTCCACACGTGTTACGACAAGGTTTAGAGACGGTCTGTGTAAACTGAAATATCACACTCGTCAATTAAGTTATCATAATTCAGTGAACGCTGTGTATAAAAGAGGAGCGGATTCATTCACTCTACACATTTTCATAGCCAGAGGTGCCCTGGGACTGACAGACAGAGGCGTGGCTGGAATTGTGCTCCACTGGCCTCTCCCAAATGAAAGTAAAGTTTACAAGTAAAGTTAACAAAGAGCTAAGAAAAGTAAAATATTGGTTTGATTTAAATGGATTGATTCTGAATGACAAATTTCATTTTATTTAATGATAAAAAGAAAAAAGACAACATAACATTAGAAATAGATGGGATACAGATTCAAAGAGTAAATGAAACCAAATATTTCGGAGTTATGATTGATGAAGGTCTAAACTGGAGTTTGTCTCATATAAATTACACAAAAGGCAAAATTTCCAAAGCCATTGCTGTTCTGCATAAAGTAAAGTTCTCACTAAATAGTACAGCATTATTAACCTTGTTTAACTCTATAACTGTACCATATCTGATGTACTGTGTGGAAATTTGGGGTTCAACATATAAAACTTACCAACAACCTTTATTTATTTTACAAAAAAGGGCCTTGAGAATTATCACCAACAGTCATTGTAGAGAGCCATCCAACCCAATATTTGCTCAACTTAAAGTGTTGAAAATGCAGGATATTGTTGACTTAAGTCTCCTCAAAGTCATGTGTAAAGCAAAGTGCAATGTATGACCTGTAAATATTCAAAGACTGTTTGAGATGAGAACAAGCCACTACAATTTAAAAGGAACCTACATGTTTAAAAAACCCAGATTCAGAACCAAGGTTAAGGAGAGAAGCGTCGCTGTGAAAGGAGTGAACTTATGGAAAAGTCTTGACAATGAAATAAAAGAATCAAGTACAATGATGACATTTAAGAAATACATAAAATCGAATGCAGTGTGTATGTATGAAAAAGAAAACTAAGTTGTTGTGTATAATAAGGAAGATTACTGTTTGCAATTGATCAGTGATTGTGCGTGAACTGATATGGAATGTTTAGTAACCATCTGTGTTTATGTATTGTCTTGAAAAAGGAAAGGGGGGCAGATAACATTTTTTCTTCTTTCTGCTCCTTTTCATTCATTTCTTGTGTGTCTGATGTTGTGACACTGTCGATGTCTTTTAATGCTTTATGAATGAAATAGATTATTTAAAAAAAAATAAAAAAAACAGAAAACGCACACCAAAGTCCTTAAAGAGGTACAAACGCAAGAAGCAGCAAATTATGAGTGAAAAAAAAAAAAAAGTAACGCCCCCTTCCTACCTTAGTAACACTGTCAATCATTCCTGTTGCTAACGTTAGTGGGCGGGACCTCGAGGAATCAAGGCACCTGATTGGTCTGTTAATAACGCTTGTATCTTTATTTAAAAACTAATAGCGAAAAAAAACCAAAAAACCCTCCAGAATCATGTGGAGCGGGTTAATCCAAACATTTTAAGACCAAAATGACAACTTTTTTTTTTTAACAGAAAGTAAATTGAAGCCAGAGCCGATGGAGCCGAATCGCCCTCGTGCTCACTTCCTATTTGGAGAATTCTATGGTGGAATTTGCTGTGTAAGTGTCAGCTTGCAGACTTGTTGACCAAGTTTATGGTTCATATCTTTGTAATTACTGGGTTTATCCACATGAAACAAAACTGGCACAAAGTTCAACGTCTTCTCTCTGTCAGTATAAATAAATAAACAAACAAAAGTGAAATTATTTTTTTAACTGCAGATTCAGAAAGCGGCGCCGTTATTCAACCCGGAAGCTGTGATTGTTGTCATCTTGTCGTCATTTAAAGGTGCACTGCGCAACTTTTCTTTCCGCTGTGTTGCCAAACCATAGACCGTGTATATGAATGGACAATGTGCCAAACAAAAAATCCGTCCATATATTCGCCGCATCGTTTTATCAGCTGCAGGGTTCAAAGTGTGAGAAAAAAGTAGTGGCTTGTAGTCCAGAATTTACGGTATTTATCAAAAGTTTATTCAATTGCATGCGTTTTTAGTGCTCAAAAATACACTGAAAAAAGGGCGGGCTTGCCTCTTCAAATACAGTTTGACCCATAATCTGATCTTGTTACCATGGAGATAGAAAAGTTGAATGCTCTGGAACATTCAGGCAAAGCAATAAAAGATCCTATGCCAGAAAAGTTACACAATGCACCTTTAAATCATAAGATTTATATGTGAAGTTTTTGGAGTAAATCCCAAACAAATAATGATAAGATTCAACATTTGTGGAGCATAAATTTGGATATTTCTTTCAAAAAACTCAATTTAAAATCACAACGTGATAAACCTTGAGCTTCTTTACCTCCTGAATCTCGTCGGGCACAGAGGAGTCCATGAGTCTGAAGAGCAGGTTCCTGAGGGGTCTGGCCTGTCGCCCCAGGATACTGGTGGCCACGCCCCCCGCCAGCGCCAGAGCGAGATGATTGGACAAGAGACGCAGGCACAGCTTCAGGAAGTTATGGTGTTCCCTGGTGATAAAACACAAATATTTAAGATCTGGACAGCAATTTACTGTGCATTTTCTGATACAAACAGATAAAAATGAAGATGAAATGCATAGGAATAGTTTAAGAGTTTATATTTCAGTGTCTGACCTGGATGAAGGGAAGGGCAGAGGAGGCACTTCACTGTTGATGCCTTCACAGTATCGCTCCAGAAAAGATCTTAGATGAGAGAACGTGCTCTCCTCTAAATCCACACAGTACGGACGGTGCCAAGCCACCACCTGCCTGTGAACCAGAGAAACATACAAAATGAACCACAGAGACACACAAAATGAACCACAGAGACACAAAATGAACCACAGAGACAGACAAAATGAACCACAGAGACACAAAATGAACCACAGAGACACACAAAATGAACCACAGAGACACAAAATGAACCACAGAGACACACAAAATGAACCACAGAGACACACAAAATGAACCACAGAGACACAAAATGAACCAGAGAAACATACACAATGAACCACAGAGACACACAATGAACCACAGAGACACAATGAACCAGAGGAACACACAATGAACCACAGAGACACAAAATGAACCAGAGAAACATACACAATGAACCACAGAGACACAAAATGAACCAGAGAAACATACACAATGAACCACAGAAACACAAAAAAAATCACAGAGACACACAGGATAATATTGATCAGGTGATGAGGTAGGATCTTCCAACACATCCTTACAATTCCTTTCATTATTGGCCTTTATTTAACCAAGATAGTGAAGTTAAGAATGTGTAGACTGCTTTAAGTACTGGATTATCATAGTTCAGTAGGTATTCATAGAACCACAGTTACAAACGTTAACTTCTTTTCGAGGTCTGACCTATATAGAGTATTATGCAAGTATTTAGACAACTTAGCTCTGGTATTTCACGCTGTTACACCATAACTTTTACTGTAAAGAGGACGCTTCACTTTTTCTACTCCTTGCGTTTTTATCATGGATCTATTAAAATAACTGGATAGGGTGTTGCTGCGTGTAGCTGCCTCCAGTTGATGTAGTGATACTCACGGGTACTTTAATGGAAAAAACCTGGGCTGAGACAGGATTTTTTCTCATAGAGCGCAGTGTAATCATAAACGGTTCATGTTCGGCTGACAGGGACTGACAGGGGCTGGCAGGGCACGTACAACTTTCAAAAATGTCAGATTTTGTGGCGATTTTTACCTATTTTTATATCATGAGCTTTTTCTCAGCTCAAAATCCTTCAGTTGTCTTAAAAAAAAAAAAAGCTTTATAATCATTTGCTCCGGTTCCGCTTTAGCTTCTCTCGCTCTGATTGGTCAAAGCGATCACACGATACATGAGAGCCTGCTCGGTGCGTGCGCTCACATGCATTCGGGAGAAAAGAGCACTACTGCACATGCTCAATCGGCCCACAGCCACCAGAAGTATCTCGTCAGGCTAAACCCCAGGACTTGGTTTTCGTGACTAAATGAAATAAGACTGGTCTCATGCAATTTAAAAGTTGATTTAAACCAATTTTAGGCATGGCTTAGAACAGATTTAAATCCATGCTTGCCCTACTTTACATCAGCTCTGTTCCTGTGTGTTGTGTTCAGTATAATGTGAGCTGTGCACAGTGTAACACCGTCCTCACCTGTCCCTGGGCAGTGCGGTCCAGGCCAGGCTGTGAGATGTTCCGGCTGAGATCTGCTGGATGGCGACTCCGTCCAGACCCACTACCTTCTTTGGTTTGGTGATGGGTCCAGTGGAGTTCCCCTGTCCACACTGCCCCATGGAGTTATTACCCCAAGCGTACACTTCATTATCTGGAAAAGAAAACAGCGCAAAGCAAATTTAAAACTCAAAACAGAAAACTGCTTAAAGCTCCCATCTGTAATTAGACTGGACGACCCTCCCCTGTTGTGTTATCTACATTGGGGTGGGCGATAGTTAAATGGTTAAAATATATCAAGATATTTTTTAAACACGAAATATATTCTGACATATCGTATATATATAAATTCTGATTTCGCCGCTTCGCTTGTTTGCCTTCTCTGTGCTCGCCCCACTCGCCTGGCAAAAGGATCGAGTTTATGAAAATGAGCCATGTGGTTTTAAGCTTCGTTTCCGTAAAACATACACAAATGTGCGCAAAACTACATTAAAGGCAAAGGAGAAATTCAGTTTGTCGACTGGACTAAAGTTGATTTGGTCGAATACGTTTCGCAGCTCATCCAAGCTGCTTCTTCAGTTCTGGTCAGAATGATGGAGGACATTTCCTTATGTTGCTGCGAAACGTATTCGACCAAATAAACTTTTGTCCAGTCGACAAACTGGACTTTCATTTGCCATGGATTCTACCTGGACGACTGAGGGATATGACTCACAAAGCTGCATTAAACACATTATGATCTCAAACGGGCTGATGTGGCTCTTTAGCTGTTTCGGTTTATATGTTGTAAAGTTTATTTACGCAGAAGATTTTCATGAATAATCTGCTTGTACTTCCTCCCACTCCTTTTTCGGACACAAGGAAAATTCGGCATAACATTTATGTTTGCCTGTTATTATAGAACAGAAATATTTACTTTTTGTGTTATATCTATGTATTTATGTTTTTTTATGTATGTTCTCTGTATTACTGTCCGAATAAACATTCATTCAATCTGTACAATAGTGTTTGGAAACGGTTGGTTTGATCTATGCAGTGGATTGTGGGATGCCTCATAGCTCCTGACCGCTGCTGAGGAACATGAATCTATTAAAAAAAGGAACCTCCCGAGCTTCCTCTGCTAAAGGAGCTCATGGTTTTGGTTATCGTACGGTTAACAGTTAATGCAAAGATAAGCTTGAGTTGAGTTGAGAAGAAAATAAGGCAATATGTATTATTTCTTCCTTTATTTTACAGTTAAATTATTATTTTTGTATACAGGGATTTTTTTTTTTTTAAATGTCGCAGAAGCACTTTGTTTCTACCTCTTTGCACTTCGATAAAAAAAGACACGTCACAGCAACATCACGTGACCACTCTGAGGAAAACCACAAGTGAGCAGTCGAAACTCTCATGTATGAAAACAAACTCTTGGTCTGAAAAAAGAACCTAGTAACATAAAATATCGAAAAACCAAATCAACCTCATTGGACTAAGACCTTGTGCATATTTGTTTGTGCAGTAGTTGTTACAGGGTTATTTTTCCTGTACAAATATCTAGATATATATCGCATATTGAGATATATTTTTAGCTCCATATGGCCCAGCCCTAATCTCCGTTCCTGCTGACTGATAGTGTGCGAGCTTTGGTCTGACAGAAGAAGAGCAGAGAGCACAGGTGAGTCTGAACAAAGGCCAGGTGAAGGGAGTGGGGACAGGTTTCACATCTGTCATCTACAGGTTAAAAAAATAACATAAACCTTACACATGGTAGCTTTAAATCAACCAAATCCAGCCGTTACGTTTCCATTTTTTCATGTAGTCTACAGTAATTATTTCTTGGACTTTGGAACAGCTGATCACAAATAAAAACAAAGGACTAAATATACGCGCCTTTGCCTCGTATTATGTAGATGGAAAAAAAAAAAAAAAAAAAAAGAGAGAGAAAAAGTAGTCAACAGTTATTATCTCCTCTACTTGGTTATCTACAGGAAAGGACTGTCAAACATCAACCATTTTACGTGGCAATAATGCTTTTATAGTTCTTGTTTCTTATCTATACGAGCCAGTCATTTCTTTCTGATTCCAAATTAAGATCATCTGGATTAACAACAACAAACCCATTCATTTAAATTAGCCAATCCCCATTAATGTCCTGGTGTTTTGAAACTTGTCCTGTATTGTTTGTAAGGATCTTCTGACAGACAAAACTGCCGCAAGATCGAGCACACAAAGTAAACATGATCTTGCGAGATTTTTTCCTCATGTTTTTACGTTTGGATTGAAAAAATAGAGCACTGGCAATTACATTTTTTGAGAATGCGTTAGTCCCAAAAAGCAGAGCTACAATGACAGAAGAAATACGAATTAAAATAAATAAAAAATAGTGAGAGAACTGAATTAAACACGGTATTATAGCCCAAATAATGTCAAAATCTTGTCTTGTCTCGTTCTCATTGATCCAATTTCGTGTCTCGCCTTGTCTTGTGGAAAATGTATCTCATCCCACTGTTATTTTACCGATTATTTTTAATAATGCGTCTTAATTGTTGTTTGTACAGTGTCCTTGAGTGCCCAGAAAAGCGTCTTTAAATAAAATGCATTATTATTATATGATTATTGAATTGAATAGAACTGGACAAGACATTTTCGGTATTACCAAGACTAAAAACTACATTTACATAATTCTTATAAAATGAGTTCAATCTTTAGTAGTTTTAAATAAGTGACAGAAATAGCCCCTGGATCGAACAGTTCGATCTAAAGCAAATTTACCCTGAGCCTGTTGCATCAGATCGGCTGTGACATTTGAATCTGACCCAGATTTTTTACAGACAAATTCTAGAGCAGATTACAAACGCTGATAAGACACGTAGGTTTTTCTAATAATAGTTACTGGAAACACTTTTTCCGTAAGGACAGAGATAAGAACAGAGTAAACAGGGGTAGGACTATGGATTATTTAATTAAATAAATTACTACTAAGAATATATATCAGTATTTATCAAGATTTATGTGCTTGATTTTCACATTGTAATGCGTTACGATAAGAGGTTCTGTGATTGGTTAACTACGGAAGCCGAGAGGGGTCACAACAAACGTAAACGCCGCAACAAATACAAATGCGACAACACAACAAAAAGCCACAACAAACCAAAAAAAGCCACAACAGAAGTGACCGCGGGACTCTATTTTAATGCAAACGCCGCAAAATACAAACGCCGCAACACATTAAAAAGCCACAACACATTAAAAAGCCACAACGGAAGTGACCGCGGGACTCTATTTTAATGCAAACGCCGCAACACATTAAAAAGCCACAACACATTAAAAAGCCACAACGGAAGTGACCGCGGGACTCTATTTTCCGACGGACCGATCAAGCAGCAAGTAAAGAAGAAGAACTACAATGTGAAAAGTAAAGGAACGGAGAAGTTGGAAACGTAAATAAAAGTAATTTATTGTTTTATCATTATTTGTTTCACGTTGTAGTTCTTCTTCACTTGCCGCTTGATCGGTCCGTCAGAAAATAAAGTCCCGCGGTCACTTCCGTTGTGGCTTTTTGACGTGTTGCGGCTTTTTAATGAGTTGCGGCTTTTTAATGTGTTGCGGCATTTGCGTTTGTGTTGTGGCGTTCGTATTTGTTGCGGCGTTTGCATTAAAATAGAGTCCCGCGGTCATTTCCGTTGTGGCTTTTTTTGGTTTGTTGTAGCTTTTCGTTGTGTCGTCGCATTTGTATTTGTTGCGGCGTTTGCGCTTGTTGTGACCCCTCTCGGCTTCCGTAGTTAACTCCACCTGTCACTCACTCAGCGTATGAGGGTGGCTGACCAATAGGAGGAGTAGGTGTGTAAAGTGTCTGTGTTTGAGCACCGAGCTGCATTAAACAGAACTGAAACTGAATCACCACAGAACCGTCTTTCCTGACTGTTAGATTGTTTAAAAGACATATTATAATTACATCGCCCCTTTCCCTATTGGATGAACTTTCTTTTTAAACAGCTGAGGAACAATTTAAAACATTATAAAACTAAACAGTGATAGATGTTTTGAATATATTTACCGTGTGAGAGAGCAAGGCAGTGGCTGTCTCCTATAGAAATGTCCACCACTCGAGTCGTGGCCAGCTCCTCGATGAGTTTAGGCCTCAGAGCTGTGGCCTCGGACGAACCACAGCCCAGACAGGCCCCGCAGCCCCACGCATACACCTGTAAAAAAAAAAAAAAAAAAAATGAGAGAGAGTCCTGAAGGGGGTGCTCACATAATCCAATCACACACACACACATAAACCAGCAACACAGAGACAGTTCTGAACACAACTGAACCACGCCCAGGCTTGGATGAGCTACATTTCTGTGTGAGGTGATCCATGCCCAGACACAGCACGGTCGGGACCCGGTCGGAGGACGTGGGCCAAAACAAGACACGGGTGCTTTTGTACACTCACACAGATTTAGTGCACAAGCCCTGTGTGTGCTGGTGTGACGCATAAGAGGAAACAGTGAATAGACCAAACATGTCTCACAGCAGGACTCATGTCTGCCTCACTCATGTCTCATGCTGCTGGGCTGATTTTCTCCTCTACAGTGTTGTGACATGTAAACAAACAGTGCTCTGTTATGACAATGCAGGCAGGGTTGGGCGGTCGCCAGAGTTTTAAACCTTCTCAGGATTTTACCAAGATATACAGTATTACCGTATTACCAAAATGTTTTACTACGACTTTGGTAAGCTATGAAGCCGCACCACTATACGGTCTGTGACTTATAATCTCTGAAAAGTTTCACATGAACCATCTCCAACGCGATACACACACAGAACAGACTCACCATCTGCAGCACATCCTCTGACACAGAAAGAACACATACAGTATATTCCACTGAGTCGTGTCCTTTAGTCCAACAGAAGCTGAACCGCATCAGCGCACAAGGACCGAGCTGTTTTTATCAGCGCTTTACAGTTTATGCAAATGAGCCGTGTGGTTTTAAGTGTCGTTTCTGTAAAATGTAAACAAATGTGGCCTGAATCCAAAATGCTGCCAAATTGCAGAAGTACTAGTATTTTTGGGGGGTAAACCAACTTGCTTGGCGGCCGGACTTGCTCTCTTGTCTTGGTCTCTCTTATGAGCATCACATGACAACAGAACGAAACTCATCGAAGTGAAAACTGAAAATACAACCACACATTCATTTGTGCTGAACAAACAAATGTAGGTACCAATAAATTATATTATTATATTATTATATTATGTGCTGCAGATTTCTTTTAATGACGGTGATAAAACTGATACTGATGCTACTTTTTGATACCGCGGGATACTGTAATACTGAATTACAGCCCAACCCTCGTCACCGGGGCAAGGCTGGGTTCAGTTGTGCAGATGTGAGTGTGGGCGATAGGCACAGAGGAGAAAGTACCAGTAATTAAGATATTTAACTACAATACAGTAAGAGGAATTTAAGAGTTGCAAATGTCAGTGATTAAGGCAGAACAGGAGCTGGAAAATACAGAGAACGCGTCACTAAATATGGGAAACAAACACAGACCACCTGCATTATCACAGAGGAAGACCAGGTCGCAAACGTAACTCGCCGTCTTTTTAATGTCTGTAAGCCTGACCTCAATGCAAACCACTGAAGCAGAGTGAACAGTTACACAAGTGCAGCAGGAATGAGGCCGTACCTGTCCCGTGGAGGTGAGCGCCAGAGACGACTGGCTCCCGGCGCACACTTTCCTTATGAACATTCCTTGTAAAGCTTCAACTAATTTCGGCTTGTAAACCCGGTTGGTGTCGCCGTGGCCTAGTTTCCCTGGAGAGAAAACAAATGCATGAATGTGTCAGATTGAGCAGAACAAGGGCTGCACAGTGTGGAAAAAGAATTTACTGTGATCAGATTTATGACGTTGCATACAGTGGAAATAGAAAACAACTGCAGAAACATTAACATTCGATCGAAGACTGAAATATGCATCGATTAACTGATACAAATACCGTACGGCTCTAAACTACAGGTACAACACGATTTTCAATAAAACAAAACAGACATTCTATTCTCTGAATAACTGCATCAAATGAAATACTGATTTTGATTTGACTTCATTACCGTATTTTCCGGGCTTTTAGGCGCTCTGGATTATAAGACTCACTGTCATTAAATGGTCTATTTTCTAACTTTTTTCACAAATAAACCGCACCGGACTTTAAATGAAACACAACGGTGTGATGGGCAGTGTTGGGAAGGTTACTTTTAAAATGTAATCCCCTACAGATTACAGATTACACACCCCAAAATGTAATCTGTAACGTAATCCATTAAATTACTTAAAGTGAGTAACGTAATCTGATTACTTTGGATTACTTGATATTGTCATGTTTTTTTAAACGACATGAATGTAGCAACCACATCCTCAAAATTCTTGTTTGTTGTCTTCAAATTGTCTGAGCCCAAGTCTCCATGAATAAGCAACTGTTTACTGTAGAGAAACAAAGACCACGACATCTTAATATAAGAGGTTTTGTCTGTTAAAAGACAGTAACAAGATCAGCCTTTCCTTAACCAGATTAAAAAATATTATTGATAGAGAAATTATATGAGATCACCTTAAATTATGTCAACCTGGTCTAGACCAGGTCTTTAGTCCTGGTTTAGTCCTGGTTTAGTCCTGGGTTAGTCCTGGTTTAGTCCTGGGTTAGTCCTGGTTTAGTCCTGGTTTAGTCCTGGTTTAGTCCTGGTTTAGTCCTGGTTTAGTCCTGGTTTAGTCCTGGTGTTAGTTCTGGTTTAGAGGCGCACAGGAGGAAGTGCGGTTTACGCGAGAAAACACGTTCCACACGCGGCGCACGAGACGGCGGTGTCCGCGCTGTAACTACGGAAGGAGACGTGGTCCGCGGGTTCTCAGGTTGATGACGATGATGAAGGTGTTTGTGTTTGTGTGTGTGTGTGCACGTCCACTCATGTGGCAGGTCACTATAGGACAGTTGTGTTTGTGTGTGTGTTTGTGTTTGTGTTTGTGTGCACGTCCACTCATGTTGCAGGTCACTATAGGACAGTAGTGCAGATATTATGAGTCTATGCAGGTTGTTTTCACCAGTGCCAGTAGCTCCGGTTTCACATTTAAGAGTAGGCGATTTTATATATATATTTTTTAATATATTTATCTCACATCGGGAGAAGAATTTCCAAGACACAAATGCGTTTTTACCAATGCACTGCTGCTTCCACTGTGTGACTGACACCGCCAACTTTAACATGACGTTTCCATCGCTCTTATTGCGCGCGTTCTGTTTGGGCTTCAGGCAATGAGTGAAATTACCGAAATAAAAAAATAAATAAATGGGATGTAGCACAAAATGTGAAAACAGGAAAATACCGCCTTGTAATCCACTTATTTCAGCAAAGTAACTGTAATCCAATTACCACTCATTGAAACAGTAACTGTAACGGAATACAGTTACTCATAATTTGTACTCTGATTATGTAACGGCGGTACATGTAATCCGTTACTCCCCAACACTGGTGATGGGTGAGTGGTTTTGTTTGTTTGTGGCGTTCACGGTGACTCTGGGCTTGGTTCAGTTGTGGCGTGTAGGGTGGGTGCCAACGGATTGTCGGCGTGTTCGCAGTGACTCAGTTGTTCAGTTGTGTCTAGAAGTGGCACATTGCACTCGCTTTTTCAGTTCGTTCCTCCGTTCCGTTCCTCGTCGGCGTAGAGTGATGAGTGTGTCTGTGGGTGTTTTTCGCTGTGCGGTCTCTGTCTGCTCCGTGTGTGTTTGCGTGTTCTGCGGGTGGTGCGGCTTTGTAGTTTACTGAAGTCGTGCTGGGACACCCGAGTGGATTCGTGTATAGGGCGCTCTGGATTTGGGGGGGCGCACTGTCGTTTTTTGATGCAGTTAGAGGCGTAAGAGCGCGTCTAATAGCCCGGAAAATACGGTATATAGTTGCTGTCAATTAAATGCTTCTAAATTAAAGAATATTTAAATGTTCCGTACCGTTGTCTCCGCCTCCGAAGGACCAGACCGTGCGCCCGTCCTTGGACAGAGCGATGGTGTGAGAGCTCCCACAGGACACCTCTCCGACGTTACTGATGTCTTTGACCAGAGTGGGGATGTTACGGCTGTTACTGTCTCCATGACCTACAAACACAACAGATTTTTAATTCCTCTAACCTCTTTAGCCTGGTGGTGATTAGTGATTACTCTTGAGACTTGAGTGACTGACCCAATCTCCCAAAATCTCCTTCTCCCCACGTGTACAGCTCTCCATCTTCACTGACCGCTGCGCTGTGTCTGTATCCAGCAGACACACACACCACCACCTGGAAACACACAAACCAAACAAAACAAACACACAACCTGTCAGGAGCAGCCACAGCAAAACAACCAAGGGACTTATCTCCAGATCTTGTTGCTGGTCCGGGTCAGAACTACCCGAGCTGGAGGATTTGACCTGTTGTGCGTGTTTTGGGTGGATGGGGGGAACGGGAGTGCGCAGAGGAAACTGGGGCAGTGCCAAAAATCGAAGAATCGATAGATCAGGATCTAAACTTTGGTCGACCTCGATGATAAAGCGTGAACATTTTAATCGACAGATCGTGTGATAGTGTGAGAACGAGGAGATTGTTTAGGTGAAAGCTCTGAGTCAGGTGTGTGTATCTGCCTCTGTGTGTGTGTGTGTCTGCCTCTGTGTGTGTCTGTGTCTGCCTCTGTGTGTGTGTCTGTGTCTGCCTCTGTGTGTGTCTGTGTCTGCCTCTGTGTGTGTGTGTATCTGCCTCTGTGTGTGTGCGTCTGCCTCTGTGTGTGTATCTGCCTCTGTGTGTGTGTGCGTCTGCCTCTGTGTGTGTGCGTCTGCCTCTGTGTGTGTGCGTCTGCCTCTGTGTGTGTGCGTCTGCCTCTGTGTGTGTGCGTCTGCCTCTGTGTGTGTGCGTCTGCCTGTGTGTGCGTCTGCCTCTGTGTGTGTGCGTCTGCCCTCTGTGTGTGCGTCTGCCTCTCTGTGTGTGTGCGTCTGCCTCTCTGTGTGTGCGTCTGTCTGTCTGTGTGTGTGTGTCTGCCTATGTGTGTGTGTGCGTCTGCCTCTCTGTGTGTGCGTCTGCCTCTCTCTGTGTGTGCGTCTGCCTCTGTGTGTGTGTGTCTGCCTCTCTGTGTGTGTGTGTCTGCCTGTGTGTGTGCGTCTGCGTCTGCCTGTCTCTGTGTGCGTCTGCCTCTCTGTGTGTGCGTCTGCCTCTCTGTGTGTGCGTCTGCCTCTCTGTGTGTGTGCGTCTGCCTCTCTGTGTGTGCGTGTCTGCCTCTCTGTGTGTGCGTGTCTGCCTCTCTGTGTGTGTGTGTGTCTGCCCTCTGTGTGTGGTGTGCGTCTGCCTCTCTGTGTGCGTCTGCCTCTCTGTGTGTGCGTCTGCCTCTCTGTGTGTGCGTCTGCCTCTCTGTGTGTGCGTCTGCCTCTCTGTGTGTGTGTATCTGCCTCTCTGTGTGTGCGTCTACCTCTCTCTGTGTGTGTGTGTATCTGCCTCTGTGTGTGTGCGTCTGCCTCTCTGTGTGTGCGTCTGCCTCTGTGTGTGTGTGTGTCTGCCTCTGTGTGTGTGTGTGTGCGTCTGCCTCTGTGTGTGTGCGTCTGCCTCTGTGTGTGTATCTGCCTCTGTGTGTGTATCTGCCTCTGTGTGTGCGTCTGCCTCTCTGTGTGTGCGTCTGCCTCTCTGTGTGTGTGCGTCTGCCTCTCTGTGTGTGTGCGTCTGCCTCTCTGTGTGTGCGTCTGCCTCTCTGTGTGTGCGTCTGCCTCTCTGTGTGTGCGCGGTGCTGCCCTCCCTTCAGCTCCTCACCTTTTCTCCCATTTCTCTCCTCTGGTGCTTCTCATTTTTATAATCCAAGCTACAGAAAGTGAACGACTTTTTTTTTTTTTCCTCACCATTTATGAGTGAAATGTTTAGAGACCTCATTTAGAGCACAAACATCGCCCGTGTTTCTGTAATTCCACCAAATAAAAGCTGCAAAACTGACATCTTGACATCCTGCTCTTTATGTCTTTAAGTCCACATGTCCATGTTTTTAAAAAGATAAATCAAATCTCTATGTTTTAAAAAAAGATCCAATCAAAAAAATTAAAAAATGAGATTAGTCAATACAGGGGGGGGGAATCATGATTCTTTTTTTTTTCCCCCCACCCAGACCAGAGAGAAACATGCCCCCCTGACTATCTGACTCACTATTTGCACTGAGTAAGTCAAATAGAACCTTCCAGGAGTGATCTGTTCAACCTGGCTCTGATTTTAACATTCTCTTCTATTTATTTTAACATGACTTCATTCTGACGCTTGTAGACGACGCAAACGGTTCGTGTGTTCGTTACATTTGCCAAGCGGTAATACTGGGAGCGTGCTCATGTTCCCTCAACCCCCTCAATCCCTATTTTTCTAAGTTTTCATCAGATTTTATCCCTTTTTCTCCTAATTTGGTCTTCAGTTACACCCAATCTATCTCCAGCAACAGTTGACTATGATCCTACGCTGAAATGACTCTGAATCATCCCTTTAAATGCGGTAAAAAAAAATAAAAATGGCTTGAATTAGAGTTTCATTTTGAGAAAAATCTAAAAAAAGAGGGAACATAGGGCTGACCCCGTAATTACTGGTTAATATCAAACATCCAGCTCGTGTTTCTAAAGCTTATTTGTTTACAGGATTTAAAACAAACTGTCAAAATGTTGTAGCCTACTATATTTACGATGCATTATTGTCCAGCAGAAGTTTAGATTTAACCATTTTTTTTATTACATGGTTATTCGCATGTACGTACATTTTGACGTTAATAATGCACATAAAACAATGCAACATGTGGCAGTCTTTTCTAACGATGGTCTAGTGTTACTCGCACGATTGAGTCAAAGCAGCCCTGTTTTTTTAAAGTTCTTGACGTTGGTGGTTAACACTCCCAAACTCTCCCAAAAATGAAAAAGCACTGGATCTATCTTCTAGTGCACCAGACTTTGGGATGCAGAGGTTCGGTTTACAAACATCGTAAAGGTCCAGAAAGTGTGTCGGTGTGCACTGAAAATTTCTCTGATCTGGCCAAGGTTTTAAAACTTATATCAGGTTATTCATGTTGTTTTCAGATTTATTATTTATTACTTACTAGTTCTGAGACTGCTTCATTTTAGTCTAGAGTTGTTTATTTTAAAATAACTTGTCAAGTAAAAATATCTTGCTGCATGGACAGATAATTTCACTACTTTTAAGTAATTTTTGATAGATTAAAGTGTCTATATCTTAAAGGGCCCATCTCATGCAAAATCAACTTTTCAGAGCTTTCTACCTTCTAAGAGTGATGTGTGGGCCTTGTATTTGTCGCCGAAGTGGTTTTTAGATTGATTCTGTGTTTTTTTTAAACAAATTGCAGCGTATTTCTGCCAACCTCCCACGTGACAATGAACTAAAGCTGCTACAACGATGACGCGGCAGCTACACCTAAGACACTTTTGACGTAGCAGAAAGCGCTTCGCACCCGCCCCCCTCACCCACTCCACCGCCTCCGCCCCGCCTTCACTCCGCCTTCACCCTGCATCGGTTGACAATTCCCACTTGAACACCTAGACAAAAGCGACACCATAAGCTCATTGTTCTACACTGAAATGTACACGATATAATAAGTTGATCTACTAGTGTTTATTAATACTTTATCAATCAGTAATGTTCAGCTGATGTCGACGTGGTGCTTGAGCTTCGTGCTCCTCAAAGTCCTCATCCGATTCCGGGTCCAACACATGCGGCTGAACGCGCTGTATCTCCATGATGAATAAAAGTTTATTCCTGCCTCTATCAGGGTGCACGTCTGTCTCCCCCTCCCTCCCTGAGATGGCGGAGGAAGGGCGGCTCACTCAGAGCCTACGTCTCGTTTGGAGGGCGGAGCCTGTGCTTTCTCAGGACGGGCGGGGGGAGCAGCAATAGTCGGACTTTCATAGTTCCTGGTCTGTGACTGCCTCCAAGAAATCAGTAAGATTTCATAATTATTGTGTAATGGATGTTCCAAAACCCAAATTGTGCTTGTTTATGTGCAGAAGATACAATGTAAAAAGAGTTATTTTAAACTTTAAATCTTTAAACTTTGGCCAAGCTTTTGCAGTGGTTTAGTCTGTACCCTCTCCTGCAGCGGTCCTTGTATCAGTTTTGGGTACTTCTGTGTGGAACTATTGCCACTGGAGCTAACGTATGGAAATGCTCTAGGCTTTAAAACCCAGGCGTTCCGTTTACAAACACTGAAAGGGTCTATAAAGTGTTACGTATGTGTTTTAGTCCCTACCTTCCCCTGCAGCGGTCCTTGTATGAGTTTGGGATACTTCTGAGTGGAGCTGTTGCCGTGGCCCAGTTTGCCGTAGTCACCGTCTCCCCAGCTGAACACCTCTCCCTCCGTGGTGAACGCCAGCGTGTGCCCGTCGGACCCTTTGGACGACGACACCTTCTTTATGGCTCTGTGGGGTTCGAACGTCAGCTTCTTCAGGGTGGACTGGTTGTTGGAGTCGCCCAGGCCCAGGCGCCCGTAGCTGCCCTTCCCACAGGCGCGAACGGACCCGTCAGAAGAGATGACGAAGGTGCAGTACTGACCAGCCTCGATCTGAAACACAGGAAAAATTTAGTTAGTCAATGAAATGAAGATGGATGATAGACATTTTATCGATCCCGAAGGACATTCAAATATATAAGTTAATTTATATAGTCTGGTGTCCTCTAGTGTTGTCACAAAGCTAAAATTTCAAACTTGTTCTGATAAAGCTCGAGATCATTCTAAAGCTGCTCAGGAAAGGTTCATTTCTGTCCTGTTAATGTGACTTTTTTAGTATCAATACCTGCGAAAAATTTGTATCTAGTGTAGATACAAGTTTTAATATTGATTAGTATCTGATTTTTGATCCTTTAGACAAACCTAGTATCACATTTCAAGATTTTTGTATGTCGCACTTATTACAAGATGTGGGGAATTTCTAGCCTGATTCATCTTCGTGGAAACCGTCTGACCTTGCAGCATTAGGATTCGTTCGTACTTTTTTTATTTAACCAATCGCTGCTATTTGGTCGGGGCTAACTGGTATATTAAGCTTTTCCCAAATCCCGTAGGAAGAAGGGCAATAATGTCTTTCCCCTTGATAAAATTCACCAAACATTCTCTTTGTTCCGGCTTTAAATCCTCGATCTCGGGAATCGTTGCCACAACAGAATGTCTGTCTTCGTCTACATCCATCTCAATGGCTTTGTTTACTGTTGTGCTGTTCCACAAAAGGGACCCAGACATGGCTTCACAGCTCTTCGCTGAATGGTCAGTGTGCCGTCTACAACAGAGGTCTGCACGGGATAGAATTTTCAGTCCCGCTCCCACCCACATCTGTGATATTTTGTCCCGCTCCTGTCCGCAAAATCCCGCAAGTTGGGGATGTTCGCTTTCTTAAACTTTATCAAACACAGAGAAGCGGAAAGGAATTGTCTAAAATGTGCGCGAGATTAGACCATGTTCACAAGTTTAGGATGCTTCAAATGTTTTTATTAATGCCAAATAAAATATCTGCATGACAGGCATACATACATCATTTGTATACTTTACTTTACACTCATATTTAGTTTGCGGGACTGCAGTTTATCATCCCACCTGCTCCCGCATTTTGCAGTCCTGCTCCCATTCGTTCCTGCAATGACCATTCAAAATGTATCCCGTGCCGCACAGTTTTGCGTCAGGTCCCGCGGGAGGGAGTGCAGGGCTCTAGTCTACATCTCGGGATGGGCATTTGATTAAATTTTCTTAATCGATCGTCGGGAGAATTAACGATCGATTATCGATTAATCATTAACGTTTTTTATATTAAAATTTATCATCATTATTATTACTATCTGCACTACTAATTTGCATAAATAAATTCAACTTAACGACATATAAACCGTAACGACTCTAGAGCCACATCAGCCTGTTTGACATTATAATGTGTTTAATGCAGATTTGGGCAAGTCTCACAGAAACAAAACTTAAAACCTCATGGATAATTTGCATAAACTAAGCGAAGGAAAAAAAACAGCTCTTGAGCTGATGCGGCAGGACTCAGTGGAACACAGGTTAGTGTGACCATATTTGCGTTTGTCAAAACCAGGAGGGAGGTGGAGACTTGTCATCGACATTGAGCTACTCTCACCTGGCAAAGATTTTTCATGTTTTCATCGTCCTGGTGAACTTTTTCCCACTGGACACCGAAACATATGTGCTGCTTTGTACACTGTGCACATGGCCTCACACTTGTCCTGACCGGAACGGAAAGCGTGAAATTTCTTGTACAAGTCATCGTTAAATACACATTTGCACTTCGGCACGTTACAGACTGACTGACTGTTTGTGTCTCACTCACTTCTGAGTGCAGAGACACATGTACAGACCAATGTTTGTCCCTGGACACAGACGTTTGGTCACGCTACGCTACGCACAGCAACCTACATTCGGTTTGTCAATTAAAATGAATGTAATCAATGAAATTATTAATGATCAATTATCGATTAATCATGCCCATCCCTCTCTACAACTTCTGGAGTTTTTGCAAACCGTCTAGTGTATTCCGATTCCTGACCTAGTCTCTGGAGAGAAATTAAATTGAGCAGAGGCACTAGGTGGCACCAGCCTGGTTAGGGAATTTCTGCACAATGACAAAAAATATATAGCAATTGCAATTCAATTTGTGATAAATGTTTAAAACTTAATATTATGTTCTCAGTGCAAATTGTAACCAAACCCAGGAACATTCACATTTGAGAGAAAATGAAAAATGAACTGACAAACAAATATAAGAATCACATTAATTTCAGAGCTTTGTGTATTATAAAAACACAGGATATTTTTCATTATGATGTCCAAATAATTTCCGCTTTTATGATTTCATAACTGCGCCGAAAGAAATTGTAATTTGATTTGATTGTGATCTTATGTACCGTCCTATTACATGATCCACCGTATCTATGACCAAAGTTTGTCGGAGCAAACATCAGGTTATGTGAGGCCATGAGGCTGTGTCAGTGTCGCCAGTGAGTTGAGGCCAGAGGAGGGGAGTAAGAAATTGGACTTTTCTAGCAGGATACTTTTACTCCTACTTATGTAATATTTGTATTGAAGTAACAGTACTCTTACTTGAGTAAAAGTTGTGGTTTGTCTTCCCACTGTGATTAAGTCTACAACTGACAAAAGCTTTATGTGACAATATGAAACGATTTGAACATTTGTTCATTCTGATATGATTTATATGACTCTTGTGAGCTTTAAGTCATGTTATAATGTTGTTACCGCCTCAAAAACAGACCTGGAGTTGTGTTTTTTGCCTTAACTTCATATTATAAACAGTGTTGGGGAGTAACAGATTACATGTACCGGAGTTACGTAATCAGAGTACAAATTATGAGTAACTGCTGCTAACTACTTTGTTGAAATAAATGGATTACATTGTGATATTTTCCTCTTTTCACATTCTGGGCTATATCCCCCCTTTTTTTTTTTCGGTAATTCCACTCATTGCCGGACACTAAACCAGATCTAAAACCAGGACTAAAACCAGGACTAAACCCAGGTCCAAAGCAGGTCTAAACCAGGTCTAACACCAGGTCTAAAACCAGGTCTACACTAGGTCTAAACCAGGACTAAACCCAGGTCCAAACCAGGTCCAAACCAGGTCTAAAACCAGGTTTAAAACCAAAAACCAGGTTTAAACTAGGTCTAAACCAGAACTAAACCCAGGTCTAAACCAGGACTAAACCCAGGTCCAAACTAGGACTAAATCAGGACTAAACAAGGTCTAAACCAGGTCTAAAATCAGGTCTAAACCAGGTCTAAACCAGGACTAAACCAAGAATAAACCAGGTCTAAACCAGGACTAAACGAGGACTAAATCATGCTGCATGGACCATGTCTCCTCATTTTCTATCAGTAATATCTTTCATTTGTTTAAGTAAAGTCTGGGCTTTTTTATTTTCTTTTAGCAGATAAAACATCTTATGTTACGATATTCTAGTCTTTGCTTCTCTACAGCAAATCAAGTAATCCAAAGTATTCAGATTACGTTACTCACCTTAAATAACTTAATGGATTCCGTTACAAACTACATTCTGGGGTATGTAATCTGTAATCCAAAAGGGAATACATTTTAAAAGACACCTTCCCAACACTGATTATAAATCAGATGTTACGTCGCAAAACTTACTGTTTAAACTATTCTTACTGAAGTAGTAGTTTTTCCCAAATACTTTTTTACTCTCACTAATAATTTCTCGGACCACTACTCCTCAAATATATACTCCTCATATATTAAATGATAAGTTAATAGGCTCTATTCATGGCTACATCATAAAATCGGAAAACTTTTGGAAACATGCGGATGACGACTCCCTTTGGGCTCTGTTGGCGATAATAAAGCTGACAAAATCTGGGAAAACTGAGAAAAATTTACCGTTTTTCTTCATCTAGATGTCTTTGTATTCTTTCTTTTCTTTTTTTAAATAAATTGTCTATTCATTTGTGCATCAAAATTAAAAAGTCTAAAAAAAAAAAAGACGTGACAGTATCATTTAAACAGCATGAGCGACAAGAAATATATTGCGTTAACAAATATTATTAGTCTTGTAAGTTACTTTTTCTTCTCTCTACATAAAAAACAGCAGACACCTCCCTAAAATATGCAACCAAAATATACACACGATAAATATTGAACCCCAGCTTTCATATATAGAACGATAAGTCAATAGAGTAATTATGACTACATATTTTGCCATGACAAGTTCAGTAACATCTGCGAATTCTGACATCAACAGCAGTGATTGACAAGTGACTGAGAGCGGCTCAACTCCCACTGACTGTGACTAAGCATCTCTTTAAAAGTTTAGACAGTTTAGAGAAAGAAATATGAAACAGATATGATAAGATTTTAAGCAGACACCAGACTAATGCTGACAATCACATTCAAGGCATGTTTTTGATGAGGAAACATTATAAGATAAATCAGAAAATAGCCGAATATGGGGCTTTTAAATGGCAAAAAAAAAAAGAAAGTAACAAAACGATGCCTTACTGTCTGTGCATCTGCAAAGCTTGGGGCAAGTTTGGGCTGTAGGATCTTCTCTTGAGTCCCCTCCACGAGCTGATGGCTGCTGTTACTGCCCCACACATACACCTCGCAGCTCTCAGACACCAGAGGAGCCTCGCCCGCCTGGATACTGTCCGGGCTCACACAGGTTCGAGAGTAATCTGACGCCATCCTGCACACCTGAAAACACCACACACAGATCAGGGCTCACTTTAGATTTAAAGATTTACATTTAGGCAGCAAGAGAGTGCTTTTGGAGCAAATATGTCTAATTATTAAGACAAAGAGCAAAGTGTGAGAAAGTAAAATTTGTGGGGGAGGGCCATCGTAAAGGTCATTTCTCACACTGAAATGAGTGTGTTGTGATGGATAATGCTTTGGACTCTTACCTCTTCAAACAGACAGAGGGCGGCCTCATATAAAGAGCAGAGGCCGTCTGCCGTTCGGGTCGGTTCTCTCCACTGACTGCGATCTGCAGAGGAGCCCTGAGAACAGGTCAAACAGAAATGTAAACAACAGTGTTCTGTCCTCTTGAAGTCTTTATTGAGGAGAGTAACTCACCAGAGAGCGCCTCATCTGCATCAGGATGTTCATGAAGCAGTCGTAGCTGATCAGACCCTCCAGACTCAGACTCTGGCTCTGCTCCATCGTACTGACCACAGCTGACGCAGCCAGAGCCATTTCAATCCACTCCAGGAGGTACCTCAGGGAGCCCCTCTGAGAGGCCAACCCCAGCAGCAGCTCCGATGCCAACCGCCGACCCAGAATGTCCGCCCCAGAGTTTGGCATGGTCACCCCTTTGAGGAAGGAGGTGACCTGAGCCAGGCAGTCCAAGCCCATAGGTGGGATCTTGCTCTCATTGGCTAAAGACAGAGGAGGGAGGGAGCTGACCACGTCGATGGCCGTGTGGATGACGTCATTGCAGAGGTTAATAGTTCCTCCGGGGGCAGTAGAGGGGCCAGGAGGGGGCATCATCCAGCTCTGTCTGAGCAGAGCGAAGAGCAGACTGAGCCCTGTGCGGACGCCCATCTCTATGAGGGCATCTGTGCTGGAACGTGGCCTCTCACTCACAGACTGCAGGTCTGTGGAGCCACAGCTGTTCTCGGGGGAGTGCTGCTGCTGCTTCACTTTGCCTTTGTCATGGTATTTGTTGGAAAGAGCGTAAAAGATGCGCTGCAGCACCAGCACACGTTTACGCAGCGCGGCGGCGAAAGGAGAGTCTGAGCACACCATCTTGGCCAGGGCGAGCTGGCTGCCCAGCAGCGCGTCCAGGTAATGCTCCTGCTCATCGCTGGACAGAGACTCGCGCTCGAAGTCCGGCAGCTGAGGCCCTTTGAGGCACAGCACCTGCTGCGGCAGAAGAACCACCTCTTTGTTGGACAGAAGTTTGGAGTAAAGTGCGGACACGCCCTCCCGCGTCGCCACAGACTCACTGTCCTCTGTGATCCAGGAGCCATTCAAATGCTCCAACCACTTGAGCTTCACCGGAGGAATCATGAGCGCCATAGCACTGTGTCAGTGTGGAGCCATCAGCCCTGAAACAGAGAGAGTTCAACTTTAACCTCTGACCTCTGACCTCTGCATAAAGGACACTGTGTGCCACAAACAAAAACACACCTGCTGATTCTGCTGCTGCTCTCAACATGTAAAATGTCACTCAGGAAATGCTGTGCCCTCTCATGCAGCATTTACACTGTAATGGCTCTATTGATTGTTATACAGCCTGCTTAATGTACTGCGAGACGGATGAATGTCTCCATGTTTATACAAAGAGCTACTGCATTTTCACTATAGTCTTAGAATAGAACAGTAAAGTTACAGCCATAATGGCATCTGCTGTATCACAGTATTTTCTGACATGTGAAATCATAGTAATAAACTGTAATATACCGCATTATAACTTTACATTTCAGTGACAGATGTTGTGAAGCTAAAGGTTATTGATTCAGAGCAGCTCCACCAGAACATTGGCTCCACTGATGTCACTTAATGTAAACACAGGACACGTGTGTGGACCCGTGTCTAATGTCTGTGAAAGGAAAAGGTCCAACAACATATATTCTGCTTAAGACTGACTCAGCAACCTAAACCAAACCAATATTATTTAACTGTTTTTATTCTAACACCTAATTTTATGCATGACCTTCGTGTAATCATGGTTTCTATTCTGCTATTATTGTTTTTACCGTTTTATCTTGGGCCATATTGCCAAAGATATCCTTGTTTATGAAATTCATCAGCTGGCATTTGTAATATTTTGTTTCTGATATAAGATCCATGATTAATTCTTGTTCATGAAAAACACACTTGTTTACAAACACTTTATCAGAGAGTAACTTTATCAGCAGTTGGAGCAGCCGTAACCCACAGATGAAGGGAAGCACTGCGAAACATCTAAACACAATCCCTAAGGTCAAGCTGAGGTCAAGTTTTCACCAGTGAAGTAAAAATATGTCCTGCTTAAATAACACTATGTCAACTTTAGACTTTGATCATACAATATTTACATTCATAAAACAAGCATTAAGCATTGGTGCTTAAAATGTTCATGTATAAACCAAAGGCAATAACATGATACAGAATCCATCAATTTGTTTAACTGTAAAGCAAACTGAGGTCTGATTTTAGTCTATTTTTGCACATTAAAGTATGGTGACCAGATTAAAAAAAAAAAAAAAAAAATAGGACACCCTGAGTTTGTGGTGGCTGGTAATAATAAAATGGCGAAACGATTGCATAATTAAGTAAAATTGTTATGCAGTTGCCCAATGTGAGTCAGTGTTGTCATATTTTCTTTGTGTTTTGGTCATTTTTAAGCAGCTTTTCTGTATTTTACCTAAACAAATGAATATATGCCTCTCTTTACTGTTGGTAGATTTCAGATTGGTCAAAAATAAGGACACCTGGGGAATAAAATTGGGACAAATTACTGATTTTAGGTAAATCTGAGGGCTCAAAACTGGACATCCGGTCACCCTAGCCTTCAATTTAGATATTTTGATGTTTAAAATGTTCATGTACAAACTAAAGGCAATAACATGATACAGAATCCATCAATTAGTTAAACTGTAAAGCAAACTGAGGTCTAATTTTAGTCTATTTTTGCACATTAACACTATTATTGCACATTAACACTATTATTGCACATTAACACTATTATTGCACATTAACACTATTAATGCACTTTAAAGTATGGTGACCAGATTTCAAAATAAAATAAAAAAGTAGGACATCTCTGGTTTGTTGTAGTTCGGTAATAATAAAATTGCGAAACGAGTCTGTAATTAAGTAAAACTGTTATGCAGTCGCCCCATGTATCATATTTTCTTTGTGTTTTCGTCATTTTTAAGCAGCTTTTCTGTGTTTTACCTGAACAAATGACAAGTCATGCCTCTCTTTACTATTGGTAGATTTCAGATTGGTCAAAAATAAGGACAAATCACTGGTTTTGGATAAATATGCTGGGACAAGAAGGCTCAAAACTGGGACATCTGGTCACTCTAGCCTTTAATTTATATATTTTGATGCTTAAAATGTTCATGTACACACTAAAAACAATAACATGATACAGAGACCATCAATTAGTTTAACTGTAAAGCAATCCAAAGTCTGATTTTAGTCTATTTTTTTCCTTAAACACCTGCTTATTGCACATTAAAGCTACAAGTATTTTCTGTGACTGTTATGAGGTATTAGCACAGGTAGCATCGCATCAGAGCTGTGTTATTTCACCATTAAAATACCGTATTGACATTTATACGGTACGTTTGTTTATGTAAGTTTAATAAAGTAAAAATAAGATGCATTATTAGTTGAAAAAGGCAGCGGCGCTTGTGTAATAACTGTTTATGCTAACTGGGCTAGCTCCGTATGTTAGCCGCTTTGCTTCATAGAACGGTAGATCGCGCGTTGACTACCGCTGTCGAACGGAGCGAATGCGTCAACAAAGCCGCCATCTTGGTACGGGGGTAACGCCGCTTTAAATGAATATTGATCGAGGACGAGGCGATATCTGGATTTCTCACTGACCAAGTAGCATTTATCTGTGGGAAATACTGACCAACGGAGCCACATAGGTAAAATCTTTCCAATAAATGTTACCCCTTGCGCTTTCGTCTTCTTATTTCACTCAAAAGTGCAAAAGTCCGGCATCTTCACTCATTAATACTATGAAAAAATTGACCTTAGATCGGAAATGGGCATTGTACAGTTTCAGGGTCACATACGGCTCTTTGGTTCACTCTGACCAACCAATTTAAGATAATTTGGAATTACAAAATAAACATACTGGATGAAAAAAAGAAGATTTGAGGCACTCCGATGGCGTTTGACATGAAACAAAATCATAGCAAAGTATATCGGAGAGCCTCGGACATCCTTTTTATTTAGATTTTATTTATTTATTAGTCATTTGCCCACTCGGGATCTCTTTAGAGCACCTGAGCATTTATTATTTCACTTCAACTGTGATCCAGGGAGCGCCACAAAATAAGCATACTTTATAATATTACCTCAAGCTGCATTGCTTTTATTTTAGAGTTGTTTTGTTGTTGTTTGACATTTTTTGTAAGGCAACCTCACTTCACATTGCTTAGTCATAACATACACTCTTGCCAGTCATACCAGCTTGTCAAAACAATGCTATTTACAGCTTTTTTTTAAACAAAGAAATACAATTAATATTACGCAGATTTGAGTTAAGAGTTTTCACAATATTTTCTCATGTGGTCCCATGGAAAAAATTAAATAAAATGCCCGCCCCTGCCTTCAGAACTATGGAACCTCCGTACCAAGATGGCGGCGGTATTAACGTATGCCCACGGGCCGATCGCGCTCTCTGCCGTTCTATAACTACGCCTTTACGTCACAAACCTAGCATGAAACGTCCAAACGCCCTTATTATTATAAGAGTTATGTAAACGTAAGCCAGCGACTTTTAAGGGATACGCCGGGGTGCTAAAATGGGTATTACGCGTCTGAAATAATGCACAGGTTTTGCACGAGTGTCGCTTGAATTTAATCAGTTTAAGCCGCTCTGCCCAACTCCGTGCCGTATCAGCGTCACGTCCTAGCATGCTAAGCTAACCGCGTTCGTAGGGGATAAACATGGACATACCCGTGCGTGCCCGGTGCCTCCTTCTGGTGTGCGCAATGCTCACGCTCGCGCCTCGCCGTGGTTCATTGCAACGCTCGGATCAGTGCGGGCTCGGGCGGTGTGCAGCAGAAAGCAGAGAGCATGGATCTGCCCCATGCCTCCTCCTCCTCCTCCTCCTCCTGAGTGCTGTCCTCCCTGTCCTCCGCCTCTCTCTCTCCGTCTCCGAACGCCCCGAGCTGACCGACCGCCGGCCCCTGCCCAGTGACGCTGCTGCGCTCCCCGTGTCCGTCCGTCCGTCCGCGCTCCTCCCCGTGTCCGTGGATGATCCCGGTGTTTTGTCGTTTTGCGTCTGTCTGCCCCCAGTGCCAGTGGCGTGGACAGTCCGTGCGCCGCCGTTGTCGTTCAGGGTGAACGAGCCAAGCACACGCCCACCTACACAAAGAGGAAGAAACAAAAAAAAATTAAAAAAGCATGTCGCCTAAAAAACAACAACACTACTACATATTTGCTGTCTGTGTAATCCCTCAGTCGTCCAGGTATGATCCATAGCAAAGAATTTGTCCAATCACAAAATCACAGACATGATTTAGGTTTTATTTTTTATTGAACTGTATCAAATCGATTTGAAATATTTATCGTATCGAATCGTAAGCTCACTGTATCGAGATATGTATCGTATTGTGACTTATGTATCGAGGTATGTATCATATCAGCAACTTCTGAAAGATAACCAGCTCTATATTAGACTACATTTACCTGTTATAGTTTTAAATTAAATTAAATTAAAATATTGATCTATCGTATCATTTAATGTGATGATACAGTATCGATATCGTGATCTGCTGTATCGATATATCGCGTTGAGTATTTTTTTTTGGTATATTTTACAAAATTATTTTGTTACAGCTACAGTTTTGTTGCTTGTTCACAGGGAGGAAACTCATTTATGCGACACATTTGACATTTTCACTGTTTTGATGATTAAAATGTTTGTGTTTCATATGAACTTTGCACAAGAACAACAAAGTTGGTTTAACAAAGACTTTTAGTATCACAGACATGATTTAGACTTTATTTTTTATTGCACTGTATTGAATAGATTTTAAATATATAATGTATCGAATCATATCGTATCGAATCATATCGTATGGAATCATATCGTAAGGTCACTGTATCGAGATATGTATTGTATTGTGACTTATCGTGAGTCGTCCAGGTATGAACCATAGCAAAAGAAGAATTACAATTTGTCAAACGAACAAAGATTTTAAAGATTGTGCAAAAATATTGAAATATCAATCTATCGTATCATTATATCATATCATGGGCTGCTGTAGCGATATATCACCAAGATTACTTTTTGATATATTTTACAAAATTATTTTGACTTTCAATATCACAGACATGATTTAGGCTTTATTTTTTATTGAACTGTATCGCATCGATTTGAAATATATCGTATCGAATCGTAAGCTCACTGTATCGAGATATGTATTGTTTTGTGGCTTATGTATCGAGGTATGTATTGTATCGGCAACTTCTGAATGATACCCAGCCCTACTTTAGACTACATTTACCTGTTATAGTTTTAAATTAAATTAAATTAAATTAAAATATTGATCTATTGTATCCTTTAATGTGATGACATATCGTATCGTAAGCTCACTGTATCGAGGTATATATAGTATCGGCAACTTCTGAATGATACCCAGCCGTATTTTAGACTACATTTACCTGTAATAGTTTTAAAAATGTTTAAATACTTAGACTTAGTCAAACACAAGGGAAATTATTTGGACTCAGTAGCTCGTTCATCAAGTTTTTAGACTAGAGGTGTGCAAAAATATTGAAGTATTGATCTATCATATCGTTTAATGTGATGATACTGTATCGATATCGTGATCTGCAATATTGATATATTGCCAAGAGTGTTTTTCTGGTATATTTTATTAAATTATTTTGTTACATCGCTACAGTTTTGTTGCTTATTCAGAGGGAGGAAACTCGTTTATTTGACATTTTCACTGTTTTGGTGAGTAAAATGTTTGTGTTTCATTTGAACTTTGCACAAGAAGTGGTTTAACAAAGACTTTTAGTATCACAGACATGATTTAGGCTTTATTTTTTATTGCACTGTATTGAATCGATTTGAAATATATATCGTATCGAATCATATCGTATCGTAAGCTCACTGTATCGGGATATGTATCATATCGTGACTTATCGTGAGTTGTCCAAGTATGAACCATAGCAAAAGATAAATCAGAATTTGTCAAACGAACAAAGATTTTAGACTAGACGTGTGCAAAAATATTGATATACCTATATATCGTATCGTTTAATGCGATGATACAGTATCGATATCATGGGCTGCTGCATCGATATATCACCAGTAATATACAGGCCTTTACTTTATTTTTACTGTGTTAAAATGCGAAAAACTTAATTTGTTCATTTTAAACCATGGTCCAAAGTTGTGGCTCACTTGTCTAAACATTCTGAACCCAAACCCTGAGTCACTGTGATGACTTTTTGAGAAATAGTGAAAGTATGACATCATGAAATTTTAGATCAGAAAATGAATCAAGCCTTATGAAATTGAAGGCAAACTGAACGTCTGTTGTTATTACGGACAAATGACTATTACACATATTCCATTCTCGATATGTTTTTTCCCTTTATAGTATACTGTTTTAATATTAAGGGTGCTTTGTGTGGAGTTTTTGGTATATTTTACTAAATTATTTTGTTACAGCTACAGTTTTATTGGTTGTTCAGAGGGAGGAAACTCATTTATGCGACATATTTGACATTTTCACTGTTTTGATGAGTAAAACGGGTGTGTTTCATATGAACTTTGCACAAGAAGTGTTTTAACAAAGAACTGTTTATTGAACTGTATAGAATCAATTTGAAATATATATCGTATCGAATCATATCGTATCGTAAGCTCACTGTATCGAGGTATATATCGTATCGGCAACTTCTGAATGATACCCAGCCGTATTTTAGACTACATTTACCTGTAATATTTTTAAAAATGTTTATATACTTAGACTTAGACAAAAACAAGGGAAATTATTTGGAATCAGTAGCTCGTTCATCAAGTTTTTAGACTAGAGGTGTGCAAAAATACTGAAGTATTGATCTATCATATCGTTTAATGTGATGATACTGTATCAATATCGTGATCTGCGGTATCGATATATCACCAAGAGTATTTTTCTGGTATATTTTATTAAATTATTTTGTTACATCGCTACAGTTTCGTTGCTTATTCAGAGGGAGGAAACTCGTTTATTTGACATTTTCCCTGTTTTGGTGAGTAAAATGTTTGTGTTTCATTTGAACTTTTCACAAGAAGTGGTTTAACAAAGACTTTTAGTATCACAGACATGATTTAGGCTTTATTTTTAATTGAACCGTATCGAATCAATTTAAAATATATATCGTATTGAGTCGTATTGAATCGTAAGCTCACTTATACTCTGGAATGACTTTTCGTTTCTGTTATATCTGGACCTGGATACTTATGGATTGGGTCTCTTCTTATTGTTAGTTAAAGGTTGTATGGAGGATTTTTTTTTGTTTTTGTTTCTTGTTGAAAGTTTAAAATCAATTACAAAGATGCAGCAGCTTGTATTATGTCCAAAAAAAAAAAAAAAAAGAATGAAATCATATTGTTGAAGATAAACTCATAGAAAACGAGGCTCATTTTCTATTGGCTAAGGTTGTCAATCTATGTTTCGAGTGTAACTGACTTTTAAACTGGGCTAAACTGTCGATTCGCGCAAAGTTTGTTGCGATACGAGAATTTCGCCGCAATCGGTTTTTGAGGTCGCTGAAAGATGATTCTGAGGTTTGGAGATCTCTTCCAGCGATTGGCGATTCTTGACGTGTCGGTCGCTATTTTTCTAGACAGTTTCGATGGATGTAAACGTTTTCTAGAGTAAAGAGACGGGAGGAGATGTTTCTACTGAGGAAGCTGTGGAGGTGAAAATTTGACTTCGCTGTATTTCTCTTCCTTAAAATCCTCTATGAGGCTTTGACCGTCACGTTCCCCATAGCAACACCTCGTGGGCACACTATGTCATTGATTCAGAACATCGGAGAAACATGGGCAGGTTTTGTTGTTATTTGGTTGTTCACGCTTGAACGGGATAAAACAAATGTTTTCTTCACTGTTCCTCTGAAATGACTCATCAGGAGCTCAAACAACGGAATTATCAGAAAAAACAGGAATTATGGTTAGAGAATATAAACGACCAGTTGGTACCATAAGTCACTTCACTTTCAGATAGATATTTGCTATTTAAATTGTTTCATAGTTTATTTAATGAGAGAACACATTTACCGAATAAAATGTAAAAAGAAAACATTTGCAGTGTGAGTGGCAGTAGAATTGTTCCAACGCACATATAAACATGTCACTCGTCGTAGGACCCATTTTTCTTTATTGTCTTGTTTATCCACAACTATGTCTTCTAGAATTAATCACTTTTTGCGAGCGGATTTTTCTAACGTTCGCGAGGATCTTTTCATGGTTGATTCTTTGGAGGTTCAGCTCACAGATCTTCGACTCGTGCGTCATGTTGATCATAAGAGCCCAGTGTGGTTCGTTGAATCGTAAACTAGTGTGGGTTTTCCTGGATAAATTAATGACATTTTTGTTCAGTAAATGTGCTTCTTTCATTAAATAAGCTATGAAACAATTTAAATAGCAAATACCTTGATGAAACTTCGGGTGTCTTGATGGTATCATTGGAAATCTCTTTGCGGTTTATTTTTGCTGGCTATAATCCGTGTCTTTTTTTCGATAATTCCCTTGTTTGAGCTCCTGATGAGTCATTTCCAGAGGAACAGTGAAGAAACAAATCGTTTTATCCCTTTCAGAGCATCTAGAACAACCAAATACACAACAAAACAACAAAACCCATGTGTCTCTGATGCCGCTGAAGTCAATGACATAGTGTGCCCGGTGTCATGGCGGCGTAGGTACCGTTGCTATAGGGGTCACGTGATGGTGCAAAGCCTCTCTACAACCTTTAAATGCAGGACTGTGGATTATACCTGGCAAAGCTTTAACATCTCCTTAGAAACCAGAAAAACAGTCTATGGATTTTTGTGGGGCCATTTGGTTCTGCCCACTTTGAGTTTTGTAAAATCACAAACTTTTAACGCGATCTACTGTTGATAAATGTTACCTCATGGCTTTATCCTTCCTGTTTGCTTTCACCTTCCTGTTACACGGCACATTTTGAGGACTTCCCTTTCAGAAGACACACTATTCAGTTTGTTTCTGTTCTTCGCTATGACACCAGTCGTACTTTTTCGTCATTCTGAAAAGCGTGGATAATGGCCTAATTATGAATATCACAGTTTTTCCACCGTTGCTGTTTTGAATTTGCTTATCAAACTTTTCTTGGACAGATTTGTGATTTGTTTTCTTGGTTGATTGATGTTTTGAACACTTTGCGCTCTAAATTGTTCCAGCAGACTAATGACAACTCATGATTCTGTAAAACTAGACCATTTCAAATCCAGTGTTTATTACAAAAATAGTCAAAGCAACAAATCCAGAAAATGCAATGTTTAAAAGTTCAATATGAGCTGTGAGATTTAATCATTTAGGCGCCAGAGGGTTTATCCTAAAACGTTAGATTTTGACATTTTAGTCCTGGTTTAGACCTGGTTTAGACTTGGTTTAGACCTGGTTTAGTCCTGGTTTAGACCTGGTTTAGACCTGGTTTAGACCTGGTTTAGACCTGGTTTAGACCTGGTTTAGTCCTATTTTCATCCTGGTTCCATCCTGGTTGAGTCCTATTTTAGTCCTGGTTTAGTCCTGGTTTAGGCCTAGTTTAGTCCTATTTTCATCCTGGTTTAGTTCTGGTTTAGACCTGGTTTAGTCCTGGTTTAGCCCTGGTTCAGTCCTGGTTCAGACCTTTAGCTTGAATGAAATTTGACACCCTGTTTGGCAAAATCATCCGTTTTATTCAGAGCGGCATCTTGTCAACTTAAGCTGACAGTGGCGCCTGACCATGTTATACTGTATTGTACTGTTGTGTGGTCCTCTGTGTTGTCTTTTATTATATATATATATATATATATATATATATATATATATATATATATATATATATATATATATATATATATATATATATATATATATAATTTCTTAGCTTTATGCATTGTAACCCTTTTAATTTATTGTTTTATTTATGATTTTCTGTCTTTTACTGTGTTAATGTGTCTGTGCAGCGCTTTGGAAACTGTCATGTTTATAAAATGTGCTAAATAAATAAAGTAAATTGGATTATTATGTTGTTACCTCCTCAAATACAAACCTGGAGTTGTTTTGTTTCAAGTGTAATACCTGTTATTTCCAGCAGGGGGCTCCAAAACTGAGATCTTTGTCATTCGTAAAATAACAGAAGAGAGACGATATTAAAAAATGTCTGTTTGTGATTTTTTGTCTAACATGTCTGTCAAATTTATATTTTATGTTTTGAAAGTCGCATTCTGGTCAAAGAGCAGATTTTAAACAAGCCCAGGAGCAAAGAAAGAAAGAAATGATCAAAAGACAAATATGAACCACTAAACTATTACAGGAACCCTCATGTATTCCAGAACATGTTTGTACAGGTTTAAACTTTGACATCCCGCCCTCTAACATAAACAATTTTGGTTGAGCAGTCAGAATCCGTGACCCACAGGTTGTCGGTGCGATTCCAGCCCCCACAGATGCACACTGTTGTTGTGTGCTTGGTAGAGATGTAAGAATCTCAAAATCCCTCGATACAATATGCACCCTAATTGTGAATATGCTACTTCTTCCTTCTAAAATGCCTTTGAAAAGCCTTGAAATCCTCTGGTACTGTCATAATATGAAGAATTAAGAATTAAAAGCACTTAATAACAGCTATTTCTTCGTGTAGTCTGCACTGACACCAGCAAAGGATCATGGTCTATGTAGTTCCTTGTGTTTTTGGACTATTGCTGCACCGTCGCAAAGCAAAGCAAAATAAACATTTGTATAGCACAGTTTGTAAACAAAGTAATTCAAAGTGCTTTACAGAATAAGAAAGACATTAAAATCACCATAATTATTTATTTAAGCAAAAAGACTTGTAATTCGATATATTGTGATGGCCTCTGATATTACTGTTATATGTTATATTACTTTTAATGATACAAAATCACAATATTTTGGTTATTATTACATCTCTAGTAGCCTGATTCATCAGCCGGTTTCACTTCGTGGAAACCGTCTGACCTTGCAACATTAGGATTTGTTCGCTCGACGGAAGGCGGGTACTTTTTTATTTAACCAATTTGGTTTTGACGTATGTAATGCGCCAAATCCAGTAGGAAGAAGGACAATAACATCTTTCCTCTTGATAAAATTCACCAAACATTCTCTTTGTTCTGGCTTTAAATCCTCGATCTCGGGAATTGTTGCCAAAACAGAATGTCTGTCTTCGTCTACATCCATCTCGACGCTTTGTTTACTGTTGTGCTTTTCCACAAAAGGGACCCAGACAGAACGTGACAAGTTTGACGTCACGACTTCACGGCTCTTCACTGTCTAGTGTATTCCGATTCCTGACCTAGTCACTGGAGAGAAATGAAATTAAGCGGAGGCTTTAGGTGACACCAGCCTGACTACATCCATAGTCCTTGAGCAAGACATTTAACCTCAGTGAGTGTGTACACTGGAGTATGAGTGTGCGTGTGAGTGGGTGAGTGGTTTGTTGTTGTAAAGAGCTCTGAGTGCCTTGAAAGTGGAAAAGCTCTGAATGAAGATGTGACAGTTTCCTTTTAAACTACACAGACAGCAGGTTTTATACAAGAAGAATGAATGTTTTGTAACACAGAAGAGCTGAACCCATCGTGGAAACGGTGTTCAAGCTGAATGAAATACTCTTCATTGACAGACGGGCTTCACATTTTGTTTCCCGACTGTCAAGTCAAGGGGTGTCAAACTCATTTTGGTCCGGGGGCCGTATCCAACCTACTTTGATCCCAAAGGGGCTGGATCAGAAAACTCATGGCATATAAACCCCAAAAATAACAATAAGTTCAAATATTTGTGCAGAGAAACGCAAATCTATTACAGACATCTTTTTTAAATGATGAACTCTTTCTTATTATGATATTATAATATTATAATATTATGAACAATCTGAAACTTTAAGAAAAATTCAATTTCAACACAATGTTTTAACATTAACTTGTACGCAAATAGGAATAAGTCAATTTTTTTTGGAAAATCCTGCACTCGGCTCCACTTTTCTCATTTTGGACATTTTTCTGATGAGGGTGTCACGGTCAACAGTCAAAACGATCGTCCTTTAAGAGCGTTTGGAAAAAGACAAGTCTTCATTTGTGCTGCTCTGGTGGGAGGGGCCACGTACAGAGACAGCTGGAGACGCTGCTATGCTAAGCACCGCAGAAAATTACCAATATTTTAATAGAAAATATAATTAAAATATTTTAGTAGAAAACCACCCAAGAGCCACATTAAAGGTCTTGTGGGGCCGGATCTGGCCCCCGGGCCTTATGTTTGACACCTGTGGACTAAAGGATTACAAGCCACATACATGTATTTATCAAAGCATTTGTAAAAATTCTTAAATCAAAATGTGGAAAAGGGAATGTGTTTGAAAATATATCCTGCAAACGACATCTGTCTGTTTACTAATATTATTACTATTACTATTACTACAGTTTAGAAAGACAAATACAACATGAAGTTTTTTTTTGTTATATTTTATTGTTCAAGTGCAGAACAGTGAGGGGGGTGAGAGAGGCTCTACATGCACAGGAGCCTCCTGTACCACCTCCTCTTTTTCTTCTTCCGTTCCATCTCCAGCTCCTGCTCCAGCGCCGTGCTCACCTCCTCCAGCAGGGAGCACTGTCTTTCTGTGCTCCTCTGCTTTTCCTCCAAGGCGCTGAATCTTTGGAGCAGTAGGGAGAGCTCTGTGTTCAGCTTCTCACGGGTGTTTACCAGAGCTATTTTCTCTTCCTCTAAAGCAGTCTTCTTCTGATGTTCCTGCTCTACCTGCTGGTGTAGAGCCCTGTTCTTTACAGTCAGCAGGGAGAGCTCTTCCTGAGTTGTAGCCAGGGCGTGGTCCAGTGCGCCGCACCTGTCCACCAGCAGGGAGCGCTCTGCCTCGAGGTCTTTACTGGTGTTCAACATGGTGGCCTTCTCATTTTCTAACTGTGCTCTGCCATGTTTTTCCTCTTTCACTTCCTGCTCTAGAGCACACTTATTTGCTATGAGCAGGAAGTTCTTTTCCTCACACCTCCTCAGTTTTACCTGCACCGCATCACATGTCTCGACCTGCACCGAGAGCTGTAATTTTAGCTCATCGCAGGTCCTCAACAGGGCGGCCTTTTCATTTAGCAGGTCGTGTCTGTTCAGTTTGTCCTGCTCGACCTGCTGTTGGAGTGCAGTGGTCTTTGTCTCTAGCAGGGAGCACTCTTTCTCTGAGATCCTGAGTAGCTCCTCTAGTCCACTGCACTTCTCCTCCAGCAGGGAGCGCTCTACGCTTAGCTCTTGGCAGGACTTCAGAATGGTGGCATTTTCTTTCGGTGTTGCCAGGTGACGCCAGGTGCTGTCATGTGATCAGGTCAGGTCAGGTGATTCCATAGTTGCCATAGTTACATATGAATTCCAGTATATCACAGATTTATTTGAAAGTGTTTTTAAAGGTTAAATATGTATTTTTGTGGTGTTTGAAGCGTCTGTCGTCTCCACGTGCTTTTCTCTGTGCAGACAACCAACCTCACAATATGACCGACACCACACAAAGAGAGTTCTCCTGCGAACATCTGGATCTTTTTATGAATAGTATTTGGAAACATATTTTCGTATGTGATTATTTCACATTATTTCTATTTAAAAAAAAAAAAAAAAGTTTAAAAGGTTTTAAAGTTCCTCTCGTACCGGAGCCAGAACATGTACAACTTACTTGTTGTCTGTTGAAAGGAACGTGTGGATGTGGAGACGTAGTCCAGAGTGGTTGGATTGCGATGTGCTTTGCTTCAGTGACAGGGAGTTCATTAAATATTTTCGTGTGACAAGAAGAATGTTTGTGTA